AATGATTCCTAAATCAAATACTTTGCCGCTGCAGCAGCCAAACGCGGAGATGATTTATTTAAGTGCACGATCCACCCAGAGACCATTTTAGCGATGCTGCGGCAATAATTTCACGTCGTTTTATACTGGCGATGACTTGTGACCACATTGTGAGCTTAGGCCGGTCTGGACGTGTGCAAGGTGAGAGTGTTGCATGCGTGAAATACTAATAATTCACGCTCAGCACATATTTCACATGCTAAAATGCGAAAAGTCCACCAAATTTTATTGTTATTGAGTCTCAGTGGCGGCTTTTGGCACTTCTTGTCTTTTCCTCCATCGTCCGGGCATTCTTGGGCTCTGGAATTCCACGAGTTCTCGCCACACGCAGAGATTTTGCGCGCTTCCAACGAATCCACCATCGATGCGCCCTCATTTTCCCCGTCTCACGAAGTCCTTCTTCGCCCTCCGAAAATTCAGGCAAAAGACTCACTTATGTACACACTTAATCCTTTTACGCGATGCCTCGTGACGTTTGTTGGTACATCTGTCATGAGACGATGTGCAAATGCTGAGAAATACACTAATCCCCTTTCCAGGACTCCCACATCTTCCCTCGCGCGCCCGTATTTGCCAATCACATGTAATTGGATGTCGTCGATCCGGGACGTGAAATGTCTCCAGTAAATATTGGAATTTAAATAAGGATTATCAGCTGGAATTGCAGGGTGTTTATGGGATGCAGTTGTGACAAGTGGCGGTGGGGCGATAAATTTCGGCATGTGCGCCGCCCCTCAGAAGTCTCATCGAAAGTCAATTAATTCAGATCCCCGAGACCTCGCATTTCACACTTTCATCTGGACGAGCATCAGCGCCCCATTAATTGAGATCCCTCAAGAGCCCCGCACACCATGTGGCGGTGGAGGTGAGACAAAGTGTATGACGATCTCGCCGGTGAGCTGAGTTCATGTATAAATTTAATTCTTCACGGGTGTTTAACACTTTTTTCTCCACTCCATCCTGCGCCTCTCGTCCTCGAGGCGCGGGAATTTATGTCATCTGACGAAAATGACCGTGAAAAGGCTGGAATTTGCTCTCATAAGAAGCCCCTAAATTAGTTGTTAGTGTCGAGGACCTTCGTCTGTGCGCGGCTTGAATGTGAAGTGGCCTCAAAGGATTCACCCGAAGGGTTGCCAAGTGGCGACTTTGAGGTCGATCCACACATTTTCACTACCCTTTGCCGTATCAATCATGCCCAAGTGTTTATTCTTCAACTAATTTCATGTCCTTTCCAGAGCCCCTCAGGCTGTCTAGTTGAAGAAATCAAGAGTTGGCAAAATATATTATGAAAAAGCTATTACAAGTCCATCCACAACTCTCTTTGTCATCGGCAAACAACTCAAAAGGTGAGCCACAAAAAATTGTACAACCAAGAAGGAGATAATACGGCTAAATAGTGTACACCACTTCCTAACACTTCCACAGACACTTCCAGAACTATAGCAGTGTTTAAAACATGCGTTTTTCCTATTTTCTTCCTCGTTTTTTGAAACGTCATAGATTTTTCTTACCGTCTAAAGCATCATAACCTCAAATTTAGGTCGTAATTGTTTCCAAAAGACTCAATTTTTACTTGTTTGATCTGAAAAAACTTACAGAGAAACAGTATTTAAGAAATATATTAAGTTTCTAGCGGATATTTTAATGAGATTTAATTTTTAATCGCTCTTTTGGATGCATTGCTGACCATAACCTCAAAATTATCTTGAAATATCTTAAAGAATCCTTGAAATAAACTTATTTGGAATCTTTTAAAGGCAAGACTAATCGATAATAAGCTGAAATTTGCTATTTGAGAGTAGAAAATCATTCAAACAGCTTTTTAAATAGGCAATTTTGTATCCTAAAACTATATTTTTGAGGTTATGATCGATCTTAGCGTAATTAATACAATTTAGCATTTCAAATTTGAGTATTAATTGACTTAAAAATAGCTCTAAAACGCCTGATATTGCAAATATTCGAGCACTTCCAGTTCTAAACACTTCTGCTGACCTGTACACCACTTCTGACCATAATATCTCCCCCTTGGATACAACGAAAGGTGGCTTCTGCAGATCACAATTGCCAGAATCCCTGGTTATTCCATACGATTTACAGATCTCCCGATCGGATTTTGCAGTGAAAATTGAATTTATTGAATGTCTCTGCATGACAAAAAATGTATTATGCATTTTTCTCAAACGGATTTGACACCTTCTCACCTCTCTCAATGGGCTGAATAACGCCCGAAGAGTGTGATCCATTCTCTAATGCGATTAGGTAACAGAGCCCGACAATGGGTCAAGAGGAGGAGGAGGAATTGTCCAAATCGGCTTTTACTTGCTGAGGTTTTGGACTTGAGAGACTCAAAAGAGAAAAAAGTTTCTCTGGCGAATTTTTGCCGGATTGAGAGTGAAGTGAAGCGAGAGGAGGTAAATTTTTGGTCCCCTTGCGTAAATCTGCATGATTGTGGCTAATTCGAAGTGACATTGTGGGATAACCAAGATGGTTTTAGGGTAAGTGATTGACAATTGTGGCAAATATGACTCTTATCAGGATGTCTCATCTCTCCGTGAAAAAAAAATTGCCTCTGAATGGCAAATTGGGCACTTGTTACGGTCTTGGGATTGCCGACGACACGTGCTGATCATCTAATCAAGATGCCATTGAAATCCCTCCTTCCAGAGGAAAGTCAACTCTGGAAGCAGAAGAGAAACACATTTTATCTCATCGGCATCTCCCGAAACATTGGACCCTTTTCTCTTCCTCCTTGACACATTTTTCCCATGATCGCGCGCAGAGGCCACAGAAAAAAAGCCTCCCCGCGTTTGTGAGCATCGCATCAAAGGAGAGATGCTGAGAATGGAGTTTATGTTGATTTATCTGTGAATCGATGTTGAGAGGCAAAAACAGGTGTACTTCATGATCACGGGCGGGTGATTGCGGAGGGAAAAACAATTAAAAATGGTCTCTGAGGAGAGGCCAGAACTCATTCCGACTGAGTGTCTAAGAAACATGAGGCCGGAGCATAAATCATACTTTATTGCAACAGGTTCCCTCGTGGTAATTGAAAAGGTGGTTTTTGTTTGTCAGAGGATCTGTAAATAATCCAAATTTGTTCACTAACGGACCGAACAGCGCTTAACAACTTCATCAGCCGATGGCTTTCTGACCTGGGAATTTGGTGCGAAAGCCACTCCAGCATATCGGTCCAGGAAACATCGCAGGAAGGGATTTTCAGAGCGCCTGCGAGAGAGAGGAAAATCCCACCAAATTATCCACTCGAAAAGCAACTCTCGAGGTGCCATTTAAGGCTGTGAAGAGTCCCTCGAGAGGACGTGGCACAATAGCGTCATTTCTCATTTCCACTGCGACGATTTATGGACCCATTCAATTGCCCACGCTTCCCCAACTCTTCCCGGGCAGTGATTGAGTGCGTCTCACCCTCGCGAGATCGCGAGCTCCACTGTCCAATTAGTTTCCTAATTAATTGATAACGCTTCACTGGAGGTGCCGTGGAAAGAGCTACCAATTAAGATGTTCTTCTTCATCGTCTCATTGAACACTCAACAGATTATGAAGACTGGCTATCTGAGAGTGACATCTAGAGAAATTAATTAAATTTGAATTTTTACAAAATATTCATGAAGCATCTGATAAGAATGCGCAAAAGGAAAATCTCAGAACATTTCGCAAATCTTCTCGGAAAGTCCACCAAAGTTTTTATGTATTTATTATCAGATGATTACTTAAATTTGAAGGGAGAGAATTCTTCCACTAAGTTGAAATGTCGGTAAGTTATTGAATCTATCGAAATGAAATTCATAATATTTCCTTTTTTAAACACATTTTCAAGAGAGAAATTGGACTGATATGGATTAATTAGTCCTTTGACTGTCAATTTTAGCTATTTATTCCTAAAATTGTCTTAAAACATGATTAGAATTCATTGTTGATCACTTTTGCGATTATTCGTGATTTTCATTTAAATTTTGATTACTTTTTCCACAAATTGCCGCTAGAGGGCAGCATTTTAAAGATATGAAGAAGTTCTGATTGCATTTCCCAAACCAATCTACACCACAATTTAACCAATGAGCTAATTTAGGAGATTTAAACGCCTCTAAATAATCGGAAATACAATTGAAACTTCTACATGCCTTTCGAACTTGATCAGCTGATTAGTTAATGATGAAACCAGACTTTTTCTACGTGAAAAGCTTGATTAATTGAAGTTTAGAAGTTTTGCGAAAAATGCGATATTATTATTATTGTTCCCCACGCCAACTTTGCTGCCCTCTGGTGGCGATATGTGGAGAAAATTATCAAATATATTTAGATTTCAATTAAATATTGTGCCGAAAATATTAAATTTTTAATTATTTTGCAATTTTACCTGAGAAATAATAATTTTATTGATTTTTTATTCAATTTTATTTTTTTTCCATACGAAGTAAAAATCAACATTTAAATATTTGATTGAGATCATAACGATTCCTAAAAAATCGGTTTCTCAAATTTTTAGGAAAACAATTAAAAATATGATATATTTTACCTTTTTTGTACACTTGACTAAAATTTAATTTTTTCCGTATCTTTCTGCAATTGCTGAAGCCTTTTGGAGTGAAGAGGAACTGTTGTGGAAATATTCTTAAAGCATTAAGCGAATTATTTTGCCAACTCGGCAGCATTGAATCCCTCTCGGGAGAGTTCTTGCTCAAATGTGCGCTTCTTCCGCAAATGCCGCGCCAGCGGAGCGCGAGGCCGCGGAGTGTGGGAGCCGAAACAATTGGTGGGCAACCAATAAAAAGTGAAACGGAACGACGAGTGAATGGGGCCCCCCGGATGGCCCGCCTAGCAACCAATCATCGCCGCCTCGATGCCGGCTGCGAAGACAGTCGCAGGGGCTCGTGCTCGAGGGGCGAAGCACTGCGACACGCTGATGCTGGCGGAAGAGTCAGTCTCTGACGGAAAGCCAGCGCGATCGAGTGTGCTCTCTGCCCAGCGTCTCCGTGAAGTTCGTGGCGTAAAAGACAAATCGGTTTGACTTACAGTGCTTGAGGGAAATGGTGAGATTCGAATGACAAGAGTGTGGACTGATTGTAGTATTCTTGCTCCAGTGAATAAGGATACGATAATTGAGGAAAATCAGAGGAATGAAGGTAAAGAAAACCACTGTTGGGGTCTCAGAAAGTGCATTTGTTGAGAGAGAGAGAGAGGAGTGGATTAAGTAAACAGCGTTTAGCACGAAGAAATCACAATCATCGTGTGATAGTGCAGATCGGAGGAGAAATCAAATTGCGGCCACTTGCTTTGCTCGGGATGTTTATCCAAATATTTTTATTGGATGTGTTATTTTTGGCTCTCACAATGTTTCACACTTGAGAATCTCTTCGCGCCCTCCAAAGGCCGCGCCGCTCTTTCTTCATCCCCGCACTCACCTTCGCCACTTACCATGACAAAGACGCTTGTAATTGGGTCTGGCCATCGAACAGTGCTTCCTTCTAGATTCCTAGGATTTACCAGGACTCGAGCAGACAAAAAAAGCCACCTGAACACCTGTTTTCCCGATTCTCTCACACGCCGCGTTATGAATTATTTGACCAAAGTCGTCTCCGTGTGTGTTTGACGATAAGATAACTTTAATTTATGCAAATGACTCTCTCTCTCGCTCCACTCAATAACACTCCGTCGGAAGAGTGAGTCTTGCTGGAGCGCGGCCACTTCACGGGCACTCCAGATCTCTCCAATACTCCATAAAATGGGTCATTGAGGGCTATAATCCTGGCCACAATACATGATATGGCACTCTTGCAATTGCATGCTTATTGCATTGTAAGATTTTGCCTACAAATCCTCGTGAATACCGTTGAAGAAACCGCTCTTCGCGATTGTGCACAATAAAACAATAAATTCTGAAATTATGTAAGAATTTTTACTCTTTCTCTAGCCACTCATTAAGATTTTTTTGCACTCATTTCCATCACTTGATGATGCTGTTAAATTTATAGTCCATCCATAGTGGAAAGAAAAAAAAAGATGGGAAATATATAATTTTACTGACTAGTGAAAGAAGGACAAAAAAAAGAGCCCCGAAGAACTATTTAAGGTATTCCGATTGGGATTATCTCAAAATATAGCACCTGTAGAGAAGTTTTTCAGCTCCACTCTTTCCCGCATTTTATTCAAAATTTCATATTTTAGTCTGTCCACAAATTCAATTTCCCATCTTCGCGCTCTTCTCAGTCGCTGATTGCCAAGATATTCAGATTATTTCCATCCGGCTGAGAAAAAAGCTCGCGCGTCGTTCCGTTATAAGCTAATTGGTCATCCTTTTCTTCTTGTGTCAATTTCTTCTCGCCCGAAAATCCTTCGCCAAAAACCAGACCACATGAAAACACGGCCATCAAAGTTTCCCCCTCGTTTTTCCAGGAGACACAGATTTGATGAACATAAAACGAACTTCTCAAGTCCATTAAAAATCCCGGTGCGAAAGGCACAATTGCCTTTATGCTCACCCCTCGCTTACCTGAGGATTGAAACTGAGAGTTGCTATTGATGGTTTTTGCGGGCCTCCATGGAATATTGTCAAATCATGAACTGCGACACGACATTCCACACTCGTGTTGCAATTCAGCCGACTTCCAGGTGAATCCTTCAATCATTCTCTTGCCTTTGGCGTCACTTTTATCCTACTTTTGCTAGTGAAATTTTCACATGAAAATTAGTCAAAATTTCAAAACTATTCATACACGACGGGAACATTAAGGCAATTCCACAATTCCTGTGAGGAATTCTTCTTTTCCGAAACTTTATAAGAACCATAACCTCAAATTTAGAGGTATTTGATCTGAAAAGTCGCCATTTTTACTTTTATGACCTTGAAAATTTACGGAAAAGCAGTAATTTAGATATGTTTGAAGTTTCCAGTGGATATTTTGATTACACTTTGCATCATAACCTCAAAAATATCTTGAAGAATCCTTGAAAAATACATATTTGGAATCTTTTGAATGCAAATATGTGAATTATTAATCTATTAGAGCTGAAATTTGCTCTTTCAAACAATATTTTTAGAGGTTATGATCAGTCTTAGCATAATTAACACTGTTTAAAATTGAAAGCTAGTTATTTTCATCACATTTCAATATTATTGAGCCAGAATATGTAAATTATACCAGCTTAGGCTCAAGAATGAATGATTTTTGAAGGTTATTTAGTGTCAAAGTTTGTCTTTAATTCGTAACATAACCTAGAAAAACATAAATGCTGAGTAAATTCCTTTTGAAAGTGACTTTTGAAACCCTTCCACTTCTTTCTTCTTGACTTTGCTTAAGAACCGAATGAGGATTAAGGGAATTTTTGAGAAATTGCGCGTACAAGCTCAAATCCATAGAGAAGATGGTGTTTTTATGCGAAAGAGAACGATTGAGAAGAGCTTCTGATAGTGCAATTGAAGACATAAAATTGGCCAATGAATTCCTTTTCAGCTCCACCGACATTTCTCTCATGAATATTGCCAATGATCGTTAAAAATAATGAGTCTAGAGCATTAGTATGTTCATTTATGGCTGTCCTGAGCACTGAAAGTCTGGCTTGAAACTTTCCGGCAGTGCTGAGAAATTTCGAAATGCGCCAAGCGTCGAGGGAAGTGACTTCTTTTGTTGATCGGGGTGTGAAGAGGCGCATTTATTGCGCACGGGACATCCATATGGTCCTTTGTTGTGTCCTCGAGAGGGCTTCCTCTTGTCTCGCCCACGGCGCACAAAGGCCTGTGGTGACTTTTGGCCATTTAGTGTGCCATCGAGAGGCACTTCCAGAGGCATCTGAAGTGGCCCTCGGGGGGTGCAGAGCGGAATCAATTTTCACGATCGGGCGAAAAAATGAGGAAATTTCCCACGAACTTATGAGAAATGTGTCGAAGCGAGAGAGATGATCGCATGAATAATTATATATCTGTGTTTTTTTCGGGGCTTTTCACTCTATTTCGAGAGAGGATTATTGGCGTCCAAAAACTGATATCACAGACCATTGAGGCATTAACCTCCCAGCGGGCGGCTTCTTCATCTTCCAGATGCTGGGCGGCGAGCGGAGGGAATTTCAGACAAATAGATAAATCACATGTTTTATATATTGTAATTCCTATGCCGTTTCTTTGCCATGGGTGATGAAGAAAAATGCAAATAGCCAAGATGCTGGACATGATCGGAAGTGAAGAGAATTACATGATCTGCTTTTTTTCTTTCGGCTGAACCTCAACATTGTGGTGTATTAATCAAAATCTCACGTCTGGAGAATTGAGACAGGAAATGCGATTTGCTACGTGAACCAAATTGCCTAGATAGATTGCAGCGTGATTGATGATTGATGTGACTTAAATCTCTCGATAGATTTCGGAGGGATTATTGCGTAACCGGGTTTTCATTTGGCCAAAAACACCGGGGCGGTCGTGGAGTCTAGAAAACACATCTTACAGACAATAGAAAGCGGGAAGAGCGATGAGAATCTGGCGAAGATCACTTGAAGATCATATGAAGAATTGTGTGTCTGGAGGGGAAAAAAAACGGGATTCACATTACGGGGAATCGAGTACGAGATTTCTTGGGCGTCATTAGAGGCGTCAAGGTATATTTGGGGAATTAATTAAATTAGTTAGTTTTTCGGGGTGGCGTTTGTCGGTGGTTTTTGTGGATTAATGATCGACCACTTTATTATTTTCTAGTTTAAAGTCAATTTACACACTGTGAAACCCTCCCCATCAATTGCTCAGGCCACAGTCTTTTGTGTGTGCGACTTTCTGGGTAATTTATGGCATTTTGCCTGCCCTCCTCTCGGACAGATGCTACCGGAGAGTGTCGATCTGCTGGTCCATGGCGGAAGACACCTTTTAGAGACTGAGACGCGCCACGAGAATGACTGTAAATTGCTATTAAATTTAATAATACTATTAACAATTGCCCTGCTTATCGCTGAGAAGAGATCTCAATAAGATCACAATATTTGCCGCCCATGAATGATCGCCGCAGTTATCTGTGAGCTTTTGGGCCGCGATCAATGGCTCTGAATACAACTCTATCGGCGCGAGATGACAAAAGGCGTACGATTTGTATGCAATAATTCGATACAATTTATTTAGTGTGGCCACAAGAGCGCAACTCATCAAACGATCGTCGCCAGATCGCCGGTGAAAACCGTTTAAAGACACCCAGCTGCGATCCAATCGAGTAACATTTGAATATTTCCCGCCATTGCGTGCCAAGCTGAGATTCCTTCTTTAACCCTTTGACGATGACAAGGAAGCTGTGTGTGTGTGTGCATTTATCTCGACTGTCTCTTGTGTTTCCACACTGAAGTGTGTTAATTATTCCTAATAATTACCATTGAAATTTTCCCCTTGAATTTCCCACGTGAGCGCAAAAATCAAACGCAGCCACACAGCAAGTTCCCAAACAGCCTAATAAATGACCGAATATGATATTTTGGAAGATCAGAACCGTTCACTTGTTCTTCTTTATGCTAATTACTTTTTAATTTTTCAATTTATATCCCACTAGAAGGTGGAGAGATGCGATGGCAGATAAATTTGTGGCGAGAGAGATCATAGGAAAAATATGGAAATCATAAAATGAAAAGCAATTTCGAATAAAATCCTTCATAAATATCATTTTGTCTCCTACGAAATATGCTGTTTTTCTTCAGATATTGTACACAAATCGACAATGTGAGAGAGAGAGAGCCAATAAGTAAAGAAAAAGGAGGGGAAAAGATCATTCTCTTCGCGGCTTCGCGCGCCTTTTTATTCTTTTCCGATTTCAAAGATTTACACAGCCGGTGTGAGTTTCTCGTATTGTCCCGAATTCATTAATATAAAAACTCTTTTTATTCCATCGCACTCTCTCGCTCACCTGCGATCGCGTCTATTCATGATCGCGTCGAGAAGAGTGAGAGATATTAGAAATGAGAAGAAAAAAAAACAGATCCGAGTGATCTTCTCAGGCATAATGATATGCATGGCTTTTTATCAGAATTCCCTCCCCGGAGTAGAGGAAAAAAAACCACACGATCGCGATCATTCATATTAGATATGTGATCCTCAGCGATGATTTATTAGATCATATTGTGTCATTCACATCTTTCAACCCATGACACGCGGGATCCGCTTGAAGAATGTCTTCCAGTCGCTTATAACTGCATTAATGGGAATTTTTTGAATATTTCCACCCATTATTCGGACACCCTGTCGACACATCCACACACCACGCCGGGCACAGCGTCATCAGCTAGATCACTGATCCTCCTGAATCACCCGCGGCCGCCGATAAAATCGCCCATAAACGACGTTTTATTGGACGCCAGTTGGGCCGATCGATGATCGCGCTGGTCATCGAGAAAAAAAGAGATCCCATGCGTGTGATGGCTTATTAAGGTCAGGAGCGACGTTGCAGAAAAAAAGCTCTGTGTAGTCGCCATGGTGGGTCCGCGAGTGACAAAATGTATATCAATTTGCAATTCCCACAGTGTATTAATTTTTATTGCATTCACTCACGACAAATTTCCTCCACGATGATCACTCAATAAAAGATGATCAACACGAGTCGATCAGTGATCATTTGGAATGGCTTTAATAGTCTGATCAGTGCGCAGAGACGCCAAGATAGTTCTAATCACTATCAATTTTCTCCCTTCTCAAGAGGTTTATCATCCAGAGACACTTGCACCACTGTCAAATGTTAATCCAAGGGGGAGATAATACAATCAGAAGTGGTAAACACCTCAGCAAAAGTGTTTAAAAGCACACAATCTTCCTTTCTTGTGTGCTTCTTTTAGTGCCAAATTAGTAGAAACAATTCTTACAATGCTTTTCTAGGTTATGTAGTACATTAAGAATAGATTTAGTGTAAAATGCGTTAGAAAGATTGCATATTAATTGCAAAATAAAGCTTTTTCATGGATTAAACATTGCTATTCTGGAGTTTTCAATCTCAGGAAGCATGGCGAATTGTGTTAAGATCAATCATAACCTCAAAATATTGATTTGAACTTGGAAAACTCTCTGGACGATTTTGACTGTGAATCAGCAATTTTGAATTCATCTGCAACTCAAAACAGATGATTTTATGATCTAGAATGCTTTTTGAAGACATTTCTGAAGATATCTTAGTGATATTTTGAGGTTATGGTTGGAAAATATACCCAAAACAAGCAGTTTTCTGTGAATTCTTGCAGAAACATCGGATGGAAACTTAGTAAATTACAAACAACGGAAAATTTTCAAGTGTTGAAAGTGATGTACAGATTTAAGGCATATTATCTCCCCCTTGTGTTTACCCTGTTGCTATGTAACTGGAAAAAACAGTACGATTTGCAACTCAAAAGCACTGTAATATCGCAAAATGTTCTCTATTACTTATATTTTCTAACAGAATGAGTGAATTTCAAATTTGAGACGTCAATATTTAGAAGTTCCTCGTCAAAATCCATCGATTAACCCCTCACTGTTGTCCTTTATCGTGTCTTGTAACGCGCCATCCACGGAGGAGATAAAAAATTTAAAGGGAACCCAATAAAAATTGACATGTAAAAGAAAATTATGTTAGCTGAAAACTTTATTGAACGATAAAATTGGAGACATTACAATAATTTTGTATCATTTCCCATGTGGAATTGGTAATTTATTCAGTGTATCTCGAAAGAATATCTTGTCTTCTTGCGAGCAGATAAACCGATTTTCGGGATTCTCTCGACGGTGGAGTGAAAGAGAGCGGCGCCGAAGTGTGGCGGAGGAAAAAGTGTGGTCCACCGTGGAGGCTATTAAAGAGTTGCTCCATTGAGAGGCTCTTCTTGGACGATGTGGCGATCATCGTAATGGATGTGAATTTATAAAGCAATAATTGATATAATATAAAAAAGGCAATTGCGAGACAGGGAGAGACTTTTCTCGAATGTCCAAGATGGGTTTTTTATACAAAATACCTTTTTAATTAATTGCTTTTATTTGGGCATTTTTTACTCAATTTCATTGATTGTCCGCCGAACCGCGGGAGTCTTCAGCAACTCTGTTTTTTTCTTTCAATCGCGACACACGAGAGTAATCAAAACAGTGGACAAATATGGATCTAACTTTAATTTCACATTAACATAATTCATTTTTCATCCGCTGACCCCACACACAACTCAACATGCGTCTTTGGGCTGCTTTTTTTGCCTCCACACTTAATCTCTTCTTCTGGCCAGAGAGTGAAAAATCCAATTGAGAGATAACTGAGCCGCCGCGATCATTGCGGAGAAAATGAGACTCTCCGTGGCAATCATCAAAATTCCCACCTCATTTCCCCAGATCTTTAGCATATTTGGCTCCTTTCTTACGCATCTTGTCTCCGATGTCAGCACGTCAATTTCCACAGTCAAAGAAACGCCAAGCATACAAAAGTGCCCTCCATTCATCGGTGGACATTGTCAAGTTGTGGGTCGCTTTTGGTACTGAAAGGAGCGGAAGCACGGATCTTCAAAATAAATACACGTGAGATGTTTCTCAACATTTTCACTCGCGCATCTCCCAAATCATTCCCGCTACACACAATTAAATGCATTTACACAACACGCAAAACAGCGCTCAAGACCCAAGACGCGAGCCCGCATCCAAATGTCGCTGGTGTGAAATATGAAAAATTGATGGGTGACTAAATCTTTTCAAGTCTTCCGCCAATTTCGCCATCTCGCCACCCTTCGAACGCCCAGAAAGCCAGCCATTCACTTTGGCCATCACTCCAATTGTTCGCTCGCAGCAAAGCTCCGCGAGAAGTGAGAGTGGCCGCGACGGAAGGAACTTTCGCGCCGTGAAAGGCTTAGAAGAAAATCCCATCATTGTCCAATTGGGGAAGAAAGTTCAGACGGAAGCGTTGATTTTCCGCGAGATGGCAAGCAAGATATTGCTCACCGGTTAGCGGAATGATCTCTAATACTTACAAGAGGCAGATATTATATTAGGAAGTGGTGTACAAGAAGTATTTAGAATTGTATGTGGTGAAATATGCATTTCAGAAGGTCCTATTTCAACAAATTGAGCAGAACTGAGCATTTCTGGTTAAAAACACATTTTAGATCGATTAAATTGGTTAAAAATCAATCATAACCTCAAAAATATCACTTAAGTCTAGAATAATATCTCTTTGTTTAGATTTTTCCGCGATTTGTGGTTTAAAACCTTGTAATATTCGCTGTATTTACTCTGAAAGTGAGTTTGAAAGTATTAAAATAAGTTCAAAAAAGGATTTTGGAATCACTTAACCTCACAATTTGGCCAGAATTATTCTAAACATTCAAAAACCCTCAATTAGATTGTGATAAGTTGTAAAAATCGTTAAAGCGATGAAAAATATCTTTAAATACGTTCTGAAGTGTCCCAAATGTTAAAGATTTGTGCACAAAGATTTAAGATATTATCTCCCCCTTGAAGACTTACCCAATGTTTCTGACATTCTTTAATTTTTCCGGCAAATTTTCATGTCGTGAAAATGCCCACAAATTGAGACGTTTCCAGCATGACGTCGGCACCTGAACATCTTCATCAGCCGCGCTCAATTTGGATCTCATTCTCCATCTCGCCTGGGCGTGAATCTCGCGGTGTTTTCCGTGACAACGTCTCCGTATGTGGCAGACATGCACTCGGCCGTCAATGCACTGGGTGGTTGTTTTGATTTGCCACACGAGGAGCGAAGAATGGACGCGCTTGAGGGATTAGCGCGAAGGCAAGATGATGTGTGGAGGAATGATCATGACTTCGATTGATCGCACCCATTTGTCCGGATTTTCGATGGCGCGGTAATAGCCAAAAATATGATAAATGTTCTTTTGATCCATCGCGGACTCTCACAGGCTCTCCGCGGAGGGCAATTCTTCATTCCAATGCGCGGTGATAAAGGCGAAACGCCGCGCGCGATGAACGAATTTTTATGATAATTCCGGATAGATATTGAGAATTGAAGGCAATTATTAACGCTGGGAGGTGGTAAAGAGTCGGTTGTCTGTGATGGAATGTGCGCGATCGAACATGCCTTTTTTTCCCTATCCATTTGCCATTTGTTGAGACATCAACAATGCGCGGAGGAGTCAATTGAGAGAGAGAGACTATTGAGGTGAATAGAGAAAAAAAAGAGCTGGGAAAACACCCAACACATGATCTTTAGGAGAAATCGTGTGCAAAAAAGAGCGACTTTTGGCGCCAAACGATTGATGTTCTCCAAAACCTCGCGATCATCATAGGAGTTTCGGTGGGAAAAGCGCGCCAAGAGGACATTTGCACACCTTTTCTCATGCTAATCCAGAGCAGATCATAAATTTGTGGTCCCGCGAGACGGCGTCTCGTGATGTCTCAATACACGTCCAGTGTGAGAATTGGTATAGAGTGACACGCGGGAAAAGCAGAAAAAGATAAAATAAACAATTTGTAAACATTTTATTGTGATAATCGCTAAATGATGTGATATCTACCAATGTTAAACCAATTACATCATAAATTTTCAACAACATCCCATACGAGATATTTCCCCGTTTCTCCTTCCTTTTTTCGCTGCTCAACCATAATTTTTTTCCATCCATGTTCTTTTTGGACAAGATTGCTACCCAGTGGAGATCAATAATATATTGGATGCGAGAGAAGAAAAAAAAAAGAAGTGAGAGAAGACGTAGTCTCGGAGATTATAAAACTATTTTCATCTAACTGGTTGGCTTGTAATACCCCCAAAAACTATAATAATATAAAGATTAGAACGATGAATAGGAATAATACGGAAAAAAAGTCGTGCCTGAATCGTAAATTAGTCAATATATAAATATGGGAAATGAATATTAGGAAAAATATGGGCATTTATGCATATTTTTCACACAAATTTCCACAAGACTTTTAAGACATTCTTCTCCTCAGTTTTGCGCCTTTATTGCGCTCTTCTCAAAATTTCTCCTCTTGTGAGAGAAAAAAAAACAACAAATAACTCCTCATTAAATTCCCACTCATGATGATTTCCACCTGACAATCATCATCTTGAGGGACATTAGAATATTTGCTCAATTTCAATCAATAGATTAAAAAGAGAGAAAAATTCCGCCAAGCAATTTACTTATCTGTGTGTTTTCTCATTGTTTTCTTGCAGAAGCCACTGTTGTAATGCAACAGAACTCGAGGGTCGCCCTTACATTTGGAATGTGTCCCAGCGAAAATAAAATAAAGGTAACAATGAGTGAAAATTACTTTTACATCCTTGACAAGGGTGTTTTTTAGAGAAAGAAACGATTTTTCTGAGACAACATAAAAGTTCTTCAATCACATCCAGTGTTTATTAGATCCGCTGAAGTCTTTTATTTCAGGCAAGGGGGAGATAATATGTATGTCTCAGTGTACTTCCAATTTTGTCTGACATTTCTAAAAATTGAAATTCGTATTTTTTTCACATTAATTCCCCCAAATTGTAATAAATTAAATGAATTTATTAAGTTTTCATACAAAATTTCTGTAAGAATTCATTCAAAAATAATTTTTCGGTCATCTTTTCCGACCATAACCTAAAAATTTTACAAAAATATCTTTAAAGACTCATTTTGAAAGCCTTCTAGATCACAAAATCATATGTTATGAGTTGGCAAAGAACTCAAAATTGGCAATTCAGAGTCGAAATCGTGCAGAAAGTTTTCTAAATAACCATTTTCCATGTCCAAATGACTATTTTTGAGGTTATGTTCAATCTCAATGCAATTTGCAGTAGTTTTTGGTATTAACTATGCAGAATATGAATATTTAATGCCCGAAAATGCCTAATTCTTTCAATCTATTCTACTAAATCTATTCTTGATTCGTTACATAACTTATAAAAATTATTATCGTGATGTTTTCTACGTAAAAATCAAAAGAAATACAAAAAATTAGGATAATTTGTGAGTAAAAAAAGCAGTCATGAAGAGAATAGTGCAAATTTTGAACACTTCCACTTCTGACTATATTATCTCCCCCTTGGTAATTTTTGCAGTGAGAAAAACAATTTTTCTGACCACTTTTTCACATCATTCTGCTGTCTAAGATCTCACTTAGACTAGCCAGAAAGTCAGCCATCTTTAAATTGCGATCAAGGAGCAAAAAAAGACAGTGGGAAATGGTCCTTTTGTCCTTCTCCACACCCAGGAAGATGCCAAAGGCCACACATTTATCACAGTGCGGTTAATGGTGGAGGGAATGAGAGAGAAATCTCGCGCCCAATCTCAAGCAGACTCACCCCTCTTTCGACGTGTATCAATAACCCAACAATGACGCCTATTGTGTGAATCCTGCCTAAATGGTGTGAACATATGTTTCCTAGGGAACCGAGAGGGTGAGGCGGAGAGGGTTCGGGATATGACACACATTAAAAGGAGACACCAACGACCACAAACCACGTCACGAATGGCGTCATGGACGGCAGACAGTTGGATTTCGAGGGGTGAGAAGACGCTTTTTCCAGGGGGTGAGGCGTTTCGTGAAACGAGCAGGAAACATTGCAAATCGTCAATTGAAATTTGACTATCGTGAGAATGCCAAAGAGTTCATGGACTTGCATTCAATTTGAGTCTCTGGCGCGAGAGTGTGAGCAAGAAATGTTGTCATCTTCCTTGTTGGACACTTTGGCTGAATATGGTGAATTTCCATCGATTTCAGCACCGTTTTCTGCCTCCTTGACACTTTCGCGCATTCCCATGGGCATGTTTTTGCCCCCGAGGGCGAGGATGCACACGGTCGGCGGGGCAGCGGCCGTGCACATGATCAATTGGAGTGAAGAGACGGAGAACATTGATATCAATTTAATTTGCTTACAGACAGAGCTGCGATCGTGCGCAGCATGCGGTGAGCCTATCTCGGACCGATATCTCCTGGAAGTCGGTGGCTGTACATGGCATGGATCTTGTCTGAGGTGCTGTGTCTGTTTATCACCTCTGGATCGGCAACCGTCGTGTTTCTTGCGAGAGCGACAAGTTTATTGCAAAGCTGATTACACAAAGTGAGTTGAATTGTCGTCAATCACGCCAATATTGCACTAATTTCCATGCCTTCGCACTCCAACAAATTGTCAAACGATATAAATTTGCGAACCCCACCGAAAACCCAGCCAAGAGGACAGCACGTGCTGACCGTTGATTTTGACTTCCCATAGCAGGAATTTATGTCACATGAGATTTGTTCGGTTGGACTTTTTCCACCTTGGGATCTGCGCATTAATCATGGCTCAGATGTGTGGAAGCGGGCATAAATTTGTACACTGAATGGTAATTCCTTGTACGTGAATTAGAGGTTTAACACTACACACATTTTCATTTCTAATTGGGACAATAAACGAGACGGAAAGAACGACCCGAGAGTGATTCAATTTGGCAGTATAAAATATCTGGCACAAAGCCCGGAATTTACAGCGATAAATAATATTTGAGCAGGAAGAATTCCATGAATTTTCCTACACACGCTCTCAGATTGTGAAGGGCTAAAGTCTTACGCGAAGTTGCCGTCAAGAAATGAGATATTTTAGCAATAAACTGTTCTGGGTTTAATTAGTTGATCAAGAATTTTTAGGGAAATATCTTTTGTCGATTATTGATGAATTTTGATGGTTTCAAATAATAATAATAATCAGAAATGATTATTTTAAGCAAGATTTAAGAATAATCAAATATTGGACATTTTCAGCAGAATATACTAATTAATCAAATTATAATTTCAGAATATTTAATTAAAATTTAAATTGAAATAGGAAAAAGTCATAAAATTTGTCACTAGTTGGATTCGAATCCTTCAAAAAAGAATTAAGAGCGCAAAGCTTTAAAAACAGGCCCAAATTTGCCTTAATCATACATTTCATGGTCAGAAATCGCACGTGATTTTCACTTTGAAAAATATTTTTATACACAAAGTTATGTATAAGGGAAACAGTAGAACAAGTTAAATGAAAAAGAAGTGCAATATTTCCAACCAAACACCAGAATTATTCACTTTTTCACTTCATTCAGCTATGCTTAACATCATCTGTGTCTTATGCTGAAGTCTTTGATTGTTAACCCCTCGGTTTTCGGTCAGAAAATTCGATTCCTCAGGAGCCAACCAGTAAATAACGTCCAATGGGCAAAAAGGCGATTTGCACAGAACACAGATTACTTGCACGTCTACTAAAATGCCCATTCACATACAAATAACTTTTTAGCTCCATTCATGGCGATCACCTTTGCAGTTTAAGTCCGCGATTGAGCGCGCAGCGGCGCTGGGACGTGGGAGGGAGGGAGAGGATGGAAAAAAGTAATGAATATTCATTGTACAATTGTGGGTAATTTTCCTCCTGATGATGATACTTTGTGCATAATTCTGTTAACAACTGCGCCAAGCATAAATTGCACGCTCGCAAACTTTGGCCATCGCGCGGGATTTGTGCGCGGCAAAGTGTGTGTCTCTTGCAGGCCCCCAACTCGCGGGCCCCCCGGCGAGGGGCCGCGGTGGGAAGGAATTGATGCCGTGGAGACGCGCGGGTGAAAAAGAGCATCCAAAAGTCGCGCGGAGCTTGTTTGCCTGAGCGCAGAACAACAACTGAACAGCATCGAACGAGAAATGGCGTAAATTGAATTTTAATTATGCAAATTTTATCTCTCTCGCGAATTTTGTCCCTTCATCGGGGCGCGCACAGTGTGAGCCTCCTTGAGGCACCCTCTTGTCGCGATCCCCGCCGGGAGATGAATTTCCGCAAACACGGGATGGACATCCCAATGAAAACCAGAAGCTCCGAACATGGCAATCAATTTACTCTCTCTCGCTCTCGCGAACCCTTGTTTCAGCGGCAAAGGTGTGGGCTCGGATCTCTGGCGTGTGCTTCCTTTTGCTCGCATTTCGTGCTCCCGAGAAGCGGATTCAGTACAAGAGGATGAGGGCGTTCCGTGCACGCACATCTTCGTCATTCTCCAGTTCCTCGTCGGTGGGAAAAGTGTGCATTTGCATCGCGAAGATGCTCAAGGCATGGCGCTTGCACAGCGGCTCTGAAGAAGTCAAGGGGGCGATAACATGCTCTTAATCCGTACACCACTTCCTAATACTTCCGACACTTCAAATTGTTAGACTGTTTCTACAACATTTCCATGCGATATTTCTATAAAAATCCACTTAAAATAGCATTTTCAGCATCTTTTCCGATCATAACCTCAAAAATATCACTAAAAGATCCTTAAAGGCTCCAATTGAGAGCTTTTTAGATTATCAAATCACTCAAAATTGCTGATTGAGAGTGAAACTTGTGTAGAAATTGGTCAAAATTAACATTTTTTTACTCTTTTCGAGGTTATGTTCAACACAATTTCATGTGTTTTTTGCATCAAAGGTTCCGAAAATACTTAATTCTGTCAATTACTGGCAATATTAGTGACTTTAGCATAAGAAATGATGTGCTAGAATGCGAAATATTCCTTAAATTCGTCTGTGATTCATTACATAACCTAGAAATTAATTGTTTCTTCGTACAATTCAAAAGAAATCGAAAGAATTAGGATGCTTAGTAAGTAAAATAAGTACGCAGGAAGAAGAATTGTAAGTTTTTTGAATTACTGCTGAACTGTACACCACTTCTGACTGTATTATCTCCCCCTTGGAAGAAGTACCTCACCTAGAACAGCACGCATGCTGTTTTCTTTGGATGTTTACCAAGAACAAGACAAAGCCAAGGGAGAGTGAAGGGCAATAATAATGCAAAATTGATAATTTAGTAACTTTACTTCTGCATAAGTTTGATTGCTGCGTCTGACCGTCCATAAATTCCCCGTTGTTCTGTACTAAAAAATCAATTTTCATGAAATGAACACTCTTCCGAAGAGAGGAAATGTTTGCTGTATGAGCTTTTTTTTGTGAATTTCTCCCCTTTTACACAACTTTATGCACACATAATTTGTACGGTGAAATACAATTCCATTTCCCATCACATTTTCGTGACTTTTGTCCACTCTTCGAAAGTTGTTTTTGCGCCAGCAATTTTAAAGCGAGAGCACAGCGAATATAAACAAACATTGGGACAATATTGTGTCGATTGTAAATTTTGTATTTTATCTGGGTGGAAATTTGGCGAAATTCACGTGACAAAGTGGAAAGAATCACTCGATGGTGTGTGCTCACTTAATCTGATTAATCTCTGCATTGGCAGTGATTGCAGAAAAATGATTTGGCTGGAGGAGAGAGAGAGAGAGTGAAGGGAGATGTCCAGCATTTTATTTATTCAATTATCAGTCTGACTGATCAGCGGATCGTAAAAATTTCAGGAGCGAAAATTTTTCGGTTGGAACTCTTCACGCGTGCTTTCGCCAGTCGATATAAATCATGAAAATTATCACCCTATTAATATTAGTGATTTTGTGGGGCTTCTGCGGATGCACTCTCGCGAAGCGCTGGTGCATTTGTCGCGACATCCAAACTGTAATGAGATACATGGCGCGATAAGTCCTGTCGCTTCGGCCCCAGAAGTTGTACGCGACTTGCATATTCGCACGGGGAATTATAATAAGGCTCCACCAAATGAGGAACGACCGGAGGTATAAGAGAAGAAATGTCGAATTAATTTATTTGCATATAAAATACAACATCCAACAGATGATCGAATTCTTCTCTCGCGCGCGCGATCCCAAAAAGATCGCCAGACAAATCCCATGACATTGCATCGCCAATTTTCCACTTTTTTCCACACCCTTTCCGAAATCTCGCTGGGAATATTTATTGCACACACATTTTCTCTGCAATAACCATGCAGCAAAATCTGGATCACCTCCACTTGATTTGGTATTCTCAGATTGTCCATAGAAGAATAAATAATATCGTCGAACTGAACTTCTTGTGTGTGTGAATTTTTGGCCAAAATTCATATTTACATTTTAATTATTCCACTTTTCAGACACTAATGAATTGGTTCACCTAAATGTGATCGAGAGATGGTGTCCATAAAAATGCACACGATGACAAGTTTATGCGGCTTAACAAATCAGAATTTGCATATTTGGCCAGTTAAGATGTGCGCCGAAGGAAAGCAAAGAGACTTTATGGGTGTCTTTCAATTATTTACATTGTGGAATTTAATACAAATAAATATCTGTGATTTATTGACAAGATCACGAGTTGATCTTCCTGGTCATCTCGCGTGCGAAATTGATTTATTCCCGCTCAAAAATCACTTGTCTCGCTCTCAAAAGGGGGAAATAATGCAGTCAGAAGTGGTGTACAACTCAATAGTGCAATATTTGATCCACAGCTTTGATTTTCTCTACATTATTTCACTTTTAGAAATCAATTTCTTATCCAAGTCTCAATTTTCACATATTTTTCTAGGTTATGTGATTGTTTTTTGAATAAATAACGTCTCAAAGTAGAAATTCTTGCACCTAAACTGAAAGTATTTTGTTATCTATTAGATTTCAGTTAGTTTTCGGTTGATTTTCAGTTCGATTTGATTAAAATACTAATCTTCCAGTTCATAATTCTGACATTTTGACATATATTTTCTAGGTTATGTGACTTGTTAAAGACAAAATAACAAATTATTGCACTAAAAACGATATTATTTTCGTGTAGAATTGTGTATTTGCACTCAAAGCCAATTGCTAAGAGAATTTATCAAACATAACCTCAAATTTTCACTTCAAGACATCAAATTTTGAGCTAGAAAGATTCTAATTTCAAACACAACATCGGAAACTGCAATTAAAAGCAGAAAATCATCAAATCTGTGTATGATTTTAGCCTTGTTAATCATTTTACTTCTTAATTTGTTGAGGTTTTTTCATACAAATTGTGAAACTGTCAGGAAGTGCTGTACAGACTTTAGCCAGACTGTCTTCCCCTTGTCGCCCTTGATGTGAAGAATGGCTCCGGTGATCTCGGGCACGAGTGAAAGAGATTCACGCGGAGGAAAGCCTTCACATCTCATCGTGAGCGCGGGCTTTTCGGATGTTGCGCGCCAAAGTGTGGCGGGAAAAAAAGACTCCCCGGCAATTTCTCCAAGTGTTGCGCCGCGATGAAGAATTGTGTGCGAGGCGAGATAAAGTGAGCCCAGCTGGAATTAATATTTGAGTAGAATTTCCTAATGCTTTGACCGGTGTGTGATTAATTGATTTCAGTGATTGATTCATCGCCACGATCTTTCACTTATTTGTTTTCACGACACGCTCGATCGCACCACATTCTCTCGGAATTAGTTACATGGTAATTTGGGGAGATGCTCCACGCCAAATCGACGTGGTAATCAATAAATGGCTCTGGAATGGGCCAAACATACCCCACATAGTCTCAAAGAGGGGCGAAGGATTGACGTGAGAAAATGAGCTCATGTAATTAATCCATCAAAGCCAAAACATCGTGAGCCACACGAGAATTCTTCTGAGTCCATTTTTTCGGGATATTGTAATTACAATATTTTCTCCGGAGATTTTACGATGTCGTCTGATCGAAGTGTTCCCACATTGAGGCGTCTCTCGATGGGAATTTTGTGTGTTTTCGTACACAAAGGCTAAGCCTGAGTTATTTGATGGAAATGGGTCTTCTTCGCATTCGCCGCGAAATGGAATGTCTCCCCTGAAATTACTAACATTTTATTGAAAATCGTTACATTTCTTTACTGCTGAAGCTCTTGAACCATTTTATAATTAAATCGATCCCGAAAAGTGCCAAAATTACGACTTTTGAAGGAGCGAATTAAATTTACCTGAACTAGAGCTAAATGAGCAATTGAATTGCAAACTAAATATAACGCTGACAATTCTTTAACAAATACGCAAGGGGGAATTAATGCGGCTAAACAGTGTCCACAATTTCAGCGAAGAATCACAGACACTTCCAGAACTTTGGCAGTGCTTAAAACATTCGTTTTCCTTATTTTCTTCTCTGTTTTTCGAAACTTTATAGATTTTTCCAACCGCCTAAAATATCATAACCTCAAATTTCTATCCTTATTGTTCTGAAAAGACTCAATTTTTGCTTGTTTGACCCTGAAAAACTCACAGAGAAACAGAATTTAAGAAATATATGAAGTTTCCAGAGGATATTTTGAAGTGATTAAATTTTTAATCACTCTTCCAGATGCACTGTTGATCATAACCTCAAAATTACCTGAGATGTCTGAAAGAATCCTTGAAAGAAATTTATTTGGAATCTTTTAAAGGCAAGACTAATCGACAAAAAGCTGAAATTTGCTATTTTGGAGTAGAAAATCATTCAAGCAGCTCTTAAAATAGACAATTTCGTATCCTGAAACAGTAATAAATTGAGCTTAAATTTAGTTACATAACCTAGAAAAGAAATGAGATTTTTATGGCTTAAAATAGTGTAAAAATTCTCAAAATAATGAGGTTATATAGCGTGAAAATAGCTCTAAAACGCCTAATAATGCCAATATTTAAGTACTTCTACTTCTAAACACTTCTGCTCAACTTTACACAACTTTTGACCATAATATTTCCCCCTTGCAAGCATCAAAAGAACGACAAAATTTGTGCATAAATATAAAAACCATGTATTTTTGCAACAATGCAATCGTCAAACCAGAAAAGTCACAATTTCAGAGGATTAAGGAATTTGTAATTTTGCAATTTACCTTTATGGCTGTTCTTCTGTATTTCTGTTTACACTCGCAATTAACCACCTTTTCTCCTCACATCATTTCTGATATTAATACCGTCTCATGACCGATAATTCCCTCAAAATTTCCAGATCATGCAAATTTTTATCATTTGATAAATCTTCCTCAGCCACAATCTTGTGGTGGATTTCACTTCAATCTCCTTGCTTCGCCGAAAATTCTTTTTTTTGTGTGCAAAGTTTGTGGAATTCCTTGCAATTTTTCACCAGATTCCCTTCATGACGAAAATAATTGTCTCTCGACGCTTTTGCCTTTGACCAAAAACCTTTTCTCAGCTGTGATTTTTCACCATCGCTCACACGATCGGGGCATTTATCAAGCTCGCGCCTGCATTGGCCATCGATCTCGCGCGCGCGGATTTGAAAGACACCAGCGAAGATGATGGAAGGCACACGGATGAATAATCATTGCATATCAATAATATATCTCGCCTTGGCAGCCAAGAGTTTCCATCGCGCTGGCATGTTTTGACACGATATCTCTGGAATTTCCTCTTGTGGCCAAGGATCAATGGATCGGGAGCACGTCTCCTGTCCACTCCGTCTCCCCAGCTCTGCCGCGTGTATTTATTCTGGTGTCCATCAGTGCCTGAGCGCGCTCAAAAGGTGCTTTTATTCATCATCAGCTTGTCGGTCGATGAAGAAGCTCAGCAACGCTCAAATATCATAATCCCGCGTTGAAGATCTGTTGGTCTCTTCTTTTGATTTCTGGCGATGAATACCGAAAAAAATAATACTCAATGCCGCGTTTGAGGGAGAATTATGCCATTTATGTTTGGCGGTGTTACAGAAAAACACAGTTTTGACATGTCATTTTACACCTTTTTCATCATCTGCTTAATAAATGGGGTTCACACTCTGCCAAGAGGATGAATTTAGTTGAAGTTTTCCCAGTAAAACAAGGTTTATTCAATCAATTGGGCGGGGCATTTCGGTGGGCGTGGTTTCGGTGAATTTCCCATAGAAAAGTGTTAAGTTGACAAAACTCTCTTGCAAGCATTTCCAGCGATTTCTCATCACTCTCTTGAGTCTCCTTGACTGGTCAATATAATGAAAAACAGTTTTTCAGCACCTAATGCGGAATTGCACTCATTTAATTTACAGCATTTAATTTCCAATAATAAAAGTTTATGACACTTCCGCGTGGAATTCAATCTGCATCGCGCGCACGTTGATGAAAGTGGTCAATTTGCAGATCCCATGGTGGAGGCTTCCCTAAAAACTCTCTGCCCAATCAAAGCTCCGAACAGCTGATAAAGAAGATGGTCTTGAAACGGGACACTCAATAAAAGGGGGAATTTAATATTATGAAAAATCATAAAATAGAGAGATTCTGAGTGCGAACTCTCATCTTCAGGTATCATTTCAATGGGCCTTTTTTATTGGCATGCATATATAAAGTTGGTGTGTGTGTTATAAATATAACGAAAAGGCGAAGAAATGCCGATGATGGAAAAAATGTGTCGAAATTGCTTATTCATCCCGCGCGCGAGCTTGAAAAAGAAGTACATAACAAAAAGAGAAGCGAAGTGCATAAGCTGGAGACACAGTTTTTGAGAGGAAATCATCACTCCGAGGCTGTGGAGAGATTTCTTCATGCACCGTCACGAGATTGATGTCTTTTTAAGAGCTCCTCTCTTTCTGGTCTTCTCTGTGGTGCAGGAATTTCGGGGCGAAGTGCTCAAAGTGCTGCCGCGGAATCGCCTCCTCGGACTGGGTGAGGCGCGCCCGGGAGCTCGTGTTCCACCTCGCCTGCTTCGCCTGTGATGCCTGCGGCCGGCAACTCTCCACCGGCGAGCAGTTCGCCCTCCTGGACGATCGGGTGCTCTGCAAGGCGCACTATCTGGAGACCATCGAGGGCGGCACGACTTCCAGTGACGGTGAGTGTTCAATTCCCGCCCCCAAAGCCTCCGCATCTCACCCTTTCTCTGCCCGTCCAGACGGCTGCGATCCGGATGGGTATCACAAGAGCAAGGCCAAGCGCGTGCGCACGACGTTCACGGAGGAGCAGCTGCAGGTGCTGCAGGCCAACTTCCAGATCGACAGCAATCCCGATGGCCAGGATCTGGAACGCATCGCCTCCGTCACCGGACTGAGCAAGCGCGTGACTCAGGTGTGGTTCCAGAACTCGCGGGCGCGCCAGAAGAAGCACATCCACGCCGGAAAGGGGAAAAGTAAGTCGCGCCCAGGCGGAAGTCTCTCCGTGGCCCTCCGCAGTGGCCTAATCAGTGATTCTCGCGCGATTTGCCAAAAACAATGTTCAAAGCACCTTCCGACCGGCAGTTAAATTTACAACCTCATCCCTGCCGAAGATATAAATTATCCGGAGATATTTCCTCGATGATCGTAAATATTGAAGGTATCGCCATATTCAAATTAATGGATTTTTGAGCATCAACAAGTCTTCAGCGGGGAGGCATATGAATTACTATCGATATTTCTCTCCCACGAGAAGAGACGTGGTTTTACGAAAAACCAACCCAATAAAAGACCCAGTCGAGTCTGGTCTAAGACGCTTTTTACACGTTAAATTATTGCCGTCCTGCTTGTATGACCAAAAGAAGGTTTCTTTTCTCAGCATTGAATTCATTTTCCTCAAATTCATCTGACTGTTGTGAAAACCAAAATGCAGATATTATGATTGCAAAAGGTTCGGTTTCAACAAATTTTGGCATATTCTAAAGTGTTTTGCCTAGAAAAATCAATTTTATGGCAATTTTAGGTTATTTGATTAAATAAAAATCATCTAACTTCTGTTTAAGCTGGAAATTTATCTGTTTTCTTGACGAAATTGAGTATTTCTGTTCGAAAAAACACCAATTTGTTAGAAAACAGCTTAAAAGTCAATCATAACCTCAAAAATGTCTTAGAGAATTCTTTTTGCTTAGTTATTTTCACGTTTTGTGCTCTAAAGTGGCAAATTCAATCTCATTATTTAGTGAAAACATTGTGATTTTCGGTATATTTTCTCATTTCTAAGCTTGAACTATTAATTTAAGTCGAATTCATAACCTCACAATTTATTCAGAATTTTATTTAAAGCATTTTCTGAAGAAGGAAATTATTTATGAACAAATTCTGGGACAATAAAATAATTTTTTACGTTTCTTGAAGAACTTAAACTTAGAAATAGTGATAAAGGAGTCAAAAATGTGATAAAAATGCCTTTTCATTCTATAGAGAAATATCTCCTCCTTGATGAAAACCACTTTTAAACATTATAAATAAATTTCCGCACCAATAAATATAGAGCAAAAGCCACTGAAATCTTTTAAGCGCCCAAATACATATTCAAATGAGTTTTAAAAATATAAATCGTGAAAATGCAATAAATTCCGCAAAAAACACATAATCAAATGCCAAAATGCAGTTCCTGAAGCCTGAGAATCACTGATTTTGCAAGATTGGAAGACACAAAAATGAGATAAATCAACGAATTATGTTAATTATTATGTGAAAATGACGCCTTTCTTTTCCATCTTTTCTTTTCGTTGTAGTGCAAAGAGAAAATGACGGCAGCTCTTTCGGACGCCACATTAATCTGCAACTAACGTACTCATTCCAAAATAACAATAATAATTCGCATAATTCGTTACACTTGAACAACAACAATAATGTTAGTTCTAATTGTAAACCATCCATATTCACGCCACACGGTAAGGAAAGATGAAAGACGCCCACAAAAATCACCTCTGGATTTGATGAATTTTCAGCGATTTATCTCAATTCTCGCGCCTCTGTCGTTTCAGATTCCTCCATGGACGAGCTGTCGCAAGACTCCAGCATCCACTGCATGCAGAGCGAGGTGTAGAGAGTGTGGCCCAAAACCACTCCCAATTTGCGCCAATAGTCCAATTGAGATTCCTTCTGTGCAATAGAAAAAGTCCCGGAAATCATTTCTCTCCTCATCATTTTTCTTATAGTGAAAAGCAATGTGAATTTGTATATTTATTTCCCCACCTATTTATTCTCGCAAACTCTCCCCTTTCGCGCTCACACTTACCCCATCCCCCACCCCCACCCCCACCCCCACCCCCAAGCAAGATACGTAGAAAAGAAGACAGATAAAATGATATCAACTGGTGTTTATAGACATGAATGTGTACTGTTCATTAGGTTTTAAGTGATTTTGCAGAAGTGCGGAGATTAGTTTTGTAATCACGAGGCAGAGTGACGATAGTTCAATGTAATTGTATAATTTAATTTTCATAACTTATAATGTACCATTGTATAGACGAAATTAATAATAAAATGAAAAGAAATGTGATAATAAAAACAATTCTTCTGGCTGTTGAACTTGTGCTCATCGTGCATATGCTGCATGCTGCACCAATTTCTCATCTTGTCTTTTGCAGCTTTTGCATTTCAACGGGTGAATCGAAAACGATGAAAAGCCAAAAAACCGCATTTTTTCAGGAAAGAGAGTTCAAAATTTCGCTGCAAAATTTGTCAAATTGACTTCAAAAGTCTCAAAACGCCTTCAAATCGTTCGTTAAAGTGCAAATATTGTGTATTTATTATTTTGTGCATATTTTAGTTGATTTTAAGGGTGTTTATTGAATTTTTGACTAAAATGTGGCAAAATTATTAGAAAATCAAAAAATTACTTTCCAAAGACGATTTTTGATAGACTTCGGGCCGATTTTATCCAAACAAGTTTTAATAAATCAACTTTACATACTTTTTTTCAAAGTTTTCAAATGATAAAATTTAAAAGATATGAGAAATATTAATTCAAAGTCTTGAAAAAACCTTTTTGGATATCTAAAAATATTTTCTGAAAAGGCGTTTTATGCGTTTGACGGCAATTTTTGAGTCATTTTTTCACTTTTATTTTTCTGGATAATTTGCTATTCTTAAATTCTCGTGAATTTCTTGAAGAAATAAGGAAAATCAAGCCAAATCAAACACACTTTTCCTGTGGCGAAATACAAGCCTATATTATTCATTCAATACAAATCATCCACAATTCCCACGAGAAATTCGCTCTCTAGATCTTGATCAGGTGAAGTCTCCTGTTGAGATCCTCGAACTTGAGGATCTTGCGGATGAAGAAGTCTCCATAGCGATGAGCCACCTTCGTGTCTGCGATGTGAATCATGTCGTTATCGATGAAGAAGTCCAACTCAGAGCCGGACTTGAATTTCCCATCCAATCCGCTGCTGCCCTTTGTCCACACGATGTTCTTCATCTTGTGCTTGAAGCAGAGCAGGTGAATGAGCAGATTGGCGATCTTCCTCTCCTCGGGATCGTGACCATTCTGGTCCATGAAGGAGGCGAGTTTGGCCAGCGGCAGCGTGGTGTAGAGCTTCAGATAGGAGCGAATCGTGGGCAGTTCCTGTTGCTGACGCACTTCATCCATGAACACCTCAATCTGATGCTCCATTGGGTCCTTCACGTAGTCCTCCATGGGCGCATCCGGTGGCGGCGGGCAGGGCGACACGAACTTCGGGCAGGCGAAGGTGTAGAAGTTCTTGAACACCTCCAGATCGCCGCACTGCATCTTGTACATGTTGTCGTGGTAGTTCTTCTCGCGCAACACTTGCTGGATGGACTCGTCGATGCATTGGGGATGCAGGACGAGACAGATGGCCAGCAGATGGTACATCTGGTCCGTCTGCTTGTTGATCTGGTCGTTCTGGTAGCTGCGCGAGCTGTACAGCTGCTTCGTGCGCTGAATGTACAGCAGAATGGAGCAGAAAGTGCGGATGGCGTCCGAGTAGCGACGCATCATCATGTAGGCGAAGCCCACGTAGTAGGACGTGCTGATCTGGCACGCCGGGATGTGCGAGTACTGCGACTTCTTGTGGATCTCAATCGGCTCCAGCACCTTGATGGCCTGATAGTAGTCGCCCAGCAGCGAGTGCACGCGCAGCAGACCCACGAGACTGAAGTAGCCCAGCATCTTGTAGAACGAGTGGCGGCCGAACTCGCCGGCCACGGACTCCGGATCGCCGCCGGCGGCCGAGACTTCCAGCTGCGCCTTGATGTTGGACATGTCCACCAGCGAGTGCAGCACATTGAGGATGCACAGGATGTTCCACACCTTGCTGTTGTTGTTCAGCAGCTGATCCATCTCCTCCTCGCTCTTGTCCGTCAGCCGGGCGCGATACTGAGCAAAGTTCTGGAACTGATACACGAACTCATCCACCAACTCCCACAGCCAGATGTCCGGCAGCTCGAGAGACACCGGCGAGGCGGAGGAGAGGATGAGGTTGAAGAAGTCACAGTAGTTGAGGAAGGAGCTCACGCGCTGGTCCAGAGACGGTCCGCCGGGGATGCGCGCGTGGATGTGGCGATAGTAGAGCTCCTTGTACAGAATCATGAACACCTGATCGTCCTCCACGATGCTGGCCACCTCGTGCTCATCCGGCCAGGCGCGCTTGTCGAAGTGCTGCTCACTCAGCTTCGGGAAAGTCGTCTCGTACATGTTCTGGATGTCATAAATCACGCCCTCGTTGATGGCATCGCGGAAGTACTGCAGGAACTTCTTCACCATGTCCGGCATCTTCGACGTGAAGTAGTTCCTTTCGTACTCCATGTCCAGGTGCGGATCACCCGTGTGAGCGTCGTACTCGTAGATGTAGTCCTGGAAAGCGAAAACACAGGCATGTGAGACTCCGCACACGTCGAACTGCGCCCCGTTTGAGGTTAGATTCATCGACGTGGAATATTCTCGGAAAACCCCGTGAACTATTCAATTTTCCAGCAATTCCACACTTGCAAAACCTTCTCACCTCATTATACTCCTCGTTGGCGTACATCTTGCAGCGGTATTTTAGCTATTTTCACTGATTTTCGCAGAGAAATGTGAACACGAACGCACTGAAAATACAATACGCGTGAAGTTGGAAGGCGACAATGTCGGTAATGCAGAGCACGGAAATGTTTAAGAGGAAAAGTGTGTAAAAACTTCAGTCTATTTTGCGCTCTTCAATCTCAAAATACTTTCCTTGATTTTCTCTCATTTTTTTCTCAAATCCTGTGAAATAAAAGACTGGTTCTTATTCCTGCGATATCTAAGTAAATTTCACCAACAATCAACACTGCTATAATAGTAGTAATGCTTCATTTTCAAGCGCAAATTCAATATGTTTGATATCTAACCTCAATTTGCAGGTGTTTCGGGATGGAATCTCCGGAGAAGAATGACTTTGTCCCAGCTTCTGGATCTCTAAGCGAGGTACTACGTCCGAGGGACGAGGATGAGTCTCCATTCAATGATTCACGGGGCATCGAGATTGAAAGGATTAGAGCGATCCTGCGGAATGATGACGCTTCTCCAACGGAAGACAATCCAGGCAATCTTTCATACCTCCTGGAGCTCTCAAACACGGATAATAGAACGCCGGAAGGAAGTGAAAATGTGTCTCCTGATGAGCCAGTAGAACTCGCAATGCCAGAAGGACCAGAAGCGTCAACTGAGAGCATTTCTTTGCCGACAAATGAGAAGGAAGCGATTGATTCTGATGATCATGAGACTGCTGAGACTGTTACAACGCCTCCAGAGGCTGAGCAGGAAGTGAGCCCTGACATACTGTCTGCGGGACAAAATGAGACGGCCAAGAGTAGTTCTCCTGGTCCTGAGAGTGCTGTGACGCCTGAAGAGGAAGCTCAGGAAGAATTAAGTGCTTATTTACAAAGTCCAGAACGTCCTGAACCAGAAGACGAGCTTACAAGAGATCTTCTTGAAAATGCAGAGGATTCGTCACAGTTTCAGGAGGTTCAGCAGGCTCAGGAGCGAGGAGAAGACCCCCAAGAAGGCTGCAGTCAAGTCGAGGAGAGTGCTGATGAGTCCGGCAACTACATTCCTGTGGAGGAGTACATGAAGGAGTGGAAGAGGAAGAACCTTCCCGGAGAATACTCCAGTATTCAGCACATTAAGAAAGAGCTGCTGATGCTGGCCAAGTGCTTGAGACTGAAGCAAGGATCAAAATTCAAGCCAGAAGTGGTCTTCAAGGGACTCCTTCCGGAATATCCTGCGCCGCCAGGATACCTTGAGAAGCGCATCCGGATGTATTTACAGCAGACCAACAGAACCCTGAAGCCTCCGACAGTGAAGCAGGAAGAGGAGAGTTTCTCCAGCTCCTCCGACACCAATTCGACTGTGATCTTCAGATCGCTGTCCAGAGGCAGCAACAGCGCCTTCTATGCCGCCCAGTGTGGCTCTCCCTTGGCCGAGGAGAGCGAGGATGAATTCATGTCTTGCGATTCAAGCCAAGTCAGTCCCAAGGACCAATAAAAGACACTCTCTTCAGTCCGATTAATTCATTTATTTCTCTTGTTCTTTTGGTATCCTTTTTTCTTTATCTCATTCAATTCGATATCTTCAATGAAAAAAAAGATTTCTAAGCCTACACATTTAAGAGCAATACTTAAAACAAAGTGAGACGCGCGTGGGAATGAAGTTTCTTGCAAAGTTAATCCAAGAGTAAAACCACCAAGTGAAGGAATCCACTACAACGCAGCTCACACTGAGACTCGGTGGAATGAGAGTGACTGGCGTGTGGGATTTAGTCCACTTCCTCCATGTGCGAGGCATCGTCGGTGTCATCGACGAGTGGCGGGGCGTCTCCGGCGCCGCCCTGGGGCTCATCGGCCGCCATCGGCTCATCCTCATCGATGCCCAGGCCCAGCTTGATCATCCTGTAGATGCGGCTGGCGTGCACTTGGGGCTCATCCAGGGTGAAGCCGGAGGAGAGGAGGGAAGTCTCGTACAGCAGGATCACCAGATCCTTCACAGACTTGTCATTCTTGTCAGCGTCCGCCTTCTGACGCAGCGTCTCCACGATGGGATGATCGGGATTGATCTCGAGGTGCTTCTTGCCCGCCATGTAGCCCATGGTTGAGGCGTCGCGCAGCGTCTGCGCCTTCATGATCCTCTCCATGTTGGCACTCCAGCCGAACTGTGACGTGACAATGCAGCAGGGCGAGTCCACCAGGCGATTGGACACCACCACCTTCTCCACCTTGTTGTCCAGCACAGACTTCATCACCTTGCACAGATTCTCATACTTGGCCTTGTCCTCCTCGCGCTTCTTCTTCTCCTCCTCATCCTCGGGCAGCTCCAGGCCCTCCTTGGTCACGCACACCAGCTGCTTGCCCTGGTACTCCTTCAGCTGCTGGATCACGTACTCATCGATGGGCTCCGTCATGTACACCACCTCGAAGCCGCGCTTCTTCACGCGCTCCACGAACGCCGAGTTGCTCACCTGCTCCTTATTCTCGCCCGTGATGAAGTAGATGTGCTTCTGGTTGTTCTTCATGCGACTCACATAATCGGCCAGCGAGCAGTACTCATCCCCAGATGCGGACGTGTGGAAGCGCAGCAGATCAGCCAAGCGGCTGCGATTTTGCGAATCCTCGTGCACGCCAAGCTTGAGATTCTTATTGAATTGCGAGTAGAACTTCTTGTAGCCCTCCTTGTCCTCGGCCAACTCCTCAAACAGCTCCAGGCACTTCTTCACCAGATTCTTCCGGATCACCTTGAGGATCTTGTTCTGCTGCAGCATCTCACGCGAGATGTTCAGCGGCAGATCCTCCGAATCCACCACACCCTTGATGAAGTTCAGATAGTCAGGAATGAGATCCTCGCAGTTATCCATGATGAAGACGCGGCGCACGTACAGCTTGATGTTGTTCTTCTTCTTCTTGGCCTCAAAGAGGTCAAATGGCACGCGACGCGGCACAAACAGCAGCGCCCTGAACTCCAGCTGACCCTCCACGGAGAAGTGCTTCACGGCCAAGTGATCCTCCCAGTCGTTCGTCAGCGACTTGTAGAACTCGCCGTACTCCTCCTGGCTGATGTCATCGGCATTCCTCGTCCAGATGGGCTTCGTCTTGTTCAGCTCCTCATCTTCCGTGTACTTCACCTTGATGGTCTTCTTCTTTTTCTTCTTATCCTTGCCCTCCTCATCGTCATCCTCCACGTCCTCCAGCTTCGGCTCGTCGCCCTCCTTCTTCTCCTCCTCCGTCGTCTCGCCCTCCTTCTTCTCGCCCTCCTTCTCTTCCTCCGCCTCATCGTCGCTCACCTCCTTGTCGCGCTCCTTCTCCACCACCATCTTGATGGGATAGCCAATGAACTGCGAGTGCTTCGTCACGATGCCCTTGATCTTGGACTCCTCCAGGAACTCCGTCTGGTCCTCCTTGATGTGCAGCACGATCTTCGTGCCGCGCCCCAGAGGCTCACCAGACGTGTCGGCGCTCACGGTGAACGAGCCGCCGGCGGACGATTCCCACACGTACTGCTCATCGTCGTTGCTCCTGGACGTGACAGTCACGCGGTCGGCCACGAGGTAGGCCGAGTAGAAGCCCACGCCGAACTGACCAATCATGCTGATGTCAGCTCCAGCCTGCAGAGCCTCCATGAAGGCCTTCGTGCCGGACTTGGCGATGGTTCCCAGGTTGTTCACCAGATCCGCCTTGGTCATGCCGATGCCAGTGTCGATGATGGTCAGAGTGCCGGCCGTCTTGTTGGGGATGATCTTGATGTACAGCTCCTTGCCGCTGTCCAGCTTCGACGGATCGGTCAACGACTCGTAGCGAATCTTGTCCAGAGCCTGCAAACAGACAACAAAGCCACCTTGTTAGCCAAGACACTCCTTTTTGACTCCGCCACAGAAAAGCAGCCAAACTTACATCAGACGAATTGGAGATCAACTCTCGCAGGAAGATTTCCTTGTTGGAGTAGAACGTGTTGATGATCAGGGACATGAGCTGAGCAATCTCAGCCTGGAAGGCGAAGGTTTCGACCTCATTTTGCGCCGTCATCTGCAAAGGAACATTCCAGAACATCAGCCATGCGGTCGCCCAAGCAACCCACGCCAAACCACTTTCCCACCGGAACAGACGCTCTCCCGCCCCACATTTTCGCGAAAGAAATGGCTCAGAAGGAAGGCAGCATAGATTCTCAATCAAGAAATTATTATGCCAAAATGCATTCATCACGTTTTTTCCCGAAATTCAACTCCCAAAAGGACTCTCTTCACCCCAAAATCACGAGAAAAGCCACTCAACTCACCTTGATTCTTCTTAGAATTCCTTCAACAATTCAATGAATAAGCACTTCTTCTCAGAATGGATCCTTCTAGAAAAGTCCTCTTTCACTGCGGGGAAATCAGCAGAGTGACCTCTTCAACTGCTTCTATTGAACTATGCGCGAGGCCGGCGCAACACGCGCCTTTATAGCCTCAAGTGGTGAGTTTCTCAGAACATTCGAGAATGTTCGAGAAACTTCTGGAAGCCACTGCGACAACTTCCGCCGGCATTAGCGGCGTTTTTCCCTCAACACTCCTAGACAACTGTATCTGAGATACACAAAAAGCGAAAGGATAATTCATTAAATGAATTATCCTGCAAAATAGAAAGCGATTGAGGAGGGTTTATTGCTCAAATTGACACGAAATGATTAACGTCGTGAACAGCATGGTTCCGCTTTCTGGAAAATTCAACTCAAATGGTGAATAAGCAAAAACAATGCGTTAGCGTTGCAATATTTCACGAAATTTATCCTGAAGGAGCGAAACTTTGCGAAATGTGATAATGTGAATCATATGAATAAATTCTTGGTCGATAATTGTATTCTGAATTTGAGAAAATAATTATTAATTCCATGCAGTCCATTTGATAATGGTAAAAACAGGATAAACCCGATCAATGGTTGCTGATCAAAATGTAGTCAAAATGCTGTGTTTTCACCATAAGTGTTCCTTTCGGCGTGAGGTATTTATTTATTTTTCATTCTACTCATCACCTATGATTAATGCAAAGCGCTATAGTGCAAAAAATGGGAAAATAATGAAATTTCACGTGTAAATATAAAATCATTTAGAACACTTATTACTCACTACACAAACCAAGCGTTGAGGTGAATTTCATTCCACCACCCCGTTGGTTAGATGTCGCTGTTGGTCGTATAATAATACTTCCCTCCCGCCACACCAGAGGCACTCGCGACCACGGCGGGCTTTTTACTGCTTCTCCGGTCGGCGTTCCACTCAGTTTCTTGTTTTTCTCCCTCTTCAGTGTTTTGTGGCAGGTTATCGAGGCAGGTTGCATCTTCGTGACTTCACCGCACATTCAATCTCACGATCAAACGGTGCCTCTTCGAGTGTCTCTATCTCTCAACCAGGTAAATTCACTTCTGTCTGCGCCTCAGCATTCTTCTGCTGCTCCTCAGAAGAACACGGGAATGAAGATTCTCTCGACGGCGTCTTGAGTGCGTGAGCAAAGAAGATTGAGCAAAAAAAAAAGACAGGCTTTGTTGTTCACAACAAACTCTCTCTTTAGGTGTGGTCAAAGTGACGATAGGGAAATGTCTTGTTGTGCTTGTTGTTTTTGGGGGAAAAATCCTGCCAACAACCGGACAATCACTCATAATTCTCCCATTGGAATTGTGCGGCAAAGCTTTTCTCTGTTGAATTTGACTGGTGAAAAAGTGAGCAATTGTGGGTGATTTAGGCGGACAAACTGAAGCATCTCTTCTGCCACACACGATCGAGTCAATTTTCAGTGCGATTTTAATGGGATTGAGAATTCGCATGACCCCAAAAAGCGTGAGGAAATTGAGTTGGGGAGAGAAGAAGTGGCTCAGAAGATCAGAAGAGACTGTGACACTGTGCTGAAGAGGGTCAACGAAATGTGCTCAAACGTCGAAGAATTCCTCCCAAGCAATTAAATCAATTATTCAATTTAATTGTCGCGCTTGAACTTCTCGCTTTCTTATTCAATGCGGGACAAAAGGAAGCATTCTTTCGCCTTTTACTCTCGCAGGATAGTGAAAATCTTCTGGGGAATTTCACGCGCATTTTTAGCAGCTTCGCCGCGATAATGATGATGTCACGAGGTGGATCATCGAGAATATTTTATGTAATAGCTCGTGTGCTGGCGCGATTGTTCTTGTGGAGGTGAGAAGCCACCAGAGCTTCTCAAAACACCAAATCCCAACCGAGATTTGCCGATTTGCCTCAGCATGCAATTAAAGGGGGATTTTTGAGGTCTCAATGGCAAGATATGCAGTTAGATAAGTCATAAATAAATCATTTTTTATTACTATTCCGAGGGTTCGAATGCAGTTCATGATCTTTTGTGTGTTTTTCTTTAATATTATTTATAAAATTCAATTAATAAGTGCTCTTGAGATGAGTTTTTTTTTACTTCAAAGCTGTTTCTCCGATTGTGATTGATTTTCTGGGCAATATAGAGAAGATAGAGAATATTTGCATTTGGCAAAAATCCGCACAATATTCAAATTGAAGGCAAATTGCCACAATACAATATGCAAATGTCGCTCGTTGCCATGTAAAACGGCTGTTTTGTTCCCTGTTTTCCGCTCCTTTACTCGCACCTGGTGCGTGGGAGGCTCTCTTGCTGTCTAATAAGCGTGCAATTCGTCAAAATATCCCACAAGTGCAGGTGCTTTTCCTTCCCAAAAAGGGGCAAAATGCGTCTTTGGCTCAGCACGTGAGTGTTTTTCCGAAATTGCTCCCATTTTGGAAGATACAGAAATAAATTGGAACAAATCAAGTAAAACCGACAATTGCGCACGACTTTACAAAATGCCCAAAATGCTAATCAACCTCTTACAGCTAATCACGTTAACTTGAGATGTTTTTAAACACTTTTGTGAGATAATTAAATTACCTTTCATTGGCGTCAATGGCATCGAAGATAAAGAAAATTGATCCAGACAGATATGAAATGTTGGTAAATCTCAAGGGGCAGATATTATGGTCGGAAGGGGTGTAGAGTTTTATGCGAAGTGTTCAAAAATATCGAGTATTTGCATTGCAAAAGCTTCTATTTCAGCTTCTATTTCTGTTTCTATTCTATTTCAACAAAAAGATGCATTTTCTAAATTATTTTACTTGGTAAAATCAATGTTAATTGCTTTTCTAGGTTATGTAATTGAGTTAAGACAGATTATGATCATTAAATAATTCCTTAAAATCATTAAATTTGTGCTAAAGCCTAAAACTGAGAATATTTCTCATTCTCTCGGCAGAATTGAGCATTTGTGTTGAACTAAAGTAATAGAAACGAGCTTAAAAGTCAATCATAACCTCAAAACTGTCATTTCAACCTAGAACAATGTTTCTTTGCTTAGTTATTTCTGCGATTTGTGCTTGAAAATGGCAAATTCAACCTGATCATCTAGTAGAAACATTGAGAAATTCACTCTATTTACTAATTTTCGAGGTTTGGAAGAATTAAAAGTAGTCCATAACCTCACAACTTAATCAGAAGTTTTCTATGCATTTTCCAAAGGCAAAACTAGAAAATTCAGACAGAAAATCCTAGATTCGTTTGTGATAAATTAGAATCGAGTGCAAAAAACAGTTTAAAGAGTCTGAAAAGTGGTGTTAAACATTCTGCACAGATTTAAGGCACATTATCTCCCCCTTGGTAAATCTTGTGTTAAAGTTCTTCCTTGATTTGCACGTGTTTTACACGGTGTGAAAAGAAGAACAACCATAAATTAAAAGTACTCTTGAATCTTGTCAATCGCGTGCAATCGGCGTGCCAAAACCAAACACACCTCCTGGTAGTGTTTTGATATCAAAAGAAAAACCCTTGAGAGACACTTTAGAGCGTCTTGATAAGACGGCATGGAAACTAGAGTTTTGTGTGATAAATTATCCCGTAAAATGCGTAAAATCCAGATATTTGTGTCATTTGTGCTCATGCAATGCGATATTATTGAAAGTGAAACCAAAATGATTCAATTGATCGTGATAAAATCCCCGTTAACACACGTGCGCCCGAGACAATGTATAATTACTGCAGAGAACAGTTGTCGGGACCGCCTTTTGATGAACAAATAGGCAATATTGCTCACTGTTTGATCGAAGGCCTGCAAATTAGCGTGTTTATCGCACATCGAGTGGCACCTGAGAATCGCTCTGAGTCACGCAAGCTCTCTGTGTTCCCAGGCAAGATGAACCTCTGGACGGTGTTCGCCCTCCTGCTGGCCATCCACTGTGGCCAGAGCCTCGCGGCGCAGTGCTGCGAGGAGTATTGCTACGGCACGGACAGCGACAGGGCGCAGGCGAGGCACTACGCCACCAAGACTGCCTATCAGATCATCCGGAGCGGCGACGCCAGTCGCTACTACAGCGTGCCCAACTGCGAGCCCAGGAAGTTCTGGATGCTGAGCCGACATGGAACGCGTCTGCCGAGCGCGAAAGACATGCAGAAGCTGCGAAACTTAATCGACGTGAGTGAATTGCGCGCTTCTCTCTCTCTCTCTCTCTCTCTCTGCCCAGACAATTTTCACACATGATAATTGATCAATTTTCCAGCTCAGAGACCAAATCATTGAGAACTACGAGAAGAGGCGCTCCAAGCCCGACACTGGAGCGCTCTGTGACGCTGACTACCAAACCATCAAGAACTGGCGATGGGACAGCAACTTAACCGGGAACTTCGACAATTACCTCACCGTTCAGGGATGGAATGATCTCAAGTTGCTGGCGCAACACTACCAGAGAATCTTCCCCAATCTCTTGCCCAACATTTACACACAGGACAAGTACTTGGTGAGAATTCTCAGGATTAATTCTTCGTCCATGAGAAGCTCTAATCTGTGAAATTGCCTTGCAGTTCCGCCACACAAACATCCAGAGAACTGAGGCCAGCTTCAGAGCCTTCGTGGAGGGATTGTTCGGTCCTGACGCCTATCAGCACGTCAGTCTGGCTCCCGATGACAACAATGTCCTCCTGAGACCGTACGATCACTGTCCAGCCTGGGAAACTCAAGGCGATGCCATTGACGAGCCCAATTCCGAAGTCAACAAGTTCATTGCCTCGCAGCTCTTCCAGGACACTCTCAGTCAAGTCTCCCAGCGTCTGGGCTTCAAGTTCCAACTGCCCGCCGACCAAGTGGAGCAGATCTGGGACATGTGTCGCTACGAGCAGGCGTGGTTCCTGCAGAGAGTCAGCGCCTGGTGCACGGCCTTCACCAAGTCACACGTGGACGTGTTTGAGTACAAGGAGGATCTCAAGTACTACTACAAGAGCGGCTACGGCTCCTCCCTCAACTCCCAGATCACCTGCGGCCTCGTGTCCGACATGGTGCGCCACTTGGAGAGTGACTCCCAGCCACAGGCGGTGGCTTACTTCGCCCACGATTCCGCCATTCAGCTCTTCATGACGGCGCTGGGCGCCAACAAGGACAGAGACTCCCTCCGGGCGGACAACTATCTGCAGAACGAGCGGCGCACGTGGCGCACCAGCGACATCGCCCCCTTTGGCGCCAATCTCGTGGCCGTGAAGTACGACTGTCCGGAGTCCAATGAGCGCCAGAAGGTGATGTTCTTCCTCAATGAGAAGCCCGTGTCGCTGGACTGGTGTCGCGTGGGTCTGTGCGAGTGGCGAGATGTGCAGCAGATGTACAGTCAGTACACATCGGCGGACTGCTCCAAGACCTTCTGCGGCGGCGGCTCTGGCAATGCCATCAAAGTGTCCTTCGGTCTCTTCACACTCCTCCAAGTGATCATCATCACGCTCAGGGTTTTCCACTAAAGATGCGCACAACTTATTGTGGCTTTTTCTCCCCCCGTGTGGCTTTTCCACGTATGTCTCCAAACTTACACAAGCAAACTTCATAAATTTAGTAAATTAATTGTGACGATATTAGAAGAGATCTTTAGGAAGATATCTTCCCAGTGTCTGTGTAGAGAAAGGGTCAATAGAGGCAGATTCAATTAAAAGATTTTCCAGATAAACTACTGTGACTTGTGCCAAGATTTCAGGTCAGAGCCAGAGACTCTGTCCTGAGCACTGACGCGCCTCGTTGAGGTCATTCCGGGTGAGTGCAATAAGATTGCGGGCTCTTTTCACTCTCTCAACAGTGTCCAGCTTTGTGTGAGCGACTCGACAGTTTTCTCAGACGCTTTGACGAAGCAGTGAAGTTGAAAAAATATGCTAAATTTCACAGAAACACCCACAAAATTGTGTGCAAAAGGGGGAATTTCACACCCTATCGTCCGTGATCCCGATTTGTGACCACGGGAAAAAGGGTTTATGAGCTCAGGTTTAACGACCCCGTGAAAGCCAAAGTGCTCAGCTTAATTATTTCCCCCGCGCACAAACACATAAACACATAAATTCCTTCATCTTCTCTCACTCGCTCCAGAGCAAGCAATAAAGTTTGTGGTCCTCGTGAGCAAACAGCCAGTGACAATATATCGATTGTGGTGGTGCAAACGGCATTATTAAAGTACTTGCTGAAGTGTGTCGAAGTCAAGTGGAGTGTGAATAATTCCATTGATCTCCGGAATGAATCTCCTGCCTGTGATTTTCCTCCTTATCACCACATTTGCCGAGGGAGCGATTGTGGAGGCCGATACAGAAGATTATTGCTTCGCCACTGATCCGATTAGAGAGCAAGTTAGGAGATTCTTCTCAAAGACTGCTTATCAATTTGTGCGTGGAAATGAAAATATCACCATCGATTCTGGTTGTCTTCCTGAGAGATTTTGGCTGTTATCGCGCCACGGAACTCGCTTGACGCCACAGAGAGACACAAAATATCTATCAGAGAAGCTTCCGGTGATTCAGAGAGAGATTCTGTCTCAAAACAACGCCTTGTGTAGAGAGGATGTTGCTTTGCTGGCATCCTGGAAGTGGGATGTCAATGTAACAGAGGACAAATCAGAGTTTCTCTCCACTCAAGGATGGGAAGATCTCCGTGGCTTGGCAAGATACTTCCAGAATCAATTCCCAGCGTTGCTACAGAAGAAGTACTCAAAGAGAAAATACTTCTTCCGTCACACGAACAAGCAGAGAACACAGGCGAGCTTCGAGGCATTCGCTGAGGGATTGTTTGGATCTTATAAGAATGTCGAAGCAGCTCCAATTCCCCAGAACGACACTCTCCTCAGGGTTAGGAGACATTCCACAAGGGTTTCCTCAATTTGTTCTATCAATTCTCTCATCCTTTCAGCCTTATGACTTCTCAGAAGAGTGGAAAGAGCAAGAAAAATCAGTTTATCAGGACGGATCGGAGTACAGGAAGTTCCGAGAGAGTCTCAACTTCCTCAACATGATTGACAATGTCTCTAAGAGGGCGGGATATAACACTAGCTTAACTCCTGAAGCAGTTGAGATGCTTTTCAAGGCTTGTATTTATGACCAAGCGTGGAGAATTGAGGAGCCAAGTCCTTGGTGTTCAGTAAAAACTCTTCAATTCAATCTTCCTCCCAAAATACTCAGGATTTCCCCTCTTTCAGCTCTTCACGCCGAACGACGTGAAGGTCCTGGAGTATCTGCACGATCTGGAGGAGTACTACATCAACGGCGGAGCGTCGGATATCAACAAATCGCTTGCCAATGAGTTGCTGGACAATTTCTTGACACACTTCATGAGCAACGAAGACCCCAAAGTTGTGGCTTTCTTCACCCATTCCACCACTGTTGAGCTCTTCCTCACTGCCCTGGGAATTGCCCAAGATGACACAGCTCTCATGGCGGACAATTTCGACGCGATGGAGAATCGCAAGTGGCGAACAAGTGAAATTGCTCCCTTTGCCTCAAATCTCGTCATTGTCAGCTTGTCTTGCAATTCAGGACCGCGAAATCGCTTGATTTACCTCCTCAATGAGAGAATTTTGGAGTTGTGACAGTGAAAAGACATGGTAAGTAATCACTGAAAAAAAAATGCTATTCCACATTTGCAAAACTTCAACTCCGTCAAAGCAAAGAAGAGGAGAGAGTTCGTTGAAAATTCATGTAGTGGAATTAATGCTTCCCTGGAAGAGAATAAAGATAGTGTTTAGTGTGCATGAATAATTAGATGGGTTTAATCAGCGAACGGCGAACTTACTGAATCCTATTTGTATTTGGTGACCGTTGGCATTGGGGCAAAAGTCATCGGGAAGTTCTTGTTGATGACTTGGGGAGTGCGGTAGTAGCGCCAGAAGAGTGAACTGCCCCTCTTGAGGTCGCCAGTGTAGTTCAGGTGTTGCCAGCAGTCGCGCCAGTTGCTGTAGATCGGCATGCACGGCGGCCTTCCGGCTGCGAGGCTGCAAAGACAAGGCCAACAATCAACTCAGCACACACTGGACAGTCTCGAGGGATTAGCATACCTGGATCCAGTGACGGACATGCACACAGAGACCACCTGGAAGGGGTAGAAGATGGTGCTGAAGATGTAGTTGGTGAAGATGGGGAACACATTGCGCGACTCCTTCTCCGTGAGGAAGTGCTTCTTCACCAAGTACGCCGTGGTGCTGGCCAGCACCACACAGCAAATATCACCAACGAGTCGCGGCACGATGCCAGAGAAGAAGCCCGTCAATCCGTGCTCACGATAGATCTCCTTGGTTGCCGCCCAGATGGATGAGTAGACAGTCTCCTGGCCGACGAATTGGGCCATCATCCGTATGGATATCACTTGGAATGGTTGGGCAATCAGGATGGTCGATGAGTGAACGACAAGATCTCTCTTGAGCTTTCGCTGAAAGTCATTCCACCTGCAAAACAGACACAATCAGACCAAGTCCAAAACTTCCTCGCCGCAGTAGAACTCACTCTCTATCTGGATCTGATTCCGGCGCATGGATAACAGAAGTGGGAAATCCCTCAGCCTCGTATTTCCATGATTCGTCGTCCTCATCGTAGGTGTCCTTGATTTCCGCCAATCCCAGATTTCTGGCAATGCGCTCACTTCCAATCGATCCCACAACGGTGCCCACAAGTCTCGGCATCAGTCCACGAAAGCAGCCCACGAATCCGTCCACGCTCCTGATGTACTTCACTGCAAAGAGACAGCTTTTTAGAGGCGTTTCTTGGGAGTCTCCTTTGGGAAAAATCACTCACCATACTGAAAGATGTTGGGCAACACCAGAGCATCGTAGCCCAGGATGCTGCGGACGGTGCGCGGAGGTACAGGTTCGTAGCCAATCTGCAAAACAGATCAAAGGTTAATCCCTCAGGCGTAGATAGTGGAAATTGCGGTGCACCTGAATGAGAACTTTGGCATATTCGAAGGGATGAAGCGCTGACTGCAGTCCAAGACGGAGGCCAAAGCGTATCCACTCGTTCAATTCGTGCTGCTGATCCTTGATTGACGACATATTCATGAGCTCCGACGCCCTGTTTGCCTTCTCTCGATACCCCATCACTCTCTGCCTGGAAACACTGACGCAACCGGGGGAAATTTGCAAGATTTATCAGCGAAACAGCCTCCGATCCAAGCGACAGAACTTAACCTCCGCGAGTGGGGAATTCGCAGCTGTCAAAGAACCCGGCCCGGTCGGCGCTCCCGTCGTCCCGACGTTGCCGCTTCCCCCCGCATATTGTTGTGGTACTCGTGAGGAGTGCGTGCTGCGAGTGGCAACAGTCACGGCTGGGCAGTGGTGAATTGGCGAGTAGGTGGGGGGCGATGTCAGGATGTGAAGTGGAGGAAAATAAAAGGGCATTTTCTCAGTGAAAACTAGGGGTTATTGTGCGTGATATAGTGTAAATAGACAGCTAGGACAATGATCCACCTCACGTCGCAGAACATGTCCGCCAAGGAGATGATCCAGAGTGTCTTTTCGCCGCTAATTGGGGCGACGTGCAGCGCCCAGGCGGAGGAGATGTGTCAGAAGAACAACTTAACGTTCGTGGAGATGTTGCAGCCCTTCAGTCGCCTCAGCACGGACGCCAGCTTCAGGGACTCCTCCGGCACTAGTGTCTCCCTCAAGGGGACCCGCCTCAATATCTGTGATGTGGCCTGGCGACCGCCCCAGACTGTGCTGGCGCGGAAGATGCTCAACGATTCCGTGACTACGAGTCAATGTGACAAATCACGGGCTATTCAAGTGGACGGTGAGTCCCAAGGAGTCCTCCTGCAGAGACTCACGTACACACACTAACTCTTGTGCTCCTCTTTCAGACACCACTGCCCTCGACATTCCATTCAGTGAGCCGTGGTACGAACAGTGGCGAGAAACCTTCCTCACGGTCCAGTTTCCGGCAGATCACGAGTTCACGAGACACTTCCTCAGCTGCCTCATCGTCCTGTCCAGCTCCGATCCCAATCCGCTGGAGTGCGCCAATCAGCTGACGCGAAAAGTGCAGATGATGCAGAATGTGACGCCGCCAAAGTTACCCAAATGGTTTACTCAGGATCCTCTCAATTGCTACGTGATGCTCCACGACGGCTGTTCCGGGGACATCACGAAGGCCCAGCAGGCTTTCGAGTCGCTGAAGATGACTTATGGGGAGAACAAGTGCTTCCTGGTGCAGATCAACTCATGCCAGGGCACTCCCGGCGAGTGTCCGGATCCGTGGCTCAGGTACTTGAAGCGTCACCCGCGGCCGGATCCCAATCAGGTGGAGAACGATAGCAGCACGCCAAAGTCCCCGCAAGACAGCGGAGTGTCGATGACCATGACAATGCAGATGAGCACTCTGGAGACGCCGCCGTCGGGAATCCTCGTGGGCGAAGTGGTTCACCATCCGCTGAGTCCACTGCAGGAGACGGGCGGTGACATATCTGCCATGTCCACCAGCACCGAGAGCCTCACGTCGCAGCCCATCAATCCGAACGTGTGGGCGGCCACGGGGAATGAGGAGCACGTGGATGTGCCTCATGGAATGTGTCTCACGACGAGTGACACGGAGAATCTGAGGCATTTGGTGCAGGATTTCAGTCTCAGAGCACTGATTCCGTACATTGAGAAGCTCATCTACAGCTTGAATGATTCCATCACGACCAAGAAGGGCGTCAGTCGATCTCTGCTCACAGCCACCAAGCGCTGGTTCGTCACGAACAAGCCAGGCACGGGAAATGCCACCCAAAACGCCGTTGTCTACACCAATGAGTCCACAGAGCTGCAGACCAGGAAGATTGGCGATCTCTACTTCATGTTCGGCCACTACGGATCGGCTTTCCAAGCATATCATCAGGCCAAGAGGGACTTCAATGCCGACTCCGCGTGGCAATACTACGCCGGGGCGCTCGAGATGGCCGCGCTGTCGGCCTTTATGCAAGGTGTGGCGAGCAGGAAGACCTATGATTACATGGAGGAGGCCATCGTGACCTATCTGAACATCTGCAAACTGCCCCAGTTCGCCACGAGAGCCACGATTCTGAGTGTGGAGTGCCTGAGAGGAGGACGATTGTTTGGCGAAGCGGCGAAGCAACTCATTCGGATGACCAGCGAAGACTCTGATCTGCGATCGGGATTGTTCCTGGAACAGGCGGCGTATGCCTTCCTCAGCTCTCAGCCGCCGCTCTTCCGCAAGTATGCATTCCACGCCGTCCTGGCTGGCCACAGATACTCAAAGGCGGGCCAGCGGAAGCACGCCTTTCGCTGCTACAAACAGGCGCATCAGGTGTTTGAGAATCGCGGCTGGAGTTTGGCTGAGGATCACATTCAGTACACAATTGGACGACAGGCGATTTCGCTGAAGAAGCCCGAAGAGGCCAGCGTGCCTCTGTCTCATTTGCTGCGTCCGTCGAGTCTGCAGAGTTCTGTGCAGCAAGCGGTGTTCCTCAGGGAGTACATCCAGACGCACAGGGCGCTCCAGAGTGTTCAGGAGAATGGCAATCTGCTCAGCATTTCACTGCCGCGCATCGTGCAGGAGAGAACGAGGATTCTCGTGACATCTCAGCCGCCAATGACCATTCCTCACATGATTCCCGCCTCGAATCTCACCATCAACTCGAAACTGGACGCCGAGGCTGTGTGGGTGAAGCTGGAGGAGATGGCTGCTCAGATGGCGGCCAATAAGCCCATCATGATCTTCAAGCCCTGCAGGAGTCTCTTCACCTTCGAGACGGACAACACTGGGCATCCGCTCGCGATCCACGGAGAGCCGATAGAGATCAGCGTCACGTTCGAGAACACCATCAAGATTCCCATTGTGTTCAGTGACATTCATCTGCTGTGGCGCTTCAAGAGGGCAAACAGTGGCGAGGAGATGTCCAATGCGCATCTCTTCAGGGGCCTAATTGACGGTGAGGCTGACCGGAAGGGCATGGAGGCGGTGGTGTCGGCCAATGTGGTCAGCACAGTGATCATCAACGAACATGAGTACAAGACAATACTGTTCAGAGTGACGCCCAAGATCACTGGGATGCTCCATGTGACTGGTGTGATTGGCCAATTGTCCGCCGTCACAGATCCCACGAGTCTCTGGGGGAAGATGGACTTTGCGAAGATTGCCATCAAGACAAAAGATCCCCCAATCAATGATAAACCGCTGGAGTACGACAAGCGTCTCGACATTCAAGTTCTCGATCCGGCGCCGGCGCTCTGTGTCAGCTTCGGTGAGATGCCACAGGAAGTGTTGGCGGGAGAAGTGATCCCAGTCACTGTTCAGATGACCAATTGTGGTGCCACTGCGCTCACGGACATCTTCATGGCAGTTGAGGCGCCGCGATGGTTTCTGGTGAGTCCCAAGAAGGCTGAACTTCCGCTGTCGGTGCTGCGGAACTTCAGGGATCTCTCGAATGAGAATCTGAGCAAGGATCGCGAGGCGAGGAAGCAGCATGTCTTCAGGGTGGGCGGAATTGCCGACACGGGAAATCCTCTGCAGCCTAGTGAGACGAGGAGCACGACTTTCTGGATCCAGATTCCCTATCGGAAGGGCGCTGTGGATCTCAAGGCTCTCATCTACTACAACATGCCTCCGGAGTATTCCAAGTTGAGGTGAGAAATTCGGTTTCTTAGGTAACTCCGAAGCAAACACAGATGCTTATCATGAGGTGTAATTGCAGGTATCGTGTTCTCCGTCACGTGTGGAGCTTCAATGTTAATGAATCCCTGTGGATGGAGGCGAATTGCAATGTGACTAATGGGAAGGAGAAGGAGATTGGCATTGATATGTCTCTGAAGAACCTCAATCAGCAACACCACGCCGTGATGACGGACATTTCTCTGCATGAAATTCATCTGTACAGTCCGGAAAATCGTCTGAATCCCCAGAAGATTGTCTGGGCTGACAGTCCGGGCTGTAGGCATTTGCTTCGTGACAATAGTGGCCTAAAATCATCGGATTTAGTGTCTTTTCGGTGCTCTTTGGAGAAGCACACAGTTAATTTTGCCGCCAATCAGACGCCAGAGCAATTTATCAGGGTGCAACTGTCCAGGGTGGCGATTAGGGCGTCTGGGCCGGAGGAGGTGCAGCGATTGCCGAAGATTGGCGACGTGGGCAGCTTCCTGATGAAGGAGGAGACAAAGTACATCAAGGTGATGGGCAGCGGCGGCACCAGTGAGGAGTTCAATCAAATAGTCGCCAATGCGGACAAACACATGACTTTGGGAGTGACCTGGAGTGCCCAAATAAGCGATAATGGGGCCAACAGGAGGACGGCAGCTGGTCAGCACTTCGTCCAGCTCAGGCATCTCTACGAGAGGTGAATTGTCCTCTCCACTTATGCTTGGGATTCGTGACTAATTCTTGTGCTTTTTGCAGTGGATTCTGTCCGCCTCGAGAGAGACTCCAAAGGACTTCGTTCTCTAGTCATGAAGAAATCTGCAGCATATTTGATTTCCCAGCAGATGAGCCTTCTTCTCAAGTTGAAGATCATCAGAGTGTGTAAGTAGAATATTGATTGATTCTTAAGCGCACGATTAACATTTCTCTGTTTCTTTTTTTTCCCCCGGAACACACACAGAAACGTGGCGAGGAGGACTTTTCTTGATGCTGACTTTAAGATAGTGGATTTAGATGAAATGAACAGTGAAAAAACCAATTGACATTAATATCATGCGATAGATTTGTTCATTTTACAAATTAGGAGGCAAATTATCAAGAGAATGTTGAAACAAATCGTTATAAATTATTTTATAGAAAGAAAACTTGGCGTTTTTTTTCCTTTTCCTCGTCTTCTCATCAGCTGTGATGAATTCATCCAAGATCAACGCGCTTCATCAGCGTGAAAATTAATAAACTAGGAGAAGAATCATTAGATAAATATTGAACTTCACACTATTGACATCATTCAATATTTACCGTGGCATTTTAATTTCCTGCTTTTGCATGAGGAAAAACCTTTTCTCCACTCATTTCGTCACTTACGCAATCCCCACAAGTTCCCATTGATTTTATACGTGCGTTTTGGAATCCTCTTCGGCAGACGCAATTTAACTCGATATGTCAGGCAATCGCGCCTCAGTTTAATTTACCTCTTTTTTCCCGAGGTGACGACACGCGCTAAAAGGCACGCGAATGGACAAATATTTAGTCAATTTTTGCTTCGTATCGCATGAACAAGAATATTTGAGGCAGAAGAACTCAATGGGACACAATTTGCAGACATCCATGTATGATAATTGAGGTCTTTTGCAATGCAACGAGTGACACAATGTTAAATGCGCGCGCAAAGTACAAGAAACAACAATTTGCTATTGCAGTTGCGGCAAAAGTTCAGATGCAAATTAATCATGTTACCTTTAGGATGGTTGATTTGAGGGAAAGCGAGCAACTTCTTATCTTTCAGAGGTATTTTTTTATCAGGTAAATTCATGGAAATGCTTCTTGAGTCAGTGCTGATATTAATTTGAAGCGAGAAGCATTGATTGGCAATCTATGAGCGGAGCTAAATTAATCTATAAGTTCTTCCAGGAAAAAATTGAAAAGAAGCTGAAAAAATTCTGATAAGGGCGATAAAGATTTTCAATCATTCCACCTTTTATCACTCTGCTTCAGGTTTTCATCAGAGTCAGTCGTGCTTTTCTTCTTGGTTATTATATTCTGTGGAAACTTGTGTTAAAGTGTGCTGAAAAAAGTTAGTATGACTTCAAAAACTGCTTTTATCGTGTACTTTATAAATATTAAAAACGCTTTACAGAAAAATAACTTCTACAACAATGGGAAACAACATTATTTATAAAACAGCACCTTTATCATCATCAACAGGTCCTCATGTTTTACGGACTTTCAACGACATTTCTAGGCTTGAGTCATTCATAGTGAAAAATCGTTCTAAATGCAAAGAAACTATTGAATTTTTTCCGGATGGTTGTGATTGTGATGACATAAAGATTCTTAAAGTAGCATCCATTACAAAGTTAGACGAAAAAGTGGAGAAGATCTTGAAAAAATCAGAAGATTTTATTGGTATAAATCGAGACGAATCTGCGGAAGTTGAACAACAGACTCATTCTTATACCTTCAGTACAACTCGCACTGAAACAGTGACGATCAGCAACACTGCAGGAATTTCTGGAACATTAAGAGTGCCACAGCTTGAATTTCTCACTGGAACAATAAATTTTTCTGACACTGCAACAATCACAAAGACAGTAACTGAAACCGAAACACACACGATTCCACCCCAGAAAGTAAAACTAAGTTCAGGAAGTACGAAGAAAGTTTCTTTCAAGATTTATGAGGTGCAAACAACAAAAAGATATGATATATTTTTCTTAGTAGATCCTAATTCAACGTTTAAGGAATTTTGCCTTCCATATAATGACCCATTTAATCATATTCCTGAAATTTATGAAGAGCAACGATTGAACTTGTTGGAGTTTCTGAGAAAATTATATCAGCAAAATATTGTTTTTGAATCGGATTGTATAAAATATAATTATGACACTAATGAATTATTGATTAGAAAGCCTGTTGAAATAGTAGAAAAGAATATTGTTGTTGTACTTGATAGTGGAGCTGAAGCGCTAATCAATCCGAAAAAAGAATCGTGAAAAGAAAAAGATGTGAATTGTCAAATATTCAGATGAGAAAATTAATAAATTGATATCTAATCAGTAGATTGATATGAATTTAGAAAATGCGTCCATTGCCAAAATATTGTTGACGATAAAGAGTGTGTTATGTCTAGAATTTCTAAGAAAAATGATAAAAATAGATTTCTTGTTTTCTACTGATAAAGTGATAATGGCGTAATCAAACAATGTTTTCCTTTAGATCTGACTGTTCTGAAAACACAGAAATAATCTATTCCCATTAATATGATATGAGAAAGCATATAATTGTATGTTCCATTCTTATTCAATAATAGGGCGGAGCTAATTAATGGGTGGAGTCAAATTGAATTTACAGTAGCGAAAATTAGCTTAGGAAATTTTGTGTCACATTTTTATGTTAAAAATTCGATATTTCTTTAAAATGTTGAAACAATTATCAATTGTATTTCCTCCTAATTTTAGGTGTTCAAATTCAGCTTGTAGTAAATTTTGTGACTATTTTGCTATTTAAATTTAAATTTTTGATACATTTTCTGAAAATACCTAAATATAATTGAATTTATTTGAATATTTTAGCAAAAATATACAATTTTGAGTTATTTCGTAATTTTAATTTGAAAGTAAAAATAAATTTTTAATATTTGAATTCTTCAAAAATCAGTTAATGACTTTCTCCTTGTTCCTAGTTTAGTTTTTTTTTTATTATGTACACTTTATAATATTTTAATAAATCATTGAATTATTCCCCGAATTTATTGAATATCTCTGATTGCAGCAGAGCTTTTGGCGCGACTGCTTCACATGATCGTGTCTAATGTGACAAATAGAGGTAGAATATGATTTGCTCGGATGGATGGTGGATTGAATTGTGGAATTTCTGCATGGCAATTGGCGTGTTTGGCTTCTCGCGGGAGCGGCGGCTGAAAAAAAGCGCATGCAAAGATCACCGCGAAACAGGGTCACGGTCGTTTAGCATCGCTCGCCGCGATGCAGTTTGCCAGAGTTTGCAAGAAGAGAGGAGGTCAATGGTTGTCTTTTTATGAAATATCCATATCACAAATTTCAAATTATCACCACTGTGCCAATTGGAAGTGTTGCAAGTCGAGAGACAATTGACGATGCAATATTATATCCAAGCCGTTTTTCATCCTCTCCTCAGCCGCCCTGCGCACGCGGCGGCGCACTTTGGGGACACCCGAAGAATCGGGCGGACTTATACCTGAAATTCAAGTTTTCACTTTCCCTTTCCCAAAAAAAAAACCCGTACACACATATTCAAAAATAAAATGTAAAGAGAGTTAAAAGTCAACTGTAGGCAAAATATTGTGCATTATTGAGAGATGGCAAAAGGATTCGAGAAATGCGACGCAGAAAAGAGTGAAAAACTTGCATCATTGCCTGGCTTCTTATTCATCTTTTTCGCCGAATTGATTAAGTAGCCGCGTTGCTTAATCGGGCCGAGATAGCGGATTGAATCATACTGTGAAATTTCTTGAGGTGGACAAGATTTCGTGGTCAGGAAAGCCCACGGATGCCGTTAAGTAATCGGCCACTTCTTTGGGTCATTGTTCGCTCATCATCGCCCGATGATGGAGTGGAAGAGAGGGTCAAAAATTGCCACTTGACCTCATCATCGGCTGAGTTCCTCTTCCGAACATCCACTGGAGATGGTGATGGACCAGAAAAACAACCGGTGGCAGAAGGTTAACAACACGAAAGGTGATGAAGAGCGCGACAAATCTCTTCGACACATTTCACAATTTCAACGAAGAAATGTTCCCCATCAAAAAGCACCTCTCTAAATGCTAAAGCTCCGACTTTGAGGCTTTTTATCTTAACTGGGACACACACAATAATAAAATAATTTAATTCTTCCATCGCGCTTGCATAAGAAAAATGGTCGCAGACGAGAAATTTCCGAAAAAAAAGTTTGCATACAAATTATCCAAATTAATTTATGTGAATATTAAAGTTTAGATTTGCCAATTTGACCCTCAGCCTTGATCGACACACGACTTGGCTCTCTTCAAGCCGAACAGCAAGAAATCCCAGTGTAAAATTGCATCTTTGAGCTAGATTTTGTTGATGAAGTAATTTGTTTATGCGCTTAAAGCGCAAGCTTCACAAACTTGCGGCATCGTATCTAATATCATCACACATCAGGAACTCATCGTTGAGGAGGAAAGACAGTTTTCGAAACAATTTGGAGCATTGCCATTGAAAAGTCTTCCAAAAAAACAAAAAAAGATCTTTCACCACGAAATTCACATGAATTATTGAAATGTCAAAAAGGAGGAAGAAAAAAAACTCCGTGACTCACGGCAAAATTAAACACTTTTCTGTTTCCCTTTCGATGGAAAATCTATGAAATAAATAGAGATTAAATATTGACTGCGAGCAAAGAAGAAAACTCCCTTGAAATAGTTTGATCTTCCGATGTGATCATGCATATTTCTCACTGTGTTTGCAATTCTAAATGCAAAATTTATTATGGAAAAAGCTTCACGCAATGATTGAGAGTCTGGGAAAGATTGCAAGAATGCTGCAGAGAGCGAAGCGGTGCTAATTTGCCTCAATTCCTGACATTGATTGTTGGCCAAAACAGCCAACTAAGTGACTCGTTAAGGTGGCCCAATCGAGGTTGCCGATTTCGCAATCGCGTCGTCTTGTACTCGAAGTGCAATCATACAAATTAGGAGAGATTTCTCGAGTGTGAATAATTAAACTTCTGCCGCTGCTCAGCACGCTGATCGTCGGTGGCGATGTTGGGCGTGGGCGAAGTGGACAATGGCTTTAAATTCCATCGCGGATTGAGGAAAGAAGCGTCGCGATAATGCACGGAATAGTTAAATTAAGCGAGTTTTAAATATTGGCAGTTATTTTATGATCATTGCAAATGAATTTCTCACATTTATCAGCATTGCTTCAATGCTCTCTAAACCGCAGATCTATAAATTTCATCGTGTTTGCAATTAAATCACCACAAAACCAGTAAATTTGACCCATTTTACTAACTGATCCGCTTAACAAAATTACCTTCTTTTTTTCTTCTCGATAAACCAGAGGAGTTAGATAACTGATCAATATCAAAACTACAAGTTGAATATGAATTGAATAAGTTTTGAGCACGTGTTTTCGAGAAGCGCACAAAGTCAATTCATTGATGCTTTTCACATTATCTGTTGATGTATTCTTGGGAAATATTCTTTAGTCCATAAAACTTAATTGTCTACTAAATTATGGTTTCATCTCGGAGACTCTTTCTCTTTGTTGCACTGGCGCATAAGGAAATCATAGTCAGATTGGGATCATATTTAATCCACAGTGCATTACATAAAGAGTATCAGCGCTAATCCATTTTGGGCAGTAAAATCAATTTATTGCTCGTTTATTTGAATTGATCCATAATAAATTTTTGGTGATAATATTTTAGCCTATTGACAGTGAAACGGTGAGATTTTCACGCTCGCCGGGCGTTGACTGTGAGCCAAAAAAGTGAGCAAAGTGCTCACGATCACGCCGTCTCCAAGGGGGAGATATCACAGTCAGAAGTGGTGTGCAGAAGTACAGAAGAAGTTCAATTCAAAAGCTTACAATATTCCTTTCCTGAGTGCTTATTTTAGTAACCAATTATTCCAATTCTTTGGATTTCCTTCGATTTTTAAGAAGAAACATCCCAAATTCTCATAAAAATCTTTTTCTAGGTTATGCAACGAATCACGGACAATTTACTGAATATTCAATTCTTATGCTCAAGTATGTAATAAACAATGCTTTTCTAACCCTTTAAACCTCTTTGTTGCCAAGAAATTCTGTAAATTGTATTGAACTCGAACATAACCTCAAAAATAATCATTTAAACTTGAAAAATATTCATTTAGAAGACTTTTTGGACAATTTTGACTCTGAATCAGCAGTTTTGAGTTCATTGGCAAATCATAACCAGATCATTTTGTGATCTAGAAAGCTTCAAAACGAAGTTTTTGAAGATCTCTTCGTTATATTTTGAGGTTATGTTCGGAAAATATGTCTAAAAATGTGTTTTCAAGTTAAATTCTTACAGAAATGTCGAATGGAAACTTACTAATTTGGGAATTATTGTGAAAACAGTCGTAAAACTTCAAGTTTGGAAGTGATGTAAAGATTTAAGGCATATTATCTCCCCCTTGAGTGCCTCTAAGATTTCCCTTTTGCCCCACGAAAGCCAACACGCGCGCGCGCGATGCGTTATCAGTGAAATTTTCTCAAGAGGACTCAAGTCCAGGAGGGAGAGAGAAAAGGCATGAATGAACGCCTCGTTACGACATGTTATGACGATTTGGTGCTAAAATGGAAAACAAACACAGTTTTATAGAAGTCGTTAGCGCATACATTTTTTATGTTTGCCGAGGGAGTGATTGATAAATTTTTATATTTATCCGCCGGTGGACATAGTTCAGAGTATCGCGGGTGAAAGTGAAATCGCATCTTCAAACAATATGGTTCGATGTGTGTGATTGCATAAAGGCACTTCACGTGGTGCCTTTTTCTCACCTGTCCATGCCGAACTTTGCGCCGCGCCTGAGAGTGAGAGAATGCCTGATCTTGCAAACTTGATCTCTTTTTTTCTCTCTCTCTTCTTAAAACGCAAAAATCGCCAAAAATCCTCTGACCTCCACGAGAATGAAAGTCAATTTGCAACTTGGCACAGTTTTCGCAACATCACCCGGGTCAAAATTCCCCAGAATTCCTTCCACTGGCGCGCGTGAGTTGCATAAGGGAGTTCCGATGTCTCTCACCGGCTGCACTGCCCGGGCGCAATGATCTCGCGACGCTGGAAGAGTGGAAGAAAGTGACAAAGAAAGGCGTGTTGCCATTGTTTGAACATGAATCCGAAATTATAATTAACCCGTCGAGGCGAAGAGCATCTTTTATGGCTGATCTTACTTATCGTTGATCTTACGAATTGTCTAGCAATTCGTCAATACTGAGAAGCAGAAGATGAGAATACAGAAATCGAGAGTTTTCAACAGGCAAAATATGTATTAATTATGCAGCTTTGACGAAAGATGTTTGATGAATGAACAAGAGGAAAATGTTTGACAAAACATACAGAAATTATCATATTTCTTAGCAAATTCCATAATTTATGGTCACAATTGCAAATTTATTTGCGAGTTATTTGAAAGTTCTTTGAACTTAAGAAAAACTGTCTTTCTGAATGCAGTAAATCTTAGAGATTTCTCACTGTCACAGAGAATTGAATTATTTCCCTGAATATCTCAGTGTATTTGTGGTCAATTTCATCCTCACTGGCGAAGGAATAGAGCCGCAGGAGAGTTGAAAAAGCGTGACATTCGAATTAAAGTCTCACGGTTTGAGGCTCAAGCTCAACTCCCAAAGCTCGCGCCATCAATGGAAAATGCGGTGAGAGTTGACAAAAATCCAAAACGACGGATCTCAATCGACACTAACCACATTGGCAAACAGTGATTTGGAAAATGTTTGCTTTTCACAGTTGAGACCAGGAAAAGATAGTGGCTGAAAAAAGTCGTATATACAAATTTTATGTAAGCCTTTAACGAGTTGTTTGTCAACCGGAACGCCTCATGAATGCCAAAGCCGGGGAGTTCGCACACGCTCTCACCCAGCCGGGCGCGCGCAGAGAGATGCTGGTCGGCGACAAGGACTCGCGGCGTATAAAAAGACATCTTCGCCGGAGACCAGCCACAGTTGCCATCAGTGACTCGAGCCGCGAGCATCTCAGTTCTTTTGTCGATCGGAAAGTGAACCCAAGAAGAGAATCACCATGAAAATTATCTTTGTGGTACGATTGCGCCCCAATTATTTGGACAATCGCCGCCGTCTCTCTCTCTCTGTTGTGCTGTGAAAGTGAATCTTTTCTTGCCTCTTGCAGACCCTGTTGGTGTTTCTGGTGGCCTTCGCCCTCGTGTCCGCCGTGCCAATTGACGAGACAGTGGTCGGGGATGTGTACGAGGCCGACAACTTCAATCCCCAGGATCCCAACTCCTTCTTCAAGCTCAAGAAGCTCAAGAAGCTGCTCCTCCTCGGCTGAGCGCAGCACCCACTAGAGGCTAATCTCCGCTACTTCACAATCCCCCTTCTTCCTCAGACATCCCGCATCTGCCATTGAACTTCTCACAGAGTCACGAGATGCGCGCCCCTCGAGAGAGCGCGCGCGCTGTCTCTCCTCTTCCCAGAAAGAGCCCACAAACTCACAAATGTTGCAGAAATGGTCATGAAATCATACCATTCACACCCATGTTATTTACCAATCTCTTATAGTAGTGTTAGGAAATCTTTGTATATAATTTAAATAATAAAGAAACAACCATTTTTTATGATAAAAGACGAAAAAAAATGCCTGACCTTCTGACTAATGGTAACTCACTAATTGCTCTCTCTCTGTGTGGAGAGCATCTTCATTTGGCTGAATACCCTCGAGTGTGTCTCTGCCTCGGCCGACAGCACTTCATGGGATGAATGAGAATGAGGGCACAATGCTCGAGATCAGCTTGTGACCGAGAACACCCAAGTCGCCGAGTGTGTAGCCAAGGAGAGCGCCCACGATGTTGGGAATTGGATACGCCTGCCAGCGCCGATCCCAGTCGAGTGGGGCCACAATTGAGCCACTCCAGGCCCCAAACAGTGCGCCGGCCGCTGAGATCTTCACCAGCGTCACGTAGCTCGCCTCCACCTTGCTCATGCCCTCCACACTCTCCGTCCACACGTACTGAATGCACCCCGAGGTGCCCAGGAACAGCGCCAGCGGCAGCACAGTCAAAATCGTCAGCACACTCGCCAGTACGAGTGTCTCCTCGTGATTCTCCAGCGCAGGAGCGCCCAAAGCGATGCACATGATCGCATACAATCCCACGAAGAAGGCGATCAGTGCTGTGAACTTTAGCGCATCTCCTATCCTGAGTCTCATGGGCTTCCGCTTTCTCGGTGCCACTGTCTCACGGGGATTGAGCGTCGTCTTCTCCTCCTTGAACAGAGCCGCGTAGATGAGATACTTTCCCAGCTCATTGCAAATGAGTGTAATGATGACCGGAGATGGCCAAAATACACCCACAGAGTAGATATTCTCCCCATAGGACAGATAAGACACGCAAATACCAACACCTATGAGTGCCACAATGCTGAGGATCATCGTCAGCTCCATATCCTCGCTGGAGGATGCCTTGAATTCCTGCTTCTTCCCCGCCATGACTGGTCTGGAAACACCCAAAGATTGCAACACAGTTTCACCACCAAATCTTTCAGTACTCACAGATTTTTCGGCTTTTCCACGTGGCGCAATGCTCTACTATGCTCTTCTTGCCTAATAAGCGCTATTTCCACAGGTGGAAACCATCATTTTATCAAGGAAATGTAAACACTTTTATCACTCCGCAATGTTTTGATTTTTTCTTCTTCTTTTTACACGTTTTGTTCTTCCGCGCTTCTATGTGGATCATGCAGATGGCGCTGGTAATGCAGAGAGGAAATTTATTTTCAACGGCTGGTCTTTGTTCGTGATTTTTTCTAAAATTTGCTACTTTACAGCCAATAAAAAGCACTTAAAGGCAATTATAATCTTCACATCATCTCGTTACGTCACCCAGATTACGCATATTTCCATAATTGAGCATCGAAGTTTGTGTATTTTGATTTGGTACAGATGTGCGCCAGGGAGTGTGCGAGGCGGGTCAGTCGGGTAGTGGTTGTCATACGCAAATTTTGCATTGTTGGTCGCGCTCGCTGAAATTGATCGTTTTTCCTGCTATTTTGTGGCTATCATTTAACTTTCTGCTGCGTTTAGCGAGAGTAGGATGTTAACTGGTGAGACTTAGCATAATATCCTCTATCATTTCATAATCGCCAGCCAGCAAAAGAGCTTTACTCAAGTGCTCGTCATTTTTCTCCATTGTGTGCGAATTCTGCAAAAATTCACAACATTTTCACATCCTGGGAAAATCTAGCATGTCTGCAAGTTCACGCTTTGCATCTTTGAAGATAATCATGTGACTCATTGACGGATCGAATGATCTACAAATCTCTGTCATCTGAGGAACACGTAATCGCTGAGAAATCCTTGACTTTGGACGTCGCGCGAGGCCAAGAAGCCAAGAGAAAAATCGACTGTGGACGATCAATATTTTAGCTAATTGGCAAACTTTGTGGCTCTTTAGATGGCTTGGCTGGGTTTTGGTGCATTGGCATCGGGTTTAGGTACGATTTTTCATGCATTTATCCCACCACAAAACTCCTTAACACGCTTTCTCATGTAACAATGAACATCAGAAACACTCTTGATTTTGCTGTGCGCGAACATTTGTGGATGAAATCTTTCCGGACGTTTTGCAGTGCTGCAGAGGCTCCTCGGAGGCGATGCGCCCCCCAATAAGGTGCAGGAGATCAAGTCGGACTCCCTGCAGATCCTGCAAGTGCTGCACCGCGATGACTCGATGGTGTTGTACGCGCCGCCGCCGGGACAGGCGGAGAAGAAGGCGGTGTACGAGATTGTGCTGAACAGACCCTTCCACGAGGGCATGAACACCTCCTTCAGCCTCTACAGGGCCGCGACGCTGGAGGACGCCGAAGAGAAGTTCAACGCCTTCGTTCACCGACTGCCAGTGTTCGTGCAGATCGTCAAGGAGGTGAGAGAAGCGCTTTAGTCAGTTTCCTGGGCATCTCAGAAGCTAATGAAACGCTCTCTTTGCAGATGTACAACATCAACGGGCTGCAGAAGATCTGCGACACGCTGATTGAGAACCCCTCGTGGTCTCTGGCTCATCTTGTTGCCTACTTCAATCTCACTGAGTATGTGCTGCAGGAGAAAATCTTCGAATTTATTGACTATCCGGACCACAAGAGCTACATGTCACCTCTTCAGGTAAACGACGACGATGATCGATTGATTTCCCAATCGATTTTCCGTCTGCAAATGTACGCGAAGCTATTGCTCAAGCAATTTCCTGTGTTGCCTAAGAAATGACTATTAGAATTTTAAATGGTTTCAAGCAATAAGAATGCTATTTGAGTCATTGCTGTACACAAGCGCATAAGGACTCTCTTTGTCATACAAGAACACAAGAGGGCTTTTGTTGGAGACACTCTGCAAATGCAGCAATTATTTGATCACATTTTTATGACCAAATATTGACGTGTTAAGCATTGAGAAATGATTCTAGTTTCTAGAGCAAACATTAGTCTTTATTTCTGTGCATTATGTAACGCACTTCTCCCGGATATTTGGCACAAATATTTGAAAAAAACTGTGGCGCTTTTTTCAAGAGAAATCCCCGATAAGGCCATGCAATTAACGCGCGTGTTATCTCACCGAAAAATACGATGGAAAAGCCACGAGGCTAATGACTCTGGTGGAGACTTTGAACGCGAAATCCGTGACTGATTCATGCTCTCTCTGCTTATCTTGCAGCTGGCCGTGATGTCGGCCAATTCGGAGATGGTGAAGACGCTTCTGCCACTGTGCAAGATTGACCATCTGGACAATAACAGCAGCTCAGTTTATCACTATGCGGCGAGCACCACGAAGGACATCATCAATATTTTGGCGGCCAAGGGCACGGTGAACATGAATCACTGCAATTCCGATGGCTACACGCCGCTGCATCTGGCGTGTCTGGCGGACAAGCCGGAGTGCGTGAAGGCGTTGCTGCTGGCGGGCGCGGATGTGAACATCTCGGCGCGCAACATCAGTGCAATTTACAATAAGAAGACAGAGAATGCGAGCTCCGTGGCGGAATTCCTGCAGACGAACCCTAATAAGCTGGTGACGCAGGACATGAAGCACGGCGGCACGCCGCTGCACTGGAGTTCCTCGCGGGAGGTCATTGAGGCGCTGATAGAGCGCGGCACGGACGTGAATGCGCTGAACTTCGACGGCAGGACGGCGCTGCATATAATGGTGGCGAGGAACAGGCTGGACTGCTGTGTGGCACTGCTGGCGCACGAGGCGGACATTGATCTGAGGGACAAGGATGGGAACACGCCACTGCATGTGGCGGTGGAGAAGAAACTGGTGCCCATTGTGCAGTGTCTGGTGGTGTTTGGGTGTGACATCAACATGAAGAACAAGGAGGGCAAGACGCCCAGGCACATGGTGGGAAAGGACGCCTCGGGCAGCAATGACGACATGATCCTGTACATTCTCCACTCGGTGGGCGCCAAGAGATGTCCGCCGAACAGCACCAAATGCCCTGCCGGATGCAATGCCACGGGCACGTACAATGGCATCCCGCCGGCCACGCCTGAGAGTCCGGAGTCGCGGGAGCACATCCAGCAGATGCTGGCGTCCACGGTGCGCGGCAGTCGGCCCAGCTTGAGCAAGTGCAGGGATTTGCTGGAGAAGCAGAATCAAATTGTCGACACGACGCCCGTTCAGCGTGGTCAGAGTGTGATGGACGCTCTGCTGGGGATGTTCACCAACAAGGTGGCCAGAGCGGAGCCTGCGCTCGCTTCTCCTGACGCTCCACTCGTGGACGTGGACATGCCATCGTCGAGTTCACCGCCGGCGGAGCCCGAGAAGACGCCCGAGGAGGAGGCAGAGAAGCGCGGGCGTCTGCTGTGCCTCGACGGCGGCGGCATTCGTGGTCTGGTGCTGGTGCAGATGCTGCTGGAGATGGAGAAGCTGTCGCAGACGCCCATCAGTCACATGTTCGATTGGATGGCGGGCACCAGCACAGGTGGAATCCTGGCACTGGGATTGGCCACCGGGAAGACGATGCGACAGTGCATGTGTCTGTATCTGCGAATGAAGGATCAGGCTTTCGTGGGCTCGCGTCCGTATCCGAGTGAGTTCCTAGAAGCGGTGCTCAAGGACAATCTGGGCGAGTTCACAGTGATGTCGGACATTGTGGCGCCCAAGATAATGGTCACGGGTGTGATGGCAGACAGGAAACCAGTGGATTTGCACTTGTTCAGGAACTACAAGAGTGCCAGTGATATTTTGGGCATTGTCACGCCCACCAGTGAGTATTGATAAGCAATTTGTGATAAATACGGAGCTCTGATTGTCGGTTTTTGCAGATAACAGACGAATTCCACCGCCAATTCCGGAAGAACAGCTAGTCTGGCGAGCAGCTAGAGCAACAGGAGCAGCACCGTCATATTTCAGGTGAGTCCTTGTGAATTGACATTTAAGAAATCCTTCGGTTTCACATTTTAATACTTCACATCGACAATACTGCAAACAAACACAAGAAATGACACAAATTAAGTTGCTGAAGGCTCCTGCTTAGGTTCCTTAGGATAGGTGTTGGGGAAGCCCAGCAAATAGTCCGTGATGCGACCAGCCTCGCGAAGGCCACTCAGGAGAGCTCCGTGGACAGTTGCAGGATAGTTGCGGATGGTGTGTTCACCGGCAAAGAAGAGTCGAGGCATTTCTTTGGTGTCTTCCGTTGTGGGCGTGACAGGAGCGGCCAGGAGATCATAATCGCTGCCCGATGAGCCAACGGAGACGAAACTGTAGGAGCCTCGAGCCCAGGGATCGGCTCTCCATCGCGTGACGACAGTTTCTCGTGGTCGTGGCACAGCAAAGTTCCCGAAGATGCTCTTCAGCACGGCGATGCATCGACCGATGATGACATCGTCGGAGACATTCTCCATAATGGCGGCACTCTGGCCAGCGACGAGGGCGAGGAGCACTGGTGACTCGCAGATGCTCCAGAAGAGGAACAATTCGCCACGACTGGCCGCTGTGCTGCCGACGTGGCCAAAGAGATTCGTGCTGGTGTCCCAGAAGATGCGATCGAAGCAGAGGACGACTTTGTTGAGATTCCCAAAGCCCAGGCGCTGGATGGCGTCCTGCTTCCAGTCCGGCAGTGGCGGATCGAAGCGCACAGTGTTGGCCTGCTTGGTGGACAGAGGCGAAGTGGCCACTTTGAGCACGCCCAGCGTCAGAGTGCAGAGCACGAGATCGGCTTTGTAAGTCACAGATGAGGTTGTCTTGAGATTCTCAGCCGTAATCTCAACGCCACCCGGGAAATACTTGATTGTCTTCACGGCTGTGTTGACTCGAATGTCGAGGTTTTCAGTCAGGGCAATTGGGGCGTAAGAGTAGCCATTCTTCACTGTCATGTGATTCCCAATGAACTCGAAGTCATCGTCCTGATCCCAGTGCTTCAGTGACAAATTGTTCAGTGGCGTCGCATTGGCGAACTCCAAATTGGCCATGTGCCAGTCAAGAATCTGTCGATCCTCCGGCGAGAGATAGACATCACTGGGTGGATTCATTTCCAATTCCTTCAGTCGCACCTTCAGATCCTCCTGCACAGCTCTCAAGCGCTCCACTTCGCGCCACACGCCATTCCACTCCCGGACAACTTGACGCACGCTAAACTCGTGCTCAATGTACTTCTGCTCGGTTTCCGGAGTGCGCTGAGGACGCGACTCCTGCATGGATTCCACCTGAGTCTTCAGCTTTCGCATCTTCTGCATGAGTTCGTCAATCTTGTTCTCATTCTCGATCAGAATCTGCTGAAGTGCGATCACAGAACTGAGATGCTGAACTTGCTTCTCCTTCACGTGCTTCTCCTGAAGCTTGATAATCCACTCAAGCGCCTGTCCGAGCGAAACCGGATTGTTTCCGGCATAGTTGAAGTCTAGCTGGTGAGATAAGTAACTCGTGGACTCCAGAAGACGATTGAACTCTCTCTCCACCATGTCGTCCTTGGACTTGGGCACGGGCTTGCCTTTTGATCCGTAAAGCGGACACGCTGGCTTGATTGGCACCATTTCCATGCCCGTCTGGCGACTCAGGATGGTTATGGGATTTCCCCAGATGCCCGTGACCACCATTGCGCCCAAATCAGCGTGATAGTTGTTCTTCCGGAAGGTGGCAATCCTGCCGCCCACGCGATCTCGAGCCTCCAGCACGACGACGTCCATCCCGAACTGTCGCAACTGTTGAGCAGCAATCAGGCCTGAAATTCCCGCGCCGATGACAATCACCTTGGCCAGCTTCTTGGTGGGAATCGGCTGGAGGCGCTTGAAAATCCCGAAGTTGATGAATCCGTGGCGCTCAAGGAAGATGTGAATGTTCTTCAGCAATTCCGGATCACTATCGAACGGCGGTTCGATGTTCTTGAGCGCATCTTGGAATGTGAGCTGAATCTTAGGGTTCTCAATCCACATTTGCAGCAAGCGATTGCGGATGTTCAGGAACACCCGCTGAGCGATCAGTCCATTGTTGGCAATGTCCGGGAAGCACACTGCCTCGGCTGAGGTCATCTTCTCGAACGGCAAGCGGGACTGGAAGGCGGCGCCGTCGAGTCCAGTGAGGATGTCGTTCAGCGCCGTCTTGCTGTCAAAGTCCACCGAAGGAATATCATTGCGCTTTGTCTCGCCAGTGCTCACGGATGCTCGGGATGCTCCGGATTTGACCTCAGCAATGTCGGATGTGCTCTTCTTGCGGCGACTCATGCGCCGCGTCTCCAGTGGCTGCGAACTTCCGGCCGGAACGGTGGAAGAACGTCGTTTTGGCGGAATTCGCGTTATTGTGATCTCGCTGAATGTTATTTCGACGTCTGAGTCATCGCTGATCGTGACACAGTCCATTGTGTCGGCTTTGGCCACTGCAAATGCACGCACGTGAAGGAAAATCACTCACGAAAATTGACCTCTCAAAACAATAACAACCCTTCAAACTGTCAATCGATGTCTCTCTGCTGTCATGCGATTTGCAAGACATGTCTTCAACATTTCGGACGACGTTTGATCACTTGACAAAATAGATGGATTTTTTCATTTATAAATCTTGTTTTATACAGAAATACGCACAAATGATGTTTTTTTGAGGTTGTTCTATTGAATTATTTGAATTATTGAAAAACTGTTAGGGAAATAGTCGTGGTTTCTAAGTGAGCGTGGCTGAATTGACACCTGTAGATACTTTATCTCTATTATTTTGCCTTTTTCACAATCTGCAGGGCTTTTGGGCGATTCCTGGACGGTGGTTTGATAGCCAACAATCCCACTTTGGACGCCATGACGGAGATCCATGAGTACAACATGGCGCTGAGGCGCGTGGGGCGCGAAAAGGAGGTCGCACCGGTGTCGGTGGTGGTTTCTCTGGGCACGGGCATGATTCCGGTGACGGAATTGAAGGAGATCGACGTGTTTCGGCCGGACAGCATCTGGGATACGGCCAAGCTGGCTTACGGGATTTCAGCCATAGGCAATCTGCTCGTGGATCAGGCGACGGCGGCCGATGGGAGAGTCGTGGACAGAGCCAGAGCGTGGTGCAGTATGATTGAAGTTCCCTATTTCAGGTAATTGTCTTTGCCAAGGCGTTTTTCCTCCTGAGAATTTGTGCTTACGCGGTTTTTGTTCGGCAGATTCAATCCGCAGTTGTCCGAGGACGTGCCGATGGACGAGAAGAGCGACCAGAAGCTGATCAATATGATGTGGGAGGCGAAGGCGTACATTTATGCCAACAGAAACAAAGTCATTGAAATGATAAACTTACTTAAATAGCGGTTAAGGTAATCCCATCGTTACTGAAATGAAGATTTATTGTCTCCTGAGATCTCTCTATCGGTGTTGTAACGACTGGGATGGTAGTTTTTAGAGTCCTTTTTACAAGTCAGAAAAGGTTCACCAAATTCTTATATCCACAAAGTGACTCTCCCACTGGCAAAAAAAAGAAAGAAATCCTCACAAACCGTTGATCAAGCGCGAATATATTTGATCCAATATTGTGTGAACTTTTATATTTAATGATAAAATGCGAAGATAATATTGCGAATTTGATGAAAAAGTGCTGAAACTCAAGAATTTTTCCGTAGTGCATAGAAAAGAAAGAGCGAATTTGTTGAATTGGTTTTTTGTTGTGTATATTTACGTATTGAGCTGAGAAGGAAATTTAAGCTGACGACTTTTTTCTTGTTCTTTGATACCAATTTTTTCACGGTATTTTGTATGGGATTTTTTAAGTATATAAACAATGATGAGATAAATTTTAAGAGGAAAGCATAGAAATCATCATTCCAGTTTGTCGTCTAACTAGAATTTACTCAATGTTTACCCCAGTTTTTCATCCATAAACAACGGATTATACCAAAAAACCAAGCAACATTAAAGGTAATGAAGCAGTGTTAATAAATAATACCAAATAGTTTGTGCAGAATAGTTGAAAAAGAACCATTTTACTCATTCGTAGCGTTACGCACATGACAATTTGAGAAATTGTCACATAAAAAGTGTTGAAAATGTGTTTAAATCTCCAGAAAATATAATATAGTGAAATTGTTAACTTCCTTCCAGGTTATTTTTTCTAATACTTCTGCTGTTTTTGTAACAATGTAATCACTGTGATTTGTTAGACATTCATTTTGTATCGTAGAATCTTCTCTTCTTAGTAGTGTGAAATAAAGATTTTCTCGGAGATTACAAAAAAGAAGCCTTGTTTTCCTTCCAATTTTTCAGCGCTTAAAATCCAAATTGCACCGCAGATTAAAAGAAAACAATCATTTTTGTTTCTGTATAATTATATTCACCTTTTTCAGCAGTAAAATCATTAACTATTAAATTATTAAATTGTAAATTATAGAATAAAATTATGGATTAGTTGAAGTTTCATCGTAACATTTTCTTACGCGCTAAACAGTAAAATCTTTCTCCCATTTTATCTTTTTCTCTCCTCTTTTCGTAATGTTTTCTCTCTCTCTCTCTCTCTCTGTCTCTCTATATAACTCGAAAAATGAATTAGAAAATATTCATCGATAAGATATAAAAAAAAGATAGTAGATTGAAAAATAAAATATATATATATTTATAAATCTTACAATAAAAAAAACAGTGATTTTGACCTCTTTTTCTGTGAATAATTTGAAAATTTTTGCTACTCTGAATATTTGTCGTCTTTGTTCTTTATAATCCTTTTTTTTCTTTTCTTTTTCATATATATATATAATTTTGCTGTCTGTTGAAAATCTATGAAAGTGAATCAATATTTTTTCTCTCTCTCTTTTACGCCCATTCAAATGTATAAAAATCTACAATTCTCGCTTTCACACAAAAATTTCTACCATTTCTCTTAATCATTCATGTACATGTTTTTTTTCTCCTTCTCATTTTATCATTTATCAGGCAATTTTTTTATAGGGTGTAAATAGCGAAAAACACTTCAAATTTCTCTCTTTTTCTCCTCTCTTTCTCTCTCTCACACAATTTTCCCGCAATAAAAAGGGATTGCGCGCAAACATTGACGAAAAAGAATTGTTGAATCGCGTGAATTGGAAAAAATTTATCAGCAGGAATTTCAAACGTTCCTCCTTTTCAAAGTTTTTGTTTTTAAATGGTAAATCGCGTGTAAAATTCTAAATTGCTGCAAACTCCGCACACAAAAATCTGTTTCTTTCTTCCTCTGTGAGTCGCTGTGGGATTTTTATCTCTCTTTCTGTGTTTTTTTCTTCCTTATGACAAGAAGGGATTTGAAGATGGTGTCGATTCAGTGCTCCTCCATGGCATACTGTTGTTGTTGTTGTTCTGCAAGAGAGACAAAAGGGAAAAGAAGCGAGAAAAGCGCATTAGAAGAAGTCATTTGAATAAATCATTCAAAAGTTTTTTTTTTCTAATCAAGAAATATTTTTGTGTGTGAATTTAAACTAACTCTTTAATCAGTGTGAGTCTTTTTTTTCTTTAGCATGCATTATCTTGGCATAAAGATTAAATTTACCAACATTTCACTTTATTTTAGTGTCCAAGCTCCCATTGTTTGCTAAATATTTGTTTTGTTTGTTTCGAAGGTAACGAAAGCACAAACAGAGAAAAGAAAACATTATCAGAATTATTCATTATTCATCAATTAAAACGCCACACAAGACAATCTTCCTTTCATCATTCTTTGCTCATTAATTAATCTTAACATTGTAAAATGACAAATTTACACTACTTTTTAACTAAATCATAAATATATAATTCTCTCTATCGCTAAACTCAACAAAAGACTTCTACAAAGAGACAACGACAAGCCTAATAAACATTTTGTCAAAAGAAAGTCCAACATTTTCACTAAAAACAGACACAAAACTTGTTGAAAGAAAACCAAAAATAAGCCACTCTTTCGTACTCACGGAAAAATAATTGTCAAGATTGTTATTGAATTTCTTGCTTCTACTAAAGTAGAAATTATCCTGATCGCTGTCCTCATTCTCAATTTGATAGAAACCAAAGCTATTATTGTTGCTAATCGGTGCATTTTCTTGTTGATTACGCAGTTGAAGGAATTCATCGTCAGTGAATGGATTGCCAAACTTCTATCATTTTGCATTTTGCATTCAAAACATTTTTCACAGAAGAGCATGCATTTTTATTGATTCGAGTACGAGAGAATTTGTCAATATATAATGAAGAAGGTAGAAAAAAAGAAAGAAGAAAAGAGAAAACAAGAGTCAACAATTTTTATACAAAATTAACCACAAATTGTAGAAAGAAAGAAACCCAGAAAAATTGCAGGAAAATCACCCTGTTAAACATCACGCCGAGAGCGACTCAAAATCGACTAGAGACAGTTTGACGGAGGAATTTTATCAGTGAAAATCCAGTGAATTTCATTAACTCACAAGTGAAAAAATCTTTCCCCTTAACTAAAGTGAATTATAATCATCTAAATCCCGTTAGGGACTCGAAAATTTGATCCCAACTCACCGAATACTGAATTACAGGTGAGAGTAAACTCTTCTTCAAGCATCCAAAAGTAGTATTGAGTGACATGTCCAATGTTTCATATGTGTTTCATATGTATTGTTCGTTTCGCGGACTCTCATAGGACTTTCGTAAGAATCGTCCGACACGAAGACAAAAATAAGCCGAATCTCTCGCGAATGGGTTTTCCCAATCGAACGAATTCAATAAAAATTCTGACTCCCACGTTTAACAGGACACTTTTTCATGCAATTTATCTGCAACACAATCTCACAGTCGCTCATCTAAATTCTAACATCTCACATGTTCTTAACTAAAACACACCGACTGGAGGATCAATCCAAAGAAAAAGGAAACGAAAAACCTCACGTGTGCTCTTTTTGTATACATAGAAAAGGTGAGGAGGATCAGACTCACTTGCTGCGAATTGTTAGTGGCATTGCTAACAGGTGTCCAAGGATCTTGACTTATTGAAATTGGAAACGGAGACTGTTTTAACTGATTTATGGACGGAACCTGTTCAATATACACAATTATTAAGCATTAGAGACATTTTATTCTCTCTCGTTCATTCGCCGATGGAAGAAAATCAACCCCAAAGAAACCTAACAGACAAGGAGTATGTATTTTTGTTGTTTGTTGGGGTTCTCGTACAGGAGGCGACATCGTCTATTTGAGGTTAGGTTTTAGCGAAAAATTCGGCCGTTATTTTGATCATACTATTTTTCATCGCGACTTTCTTTTCGCGCGAAGTCACAATAAACTAACTGTTCATTCATTTCGCACGTTCTAATTGTCAATTTTCTGTGCAAAAGTTGAAGAAAAATGAATTGCAGTGCAATTGGCTGTGAGAATATCCAGGGATGTAATCCCCACGTCTCCTTCCACCAACTCCCACACCACGAGAGTGAGAAGGTGGTGAGGAAGTGGAGGAAAATCTTGAAGAAGTCGTCAGGTATTGAGAAGAAGATCATCAGAGTGTGCTCTGACCACTTCCTGCCTGACGATTTCCACCCCACTTCCCGAGCTCTGCAGGGAGAGTGGAAGTGCAGAAGGAGATTGAAGAAGGGAGGTAATGATTTATATATAATGCAGGTTGTTCTTTTTTATTATTTCATCTGTAATAATTTTCAGTTTTCCCGACGAAAGTTGGGACATCTCCAGAGCTGAGCCGGGCTCATCCAGAGGCGAGTCTGGACCTCATCCAATCTCTCAACCCAGAGATTGCAATTCTATGTAAGTTTCAGAATAGAAATATGTGTAAATTGATTGACTTAAATGTGCTCTCGTATTTCACAGGGGATCATTCCTACGCAAAGATCATGCCCTGCGGTAATGGAGATGAGTTTGAGGAGAGAACTGCAGTCTTGAGAGACGAGGATGAAGAGCTGAATGATGTGATCCGCGATCAAGCCGGATGTGACAAAGAATCGGAAGTAGACATGCTCTTCGACAACACAATCGAAATTATTTCGGATTATGAGGAGACAGTGGAAGATCAATCGATTGATAAGTTATTTTTTTTATAATATTCAATAACTCTATATGGATTTCATTAATTTTTGCGAGAAAGTTGAATTTTACTTCCAAGATTCCACGATTTTCATCTCACTTTTAAAGTGAAAAAAAAAATGTTCTAAGAGACACGTGTGAATTTATTAATGAAAATGTGGACTGCAGCAGATATTCAAAAGATGTCTTAAATACTTATGTGAAGCAGAGAATTAGAAACAAAATAATTTACCAAAATAATCACTTAATTGAGAAGGAGAGAAGGGCGAATATGTATAGGAAAAAAGGGTGGGCGGCTTCACAGGAGCAAAAGAAAATACAAACATTCACAACTTGAATAAAATAATGAAAATCCGTGAAAAAAAGAATTGTTTAAATTTAAATTCCCGCGAATTCACTTCACCGCGAAACACAAATTTAACTATACATCTTCTTCTTCTTAAAATGGTCGCTTGTCGCCTCCTGTACGAGAACCCCAACAAACAACAAAAATACATACTCCTTGTCACACCATAATTCACCTCTGCAGAGCCTTAAATCAATTTCATTTTACATATTTTACTCTCTAAGGTCTCTCTTTTTGTGTGTGCAAAGAAAGACTCATTAAAGTATATTGTAGACTAAAAATGTATTGAAGAATATTCTGTTCTTCTTCAGTTGCGAAAAAAAAAACAATTAATCAGAGCTCAAAACGGATTCACAATGTTGCCTTCTCTCTTCTCTTGACGTTAAAATTCACAAATTCATCCACATTTTACTCAATAATAATCATAATAATAATAGTTGGATTACGCATTCGCAGAATTCTCACGAAAGCACGAGCAAAAGGCAATTAGCAATTTGTAGTAAGAGTTTATCAACCATTTCAGTACTCACAGTTGTTGTTGTTAGTGCCGTTTGTGGTCTTGGTGCGATTCGTGATGATGTCAAACTCATCCAAATCCGATGACGGGGACGTAATTGCGCCCACCGGCGACGGACGCGCGCCCATTGGTGGCACTTTGTTGTGGGCCGGCGACCAGGGATCCACATTCCCACCGAGATCGCTGTTGGAATTCGACGAGTCCTTGTGCATGTGCCACGGATCCGCCGGCGGAGCCGTCTTCTCCGGCACACCGCTTCCCGTGTGCCACGGATCACTGGCAGTTGGCTTCTTCGTCGTCCACGGATCACTGCCGGTGGTCAAATTGCCATTCGATGTCCCTTGCGGTGTGTTCAGCCAACCCTCGTTGGACGATCCTGAGGCCACAGATGGTGATTCATTGCGCGACAGCCACTTGGGACTGTCGGATTTCGGCGGCAGGGCGGCAGCCCCAGCTCCAGCCACCGGCGACCATGGGTCCACGGGTGGAGAAGAGGTCCGTGACCACGGATCCCCGGGCAGAGCAGCTGGAGGGCGACTGGTGGGCGGCTGTGGCATCGTCCACGGATCTCCTGGTGGACTGGAGATGCTCGTGGCGCCCAGCGAGATGTCCAGCAAGTCCATCAGATGACTCTGTTGCTGCTTCGGCGGTGCCGTAGGTCCAGGGCCATCCTTTTGCCTGCAAAGACATCACACACATCATCATCAGCTGATGCCTCCAAGGAAACCCCATCTTTCGAAGGACACTCACTTGAAGTCCTGCTCACTCTGACTCAGCGCCAGTTGGAGTCTCACATCATCACTGCGACGCTTCGCCTCCTCCTGCTCCGCCTCCTCACGCGACATTGCCATCGCCAGCTGGAGCTGGAGCTCCTCCTCGCCCACCGTTTGCGGCCGCACAAACTCGATGTCATTGACATTGGCCGGACGCGCCTCGGCGTCATGCCAGCCCGCCGTGTCACGATGCGTCGGCCCATCAATCGAGCCGTCACTCCCAAAGCCACTGGCGTGCTGTGCAAAGCGCTCCTTCGCCTTCAGCGCCTTCGTGCGCTCATTCTTCAGACGCTCATCATCCTTCAGCAGCGACACGAGCAGCTTCGCCTTCTCGCGCACATGAAGCCCCTGATCCTTTCCCTCCTCCAAATACTGAAACTCACGCAGCGTCTGAATGGCAAAGACATTCTCCTTGCACTGCTGCGCCACCTTCTCCGTTCCCGTTTTGATTAAATACTCCAGTAGGATTAAAGCTTTGTACACGTGACGCCAATTCTTGCCATGATCATTCAATCGCTTCCATATCATTGCCATTATCTCCGAATACGCCACAACATTGTATGTCAAGTCGGCGATCTCCGCCATGAGCGTGGCCGACGGTCCCCATGGGTCATTTGACGTCGCCTCTCGCACTTTTACCTGCAAATCAAATGCAAGGGGAAAAAGACGAGAAATTCTATTGAGAATCCCATTTCATTGGGCCTTCGCGCCGCACATCAGAACGCATTCAATATTTTTCCACTCTCTCAAGTTCACACTCTTCAAGGTGAAAATGAAAATCAAGTGTATTTGTGTGTAAAATAAACACAACAGACATTCTTATGACTGCAAAGTGAAAACATACCTGAGCATCTGAATAATTGTGCGCTAAATTTTTGATATTCCTCCTGATTCCCGCCACGTTCACTTGCATATCGTCCTTTTGCCTTTTCACTGACGAAAGAGAATCGAGAAAAACCATTAAAACAACACACACACACATTCACCGTCAACAAACAACCAACACAGAAAAATAATACCAATTAATGCCACAAAAGAAAATCCTTAATGAAGTGTGTAAAAAGAGACAAAACCACATAAAAAATGTTCATGATAAATTATGTCCAACAACAACACAATGATTATAATAAATGCTTTGTTTGTGTGTGTTTGTGAGTCATTTTCCACGAAAATTCTGATCATGATTCAGTAATAAAACTAAAAAATCATCTCTAAAATCTTCTTATTTCACACTCATCACGTGTTTCGCCGTGAAATAATATTTTGTACTATGTTAAAACAGTGAAAAAACGCAAAGATATGAAATCAAGACACACAAAAGATTGAACATAATAAAACACGCTCCAAAAAAATTTTTTTTGCAGAGATAGAAAAAGTGATTTTTTGTGTGTTGTGATTGGCGTTTCTGTAGAAAGAAATTACGGAAAACAAACAAATATCTTTCGTCAAAGTGTTCACACTGCACAAAAAGTAATAATGAAAGAAAAACACAACACAAAATCGAGAGTAAAATTATGTAAGAAGAGGTCAAGATATATAATAAAATATTAACAGTTTCTTCCTCTGTTTCCTTATGTAATATACATAAATATATATCTTCTGTTTTGTGGCTAATTATGTATTAAGTGAGAAATTATTCATTATAAATTGCGCTTCAAGATTTTCATCACACTTTTTCCCCCCTTCAAATCCAGATTCCCAATCAAGATGCTTCAAAATTGAGATTTCACTGTGTATTTTCATCATATTTACTTTAATTTTTCACAATCAACAAATCAAGCAGAACTTTAAAAAAAAATCTCAATTTCTTAGCATCTCAATTTTTTCCATATGAAATAATATTCAATTAAAATTTCCCACAAATGGTGTAAAAATTAGAAGAATGAAAATGAGCCAAAAGGAATTAATTAAAAAAACACACAAATAATAAAAAAGAAATCATCTTTTCATATTAAATAATAATCAAATTTTTTTTTCTTGGTAAGGAAAATGATTTTCTTTTTTGTTCATCTTTTCTTAAAGTAAATACATAAAAATAATATATATATATAGTATAAAAAATTTGATATTGAGAATGAACTTACTTTTTTATGTTTTCTTGAGAGATTTTTGTTTATTTGTTTTATAGAGACAGAGTTTTAGAATTGTCCAAAAGCAAGCTACGGGGAACATGAAATGAATAAATCACACATTTTCATTCGTCAATTAGTGTATTATTTCTGTAATTTCATTTTGTATATCTCTTTGTATAGATATTCTCTCCTTACTTCAATAGTAATAGTATCAATAGATAATAAATTCATCAAGTCTCTCCAATCCAACTGCTAAATTCATTCGATAAACTGCTAATATTGAAAAATTCTCTTTAATAATGAATGTCTTGAAGAGAATAAAAGCAAGAAGCAAACACAAAATCCTTCAACTGTTCAATTATTATCAATTATTAATTATTTAACAAAAAATATGTAAATCAAAAGAATAAAAAGAAGCTGTGATGCAAGGAAATATTTGTATGTACAAAAGAGATAAAGAGACACTTTTGAAAATGTACACTTTTTTCACTTGCACACCTTCAAACTTGTTATCTGTCTATACAAACTGCAAATGATAAGAAAATGCCTTTTGCTTTTTGCACTTGAATAAAAGGGAGGTCAGAGAATTGACACCTTCAGAGTCACCAGTGAAGCCATACAGGCAAATACGCCGCCGTTTCTCCTTCATGAGGATTCTCCACAACGTGACTTCCTTGGCATTTTTTTTGTGGAAGAAGTGCGCTTCTTGTGGGGCAAAATGCACCTCTTAATGTGTTACCGGCCGCCTTGAGTGCTCATAAAATCCATCATTCTGCTCTTAAACATTCCATTTCCCGTCTATTTTGTCTCGCCATATTCAATTAAGTTGAAGCTGCCAGTGTGAAAATGCCTGAGAATTGAATTCTCACGTGAGATTGCCCAAGAATATCCGATTTCCCAAATCGACGGGTGAATCGAAAAGGATGAAAGGTCGATTTATCATAGTTTTCGCCTTATGTATGTTTGAAAAGCTATTTATTTGTTCTTCTTGTACAAAAATTTTGAAATTTGTATCTTATGAGACAATTTTTCAAAGAAAAATGTCTCAAAAATTGCAGAAAAACGCATCAAACGCCTTTTTTAAATCTTCAAAATTACCCTAAAATGTTTTTTAGACTTTGAAATGAATATTTTAAATATCTTTTAAATTTTTTCACTTCAAAACTCTGAAGAAAAATCCAAGTTAAGCATGAAAAGTTGATTTTTTAGAACTTGTTTGGATAAAATCGACTTTGGAAATTAATATTTTCAGATTTTCTATTAAATTTTGCCATATTTTAGTCAAAAATTTCAATAAATATCAATAAGATTATCTAAAATATTCACAAAATAATAAATACAGAGCAATATTTGCACTTTAACTGACGATTTGGAGGCGTTTTGAGGGGTTTGAAGGAAATTTGGCAAATTTTAAACTCTCTTTGCTGAAAAATACAATTTTGGCTTTTCATAGTTTTCGATTCACCCGTCGAAATGCCAACTGATCAAATAAACCCAGAAAAATGAGGAAAAATGCCCAATCTCAGGTCAATGATCGTGGCTTGATATTGAAGTCCTATAAATAACCACCTTTTATCTACTGCAATTCACAAGTCTTCCCTCAATTTTCCTCCAGCTGGAATGCAACCCGTGCAAGAGAGGCATAATTTACTCGGGCAGCGAAAAGAATAAACAACAAACAAGTGTGCTGAAGACTGAATCTCTCTCTCTTAACTTCCTCAAGAGTGTATAATTTCTCGCAAGATATAGTTCTACCGAGCAACTCTGGAGCTCCAGAGATCTCCGTGTTGTTTGCCTCCCTTTCCAATTTCTAACGCCACTTTTCAATTTTGGACCCACTCGTGCGAGTGAGAGTGAGACGGTTGGAAAAATTACGCGTTTTTTCCACTCAAGAGTTCGTCGAACCGAAATTGACGATCGCATATTCGTCACTCTAAGTATAATTTCAGGCCTCTTTCTTTGCGCGCCACAAACTTCATCATCACATCATTGCAGAGCAAATTGATGATGAACACCTTTTCTTGTGGAGGATCTCCTCTTCATAGTCTTCCCGTTTATGCATAATAAAGCACAATCATCATCATGTTCTGATGAGGACTGATTTCACATCCCAAACCAGCACCTGTACGAAACACAGCAAAGTGCGCTCAAGGAGCAAAACACTCTTCTTCTTCTTCTTGTCTCTCCTCTTCACATCTTCGCTGGGTTCTCTCTCGCGTCTGTTTACTCACGAATAATAAAAAGACGACGCGACATTCACGAAAACAACGTACATATTTATCAGGGTGAATTGGGAGAGACGCAAATACACAAAAATAACACCCAAAGCAGGTAAATTTCTCTATCTCGCCCCCTTTTTTTCTCTCTTTCCTCCAGCAAAGTGATAACATGGAAATTGCGTAGGTCGCAGATAATGTATGAATAGAGGAAGATTGGAGCAGTTTTATCGCTAACTTCACCAAAAATCACCGTGAAGGACTTTTATTGAGGCTAAAAATGTGTAAAAATTGTAAATTATTGGATTAAATCTCTGCAAAACAGCAGAAAATGTAACAAATTTATCTCGACCAAGAAAATTGCAGATTTAACACCCAAAATAACCCACATTTCTCTACATAATCTGTCTACTTTTGTCCACCAGCAGCACAATAAAGAATTCAGAAATTATATCAATCGATTTTCACCCTTCTTCAGGTGCTAATTCCATTACAATGAGTTACAGTGGGAGGAGCAGAAATGCCTATTGAACGGCTGAAAGCCCAAGAATTCCCTCAAATATTTACCGAGAAAATTCATCATTTTCACACCTCAGTTCTCAAAATTTTTCCCCCCTTCTCAAGATAACAACAGAGAAACCCAGTGACATCACAAATTGCCACGATATCAGTGAGTCTTTCTGGATGATTCAAAAGTTTTCTGATAACAGAATGTTAAGGGATTAAGTGAGAATCTCTGCCTTTCCTATTCGATTTCTCTTCGATCTTGGATTTTTCCCCACAGAAGGTCTTGAAAACCAGTGAACTGATCCCAAAGCCCAGCCCGTCTGCACGACGAAATGCTCAAGTGGCGTGTCTCGGAGTCAGCGAGAATGAATAAAGAAATTGCTGGCCAATTGTGGCAGAATTAAACATCGGTGTGTATTCAGAGGCGACTTTCTCAGATCTCAGACTCTTTATGGGGCGTCACATGACTTCCTCGTCTTTGTCTCACAGCTCCCAATATTGTCTCTGTCTCTGGACCCCGTGAGTGGCACTGGCGCCGCTCACTGTCCGGGGAGCCAAGAGGCAGTGAGTGAGAGAGAGAGGAGAGAGTCTTGCGAAATGGGGGCGCGCCCATGAGGTGTTTTTCACGTCCTTGGCGACAACTTCACTGTGACTTTGAAGGCGCGACATCTCACCAATGTCATACTGATAGGCAGGCAGCAGTCCAGAAGAAGCAGAAAAATCATAGAACTCTGTCCGGAGGGGACTTGCGCCCCCCTCACAATTGAAAACAAACTACGCAAAAAGAGTCCCTGCTTCAATGCAACTTCCTCGCAACTCACCTCAGTTTCACGCTACTACGGGGGTTTTCTTATCCACAAGACAGGGTTGCTACAAAGTCACACGTCGCACAGATGTTGGAATAATGCAGAAAATGCCACCTTCTTCGATGACTTCTGGACAGATTTTTGGGGATTTCCTTGCATGAACAGAAAAAAAAGAACTTCCACCGACTATTTTCAGCACTGATTTTGTCAGCTTTCCACACAGTCGCCGTGAAAGTAAATGGTGAGAACTACAAATTGACACTGTGAAGCACGAGAATTAATGCAATATTGGGGGTGAAACACTTATTATCACGTATTTTTCACGGAGGATCTCTCATCCAAATCCATCCACCGAACTGACGTAAACTTTGCAAAATGGCCTCATCACCGTGGGTTGCCCGATGCGAAAGTCGCCCAGGGGAGCGGCCAGCGACAGCTCGCGGCGAAATCCAGCATAACCTCAAAGCGCAAGTGCAAGAATTTGAGTTTATCTGCATCTCAGGTGATTTCCTCACGTTGCAACACACTCCTGCGAGTGGTGATTAATGGCAATTTTGATTTTTTTGTCTACAGCAAAAGGCCACACCAATGTTGGACTGGCTGCTGAGGTTCTTCTACAACAATGCCTTCCTGGAGCTCATTGATAGGCCCCAGTCGATGACCTCTTTGTCGATTTTCGTGAGTTTCATCTCCTTCAAGACACTCTACGTGGTCATTCTGCTCCTCTTCGCCCTCTATCGTCACCACATCAGCACAGCTTGAAGCTCTCCCCTTCCCGATGGCAGCTTGGAACACTAAGAAGCACCATTTCAAGGAGGATCTCTATCTCAGCACCACCTGCTTAGTGAGTAAGGATCTTGTGGAGTTTCTGGCAGATTTCCAACTCGATGCCATTCGATTCCTGTGGAAACACTTCATCAGCAGCCAAGGATGCATATTTTCAGCTGAATCTGGATTGGGGAAGATTTCCACTGTTCTTGCCTTTGGATCAGCTATTTTACCAGGAAGAATCGCAGTATTGTGCAAGAATCCTGAGGGAATTCATCATTGGACTTATCAAATTGGCGTATTTTCTCTCCCCGAAGACAATTTCACCTTCACGACGCTGGACAGTGTGGAAGAAGTTCCTGGAAATGTAACTTATCTCATAATCGACGCTCGACACTCAGCGACTCTGACATCTGAGGAAATTCTCAGACTTGAGAGCATCTCTTGTAAGAAGAGAGTCTTCATTTCATCCACAGATTTGGAGGAGAATCTTGACTATCTGAAGAAACTTCTGCAATGCGTGGATCGAAAGTGGCACAATCTCTTGAGGAAGACTGAAGATGTGCAGCTGATCATCAGCCACGCACAGAAATTCATGCTGAAGCAGTTGAGGAAGCAATACGCATCAGAATTGCCACTGAGAGATGAACTTCTCTACAGAACGGGCTTCGAGGCGCTGCATAAATCCCCGGAGAAGACTCTGGAAATCTTGAGTCAGGAATCTGAGAGAGGATTTCCCATTTGCAGACGTCTCAGACGGAGATTCTTCAATTCATCGGACTCTGGCACGCCTGAGCTCATCTTCTCGGAGGAGGAAATCATCAAGACATCATCGAGAGTCGTCCAAAGTTCCCAGGAAAGTGATCTCGTTATTCCACCGTCTCCGGATGACAGTGAACCACTCTTTCGACGTCGTCCTCATCGACAGAAGATCCCCAGCACTCAAGTGTCCGGACGAGAGACGCCCAATCTCTTCGACAGCTCTGTAGAGAGTGAACCTGAAGACAAAGGCGCCCTGAACACAAGCACTCCTCTCTCCAAAGAAGCTCCAGATAACTTTGTCGTCTCTCAATCGCCAATTCCCGCTCCAGAAGCTGTGAATATCACCCACAATGGCAGTGAAGTGTTCGAGATCACAACGAATCCCACATTTTCTAACCAAATCCGCGTCTCCTCGAAGCTGGAAGTGTCTCCAGTCAGCACACCCAAGACGCCAGAGTCCACAAAGTCGCTGCCCAGCACCAGTGGCAAGTGGGAGAAGAGCACGAAGAAGACGGAGCAGGACAAGTGCGACACACCGCGCAGCAGCATGAAGTCATCTGGGTGGCTGATGAAAGAGAGTCCCAAAAGATCGCCCTACAAGCGTCTCACGCCAAGGAATCTCTCGGTGACTTTTGAGGTGCGCAGGAGAGAGGAAGAGGCTCTTGTGGAGGCCTTCTCGCGACCCATTCCCACCCAGGAGACGGAGGAGGAATTCCCGAGGAAGAGACGACGCAGATTGCGAGACTTTCTGGTGTCTTCTGAGGAGGAGGAATTTTAACGTTTTTTTTTTTACATTCGTTTTATTATATCAATTTTATTTGCACGCATTTTATTTAGGACAATTTGACATTTTTATTGTATTTCTGGTCAGTATCAGAATAAAATTATTTTTCAGACAAATTCAAAGAGAGCTCGTACTTCTTCCTGTACAGCTGACCCTTGTGGTACTGATAGTCCTGGCTGTCGGTGTTCCAGGCCAAGTACATGTACAGTGTCAGCAGGACGTTCAAGAGGAGACGATCCAGCGTCAGGATGTTCACTGCCCAGAGAATGACGGTGATGCAGACGAATGAGGGATGACGCACGTGACCGTACAAGCGTCTCAACTCGGCGGTCTTGTACAGGATGGGCGGCGCCAGATGATTAGCCTCGTGGTGAATTTGCTTAGCGCCCAGAATCTCCGGCAAATCCATAATCAAACTCCCTCCGCAGACAATGGCCCAGGCGAAGCCGTGCAGCAGCACAAATACCCACCACAGTCTGTCCTGCTTCGCCACATCCAAGCGCCACACGATGAGCCCCGGGGCGGAGGCCCAGTTGTGCATCAACACCAGCAACGTGCAGGAGCTCATCAGGCAGTAAGTGCTCCTCTCCCAGGTCGCCAATCCGCGTCGGTGGAAGAAGGCCTTCACGGCGTCCGCTTTGAGGAGGCTGTGCGGCAGGATGAAGAGGCTCAGCAGCAGCAAATCCATCACAACCGTGGACAGAATCTCATTCGTGAGTGTCGCATTGTCCAGGAAGTTGTAGAACCACACCTTCTCCAGGCGCACTTCTCCTGGCGTGGAGAGGAATAGCGCCAGCTTCAGGAGCGCAAAAGAAGTGACCAGGCATGAGCCTGTGGCCAGGACAAACGAGGAAACCTTCCGAAAAGCACTCATCGCGGGGTTTTGTTTACACTTTTGCGTCATCAACGCGAAGCGAACTGAGCCAAAAGCGTGGCGAAATTTCAAAATCTCTTCTCTCAACGGTCACTTTTGGGATCATCGAGCAAAATCCAAAGAAAAGAAATATACTTAAAATTTATTTCACGACTCGTAACAAAAGCGGCTTATGAGCAAATAAATTAGATGATTGCAATGCTTGAAGCTGTCTACTTCTTCCTCTCATAGCTGTACTCCTCCTCGTCGTCATCTTCGTCGTAGCGCGGCGTCGTGGACGTGGCCTGAGCCTGGAAGATGTGCTGCTGAGGCCGTCTCTGCTGCAGCGAGATGTTGATCTCCTCTGGCGACCGGAAGACGGTGTTGTGTGGAGTGGAGGATGGTGGTCTGTACGGCTGAGGCGTGGGCACAGTCACTTTGCGGACAGTTTGAACCTGAAGAGAGAATCAGAAGCATGATTAGTAAAGAGGATTTTTTCTGGTGTTCATGAGGGATTTACTGGTTGTCTGGTGTAATGAATCTGTTGCTGTGGCACGTCCTGGTGACGCTCAGGAAACACCCTCTCGTTGTAGTACTCCTGTCGCTCATCCTGGTAGATCTCATCGGGATAGTAGCGCTCGGAGTAGCGTAGCGTGACATTGGGACGCGTTTGGTGTTCCTCCATGTTGATGGGCTTGTACAGATATTCATTGACGAAGTGATACTTGGTGGATTGCTCGCAGATGTTGTCCGCAGACGCGGGCATACAGATCAGATGGACCTGGTGGAATGTGAAGCCCTCAGGGCAGATCCACGAGTGTCTGGAGTTGTCTTGGCAATAGTGGAAGACTTCACAGCCCAGCGTCTCGTCGGCATAGTAGCCAGTGAGGCGTCCGTTGCACTTGAAGCTGGACTTCTCCAACAGCAGCGACAGGCGATCGGGCTCCTCATTGTCCAGCTCCTCCTGCAGCAGCTGCTGCTTCGTCTTGTCCAGCTTCTTGTACACCTTCTGCGCAGGCGGATGCGGGTGTGGATTGGGCTGTGTCGATGTCCTCCTCTGCTGCTGTGCCGTGTAAATCAACTGCGGCGCTTGGGTGATTGTCTGATGAATGGGCTGCTGCTGATCCTCCACCTCGTCACTGTAGTCGTACGGCCGGAGCCGGTACTGAATGCTGGCCGGCGATGGCGACAGGTCAATTCCCTGGGCAAGACAAACACGATTCAATGCCACGCGCGACTTGGGAAATGAAAGTGAAATCTCACCTCCTCATCCAGTGCCTCATCGTCGTCCGCCTCAGCTTCCGGCAGACTAAACTGCTGCTGACACTGGACAACTTGTGCCAAGATCAGGGTCGTCACGGCTCCACAAATCCAAAAACTACTATATATGCAATAATAATCAAAACGCCGCATTAAAATCACACACGCTCGAGTTTGGTTTTGAAGAGCGCAAATTTCACTATACTTAAAAAAATATTTCTCAACGTGAAGAAGAAGAAAAAATGAGCCCCAATTAAGCCCCCTTTCATTGTGTATACACATTTTCATGCTCGTATAATTTGAATTAACTCATGTGTATCGCGACACATTGGAATTAATATGAAATATCGCCAGAGAGCTGAAAAAGCGCCATCAAGCATTCTCTCACTCTCTTCAATTGAATCTCTTTTGCCGCTGCGATGACGCTGAAGAAATTCACCTTCAATGGTCAATGAAATGTTTCGCCATTTAATAGAATTGTGTTTTCATTCAAGCACGCCTGAAAGTGAATTTACCACCACGAAGGGAATTTATAAGAAATTGTCCGCTGCAGTGAAAGAGAGTGGCGGCAATAAAAAGAAACATATGAGAAACACTCTTTAACAAATATACACAGTATATTTTTGCTATGCTGGTCAGAAAAAAAGCAACAAATCCCAAGATTCAGCGGAAAACTATATATGATTCGTGTGAAAATTTTAAGTGATTCATTTCACAGTGAAATTGACTCACAAATCAACACACTTTAGAGATGACGGGAAATTAAGATTAAATGCATCGGAGCGAATAAATTTGAATTGATTCCACATATTTATTCACCCAAAAAAGTGGGAAAGAACTCCCAAGGCAGCGACTGAGAAATGCTGAAGAAAAGTGAAAGAAGATTAATTGCAAAGCAGCGATAGTGAGCATTTTACGATGATATTTATAGATGTTTATCAGTGTTTCGCCTTGCATTTTATTTAAGTGATTTCTCAATTAATTACACCATTTTCACGTTATCAAACCCAAGAAGAAAAAAGTGAGCTCAGCAAATTATCAAAATTGCGCTTTTACGAAGTTTCAGGCAAGCTCAAGATTATTGAGATTGGACAAAAAGAACCGAAGGTTCTCTTATTTCCATGGAGACTTTTAATCTGTTTTTAGAGACGTTCTGATCTGAACTACAACATACTCAAATCTTATCCAAATGCATCGTCAGATTGCCGAGATACAAGCGTTGAAAGTTAAATCAATATGGCGGTGTCACCGATCACGTCACAGACTAATATTAGATGTGGCTTACTAAAGGGCGTCGAGACACGTCTTTTGGTGAAGAGATGATCAAAATCGGTTGGTAAACAGCGGAGATATAGGCCGGTAAAGGATTGAAATTTGACCCTCAATATCTCCGCTCCTATAATATCAATCCTCATAAGTAACGATTCGTTGGAAAGGACTTGATACCAGCTATAACATACTAGAATTTGAGCCCAATCCATCCCATAGGAGCTGAGTTAATGAAGAAAGAGTGTTTTAGAGATGTTCAAAATGGCGGACGGAGAGCTGGAGTTGAATCTGACAACACCAAATTCTAGCGACTCAAGATCTTTTGACGTTCAGGCGCTAGACGGAACACGAAAAAAGTAACCCCCTCACATTCGTCAAATCTCGGCTTTTTAGTCGATAAACGAGCAGTTTTCCTCATTAATCGATCAATTTCAAGATCTTCCTGCCTCTAAACAACAATCTAATTTAAGTACTTTTCCCCACTTAGCGTCTCTCCATGAGCTTTCTTGCTTTGCTTCACTCAGCAAAAAGCACTTTCTTCTGCCACTCACGTGCGGCGATAATTCAAGATCGCGGAAAACAATTCACAGGAGGCCCATTAAATTTTATCTCTTACCACCGCGAGAAGATCACCGAAAGAGAATCATACTTCCGACACGCTTCAACTTGGCGCAATTTGATGCCTATCAAAACGGTGTCGATGCTCTAGTAAATATCACGTGCGATCATCACTGATCAGATGATCGACGAAGACAATTTCTGCTTGGACGACAACAATGGCATGCGATGTGTCTCTAATCAATAATTTATCAATTGAATGCTGTGAACTTCTTTTTTTCACTCACTCGTGAGAATTTCACTTGTGCGCGAATTGTTTCCATAATATTAAATGAAACATATCTTTTACTTTCACTTCTTTTCCATCGCCGAAAGTGCACGCAAGAATATTTTTGCGCAGTGTTATTTTGAGCATGAGAGATGCCGTGAGTGTGTGGCAGAGCAGGTGCAGAACGGATGCTGTTCGATGCGTTTTATGCAACAGTGCGCCAAAGGGCACAAGAACAGGACCGCGAAAGATTGATATTTCGCGCGCAATGAGTGTGTCTCAACCGCCGGAGTTCACCAGCAACGGGTGCCAATTGATAAATGAGTGTCGATCTTGCTGAGGGAAAATTGGTTGCATTGTGGACAACCAAACCGTCTCTTATATAAAATCTCGTTTTGCCCATTTTATAATACACAAAGCAACACATCGACAGCGGGACAAGTTTTGTGAGATGAATTTTTGCAGAGCAATTTTCTGCAATTGGAATTTGAAAATGTGCACCGCTGAAGAATGCAAATAAACCACTGCGAAATCTCAACATTGCACACAATCAAACACACACTGCAGAGGCAGTTAATTAGAGACTCTTGTTCGCCCAGCCTCTCAATTTGGCCATCATGTCTCATTACATTAGCATTTTCTGTTTCTCCCCCTCAATTATCGTTGAGAAATATTTTTATCAATCAAGAATAGCGAATTAGGAGAAGAAGATAAATTACCGCATTTTGACTACTTTCTGACAAAAAAAACTTTCTTCACCAACAACCAAAGCACACACACTTTCCCGCACAATAGAAATTATGCACTCTCGCAATCACTGATTGTGTCCTCCTTGATCTCTTTGCAATCTCTCTTTGCGACTCGCGGTGGAAAATCCAGAGCAAATCTGCACAATTAACACTTTTTACCGTCTTCTCTCTTTGTGCACAGTGTGTGGGATAAAAATTGTGACTGAGCAACTTTCTACCGAGGCTCGTGGCTTTTATACCCCCAAAAGCCCCCACAAGCACAGCCACAGAGCGGCGCTGAGGAGAGAAAAAATCAAGTCAGTTGGACGCCAATTTAAGAGACCAACCAATCGTGACAAAATCTGGACGAGACACTCAACTCCCTCCAAGCCAGAGGGGATCATAAAGTATTCAAAATACACACCTGGCAAACTCATCTCAATCACAGAGGAAGACAAGGCAATGGAGACATCCTAATGAGATCCACTCAATAGTGTGGCTCAAATGGCACAGAAAATAAAGTTGTTAAAGCATTTTATCGGATTTTGACTAATAAATATGCGTAATTTGCTCTCTTTTCAATATTTCGTGGTTAATGTCAGAAATTTAGAGACGTTTTCAAGTCAAAATGCAGCTTTTAGAACGTCAAATGGGCGGAGCATTTAAATGGGCGGTGCTTTGGAATATCTTCATCTTAAGGACATTCACGGGTAAAAAATTATTTCCACGCCTCATTAGCTCAAATGACACAGAAAATAAAGTTGTTTACGCATTTTAGCAAATGTAGACCAATAAATCTGAGTAATTTGTTCTCTTCTTAATTTTTCATGGGTAATGTGAGAGATTTAGAGACATTTTGAAGTCAAATAGCAGCATTCAGAACGTCAAATGGGCGGAACATCTAAATGGGCGGGGCTTTAGAACATCTTCATCTTAAGGACATTCACATGTGAAAATTTATTTCGCATCTTTATCAATTTGAAACACACCCTATGACACTTTTCAGAACCTCTTCTCAAAAATATAATTCCGAATATGAGTTAAATTGGCGTTCCTTAAGATTTATTCGTGTTTTTCTGCGATGGCCAAAAAACACATTGATACGAAAATCGATATAAAAGCGACACAAAAGAATTCTTCAGCAGAACAAGCATGATTTATCAAAGCTCCTCTAAACAACACAGAAAGCCCATTAATTGGAATTCATACTTGGAGGTCCTCCAATAAATTATGGCATGTGGAATCCTAACTTAATGGCCCCTCTGGGGAGGAAATTCAAATTGCCGCCAATTAATTTCAGCACAATTAATTTTCAATAAAAATTCTTACATGACACTATAATGAAGACATATCAGAAAATGGTGGAAGTGAAAATGTGTGTTGCATCTGGCAAATGAAATTGTTATTCACTTGCTGAATAATATATTGAATATTTTTGCCCCTTTTCATCATGCAAATATAAGTCTTGTAGCCATAAAATTGCGATTTGTTTCCCACTTTTCGTGTCATTTTTCGTTTTAAATGAGATCTTTTACATAATTCCCAATAAAAATCATGCCATTTCCCTGTTATTCCTCATCAATAAAATATCAAGTGACATAACGAAAGACTTGGTAACATGGCTAAAATGTCTGAACACTGAATCACTGTGTCAGTGATTTAAGATGAATTTAAGAGCTTCTTTCGCGCATCACAAACAGCATCTCTTCTTGGCTTTATCGATTTGCAAACACGTGAAAGAAGATGCACTTTTGCCGAGGCAAAAAAACACACTCTTCAACAGAGAAAAAACATTATAACATGTAACACACATTTCTCTCTCTCTCTCTTCTCACTCACACGGTCTGCATAAACGTGAATCGATTCATATTAATTGATCGATGATCCGCAAAAGAGTGAAACAAATCCTCAACATGATCGTTGGAGTAAAATTGTTGGCAAGAGACTCCAGGGAAAATTGCCATTGACACAGAAAATGCACAATTTCCCTCTACAATCGCACTGCGATCAATAACATTTTGCAATGACTTGTCGGGATTTCTTCAATTTTTCCACCCACACAAAACCCATTTGCAATTAGTTTTGAGAGGCACACGTGAGGGAAGGGAAGACAAGTCACTGACTTTCCTCACATCACTTCCCATTCAAATTTCAGCGAATAAAAGGTGCAAATGGTGTTTATTGGCTCAGCGGCAACAGTGTTGTTAGAAGTCAAATGATGAGTATTGATCAATCAAATATCGTATCTCCATAATTAACAACCTGCTATATTTCACGCCAAAACCAGCTTTTTTCTGTCATCAATCAAGCCTCGCTTAAAATCCCAACCGCAAAACGTGCGGAAAGATAAGAATTCCCTCTAACCGCTCGTTGCAACTTTACGTTCATATAATTTCTAATAAACTGTCGTAAATATGATTTCGCTAATGAAAGCCTGAAACGTTTCAAACGTTCTCGCCTGACATCAATTCATATTTTTCGTCTCTCGTAAAGATCAGAAGAGCCAGAAAATTCACGTGAAAACCAAGGAAATAGACAATAATGATGTTTTTATGTAAATAGTCATATATTTATTAGATTTTTTCGATCATTTGTGCATTTTTCATTGCACCAGATTGAGGTTATGTGTTTCTGAACATTCTTCGAACCTTTCCAAAGAAACTTATTGGTTTTTATGGCCAACAGAATCCTTCAAGAATCACATTGAAAACGCTTTTGGAACAGTCGCGGATGAAGATGTCTTGTCACTGGAATTCACAATGTCGCCATGTTGAACACACTCTTGACGTCTCACAGCTGAAATTCGCATTAAATAAACTCCCAACTTTGCCTTGCAACGTCTTCTCGTTCGTATTTCATTCATACTTTACACTAGTGCCGCCGAACGGCCACCAATATAATATATGAAAATGTAATGTTGCAACACCAGATTTGTAGATTTAACGAACTGAAATCAGTAAATTTGCAACGAGCGGTAAATTCTCGTGTCTTTTGATGTCTCTTTCCTCTTTTCATCATTCTTCTTCCACACACTTAACAATTAAGACAATGAATTCAATTTCCCTCTAAAATATAAGTGATAATAAAACAAAAATATACATTCCGCTCTATAAATTGTAATGACAAAAGTGTGCGTTTTTCTCTCTCTCTGTACAAAATCTCCCAATTTCTCATTTAATATGAAAGGAGAAATCATCGAAATATTTATGACTCGCGTTAAAAATCGTTCATAGGTGGTAACTTTTATTGTAGCCTCTCATTGAGGATTGTCTTAAATCAATTTTACGCAGTGCCTCATCAAAGTCTCTTCCCTATACAAAAAGGCCAAAGTGAATTGAGACCTTCTCATCTCCACATGAACTGTTTTCTTCGCTCAGCAAGAGATTATCATAAATTGAACTTAATTAGCAATTAAATTAAGCTCTAAACGCATTTTTTTCCACTTCCCTGCAACTTAATTAATGTGAGAAAATACTCTTTTTTCTTCATCTCTCGCACTATCAGTGCACTTTTCCGTGAAAATTGTCTCATTTTTTTCGCTCTCAATTTCACTCCAACAAAAAAAAACAGCCCATTTTGTTCACATTTTGACCATTTTGCGCATTTCATTTTGCACTCTTTGTGGCGTCGAAAGTAAAAAGAAAATCCCGCGCGCGACTCGTGCACACACATCTTAATAATTATGTTAATGCAAAGCAAGATTCAAGACTTGAATTTCGTTGCCTTTTGCAGTGTGATTGCAAGTGAAACACCAAAATGAAATAATGTACTTCACATCTCTTGGTTGATTTCCTTACACAACAACTCGATCGGAAGGAGGATTGCATTCTCAATTGAGAAATAAAACTCTTCCACTTCTCACGCAATGAAATGGACTCCAAATGGAGAGTCAATGGGTTAATTCTCCTCTTAATTGCATTATGTGATCATCGGGACAGTTTTTTTCTCTGTCTTCTGTGAATATTATTGAGTAATTTTCTCCTTATCACCTGCATCAGAAATGGCAGTGAAAATTAACACTTTCTTTTGGGGTAAATGATTGAAAAATATTAGGAGAACACGGCGAGATTGCCTAAACGCATGATAAAATGTGTATCATGTGAACACTTCTGTATAATTCAATCAATTTCTTCATCTTTTACACAATTCATCTGCTATTTTTTCTTCCATTTGGATTTCATGGGAGATTTTTCTGTTATAAAAATCCAACATTATTCACAATTCTTCAATTGTTACTGCGTTTGCGCTTTCAATGGTGCAGTTCAGGAAAAGTTAATCCAACAATTCTCTTGCTCCAATTTGTAATTCAATAATTCTCAGAGCATTTGCCTTGTCTTTAATCCATGGTTTAACACTTAGCGACGATAGAATTCTGCACTCTGAGCGGCAAGTTTTGATCTGCAAAATGTAAGAAAAATTAATTAAAGCTCTGACAAAGTGTCTAAAATAGAGAAATGCATGCTCACAGTCGCGTGATTTGAGGATGTCTCTTATTCACCCTAAAGTCAGAATCATGGGATGGCAGGGAGGACGCTTCTGAGCTGCTGCAAGTGCTTCCTGGGCGATTGACGAAGAATCCGGAGAGAATTGGAGAGCGAGCAATCAACAGAGGCTCCTTCCGCACGCTTCCCTCTGAGCTCAGGAAGGAATTCTCTCGTCTCTGTGTCTGCATCTGACTCCTCTGCGGTCGCTGCTCCCGCTGAGCCACATATTGAGTCATTTCCTTGATCTTCTGATCCAGTTTCTGCTCAAGAAAAGCCATCTTTCCATTCTTGGCCTTCATTTGCTTCAGAGCAGACGCTTTGGTCATGAGTTTGCTCTGGAGCTGGGCAAACTTGACATTCTCTCTCACATCTCCCAGCTTCTTGTGCTGCTCCAGATCAAAGCGCTGCCGGATCGCAGGATCCAGCTGTGGAACAGAGGAAAAGAGAAAATGTTCAAGACAGCTTTGCTAAGGCAAAGTTTTAGGCGTTTCAGGGCATAAACCACTCACATCCTTTGAGATCTTCCTGTACTTGAACGGCTTCTTGCAGAACTTGCACTCACTGCTGTTGTTGATCACTGCGAAGGAGGAAAAAGGCGATTTTCACAACACGCTGAGACACTTTTCTTCGCTGACAAAACATGGCGGCTCACCCAGTTTCTTCAGGCAACTTTCGCAGTGGATATGCGAGCAGTTCAGCAAGTAAAACACCGTCTCCTTGCAGTAATACATGTAGCACAAGTTGCAGTGTATCCACGTAGTCATCCTGACGCGCTTTCTGGGCTGTATATCCTCAAAAATCCATCAAAAGTGTCGCTCACAATCTTCCTTCACACACACAACGGGATTCAATAAAGGAGAGCAGCGCCGCGTGGTGAACAATAGGGCCATTAAATTAGAAAAACACGTGAAAAAATTTCTTGTGCTGCAGATTTTTATTTACAAAATCCTTTTCATAACAACTTTTAATCAATGTGAAAAAGAATACTACAATTAGGCCTCACCCCACAATCACACACGATGAAAATAAATTCACAGATGTGGTAAAAATCACATAAGTAGCGATAATGATGGAAAAAATGTCAATGAAATCCCCAGAATTGCACTAATTCGCACGCTTATCATTCTCTTATCAAGTATTTTGTCAATATTTACTAAATCCCTGCACTGCTGCTATCAGTGACTGGCACTCCGCAGTAGGCTCTCGGTATCGCGCGACCGCTCCATCACGACCTTCCACGATTTCAACGGAAGCTGCTGCAACTGGGCCACTTTTGACCTGCCCCACCGATACCAGATCAGCCCGTAGATGAGACAAATGCCGCACTCAATGTAGTACCCGTCGATGTCTATCTGGCACACGCCGCCGGCCGCCGCGCAGGCCTGCAAGGGATGGAAGAGAGAGTGTGAGAATCCGGGGGAGTTGAGGGTGGTTTGGCGGTCGTGTCCTTACGTCTTTCTGCTCCTGACTGGCGCAAATGTTGTCCGACTGGGTGTCTGGAATGTTGCATCGGCCCCACGTGAGCACATCCACGAGCCAGAGCATCACAGTGGACGGCCAGTTGCCCCCGAGATTGCTGACAGTGTTGAGAAGCGTCATGTATGTTCCGCCCACGGCGGGATCGCTGATCCGGGCGAAGAAGGCCATCACAGCCACGAACATCGAGTACAGCGTTATCTGCAAGTGTAGCGGGCAGAGGATGAGCAATTGCCCTTGAGTGACATGACAAGTAAGCTCACCTGATAGAGGCCGTAATTGATTATCAGCATGACGTAGTAGTAAACAGGGAACTGGCCATTGCTGAGGAATGCGGGTGTGATCCACACAACCGCCGAAGCCACCACGCCGAGCGCCAATCGATAGGGTATCGCCTTCACGTACACGTCCATGGGACGTGGTCCTGTGGTGTACTTGCTGATGACCAGCGGCAGGATGATCTGCAGTGGCACCAGTGGCACCACCAGGAGCGCCAGCTTGTCTTTCGGCACGCCCGCGTCGATCAACTTGAGCGAACTCACGGCGTCGGACGCGGCGAAGGAGATTTTCACGGTCAGCAGAATGGCGCCGAGGATCTGGATGGGACGCATTCGCAGAATGTCCAGCAGAAGTGTGTAGGATTGCCGGATGTTGAGCTCGGGCTGCTTCGTGTACCGACTGGAGGCGACTGGGGCGTTCTCGCGCTTGAAGATCGCCACGAGAGTCGTGGTGACGAGGAAAACGATGCCCCAGAACCACAGGAAGCCCGGCAGCGTCACGATTCCCTCATCCGAGGCCTCACGCCTGAGATATGTGTTGCAGAACTCCGCGGACTCCAGCGCCATGAAGACCACGTAGCCCAGGAAGTAGCCGGCCGTCTGGCCGACGCTGTTGCACGTGGACGCGTGACCCACGTTGCAGCGCTTCAGCATCGTGAGCGCCCAGCCGTCCACGGCGATGTCCTGCGTGGCGGCGAGGAAATTGAGAGCGAAGAAGATCACCGTGAGCACCTGGACGTGGGGCGGAGCGCCGCCGCCGCCCAGCCACTGTGTCACATGCTGCGAGAGGATGAGCATGAAGAGCCCTATTAAATACTGGGTGGGAATGAGCCAGGATTTCCGCCGTCCGAAGGCGTTCCAGTACAGAGAGTCCACGATGGGGGCCCACAGCAGCTTGAGGCTGAAGGGCCAGTAGGCGAAGCTGAACTCAGCCTGGGAAGCAAGAACCAGAGATTCCATGAGATCTCAGCTCATGTGGGAGGAAGAACAGCTGATCACTCACCTGCTGCTTGTATGTGGCGCCGCGATTCTGCAGCAGCATCGGAATGGCAGATGTGAGCCCGATTGGAATGCCCTGGAGCAGGTAGAGGAAAAACAGGATGGCAATGTTGAGCTTGTCCCCACGCAAGTCACTCGCCTCGATCTTCTCCTCCGGCGACACGTCCACCCCATCCTCTGGGGCACTCCTGTCCTTGTCTGGCGTCTTCTCCTGTCGTCTGCGGATCTCCATGATGTCAATTGATGTGTCTTTCATGCGCTCACTTAGGGATCTGGCTGCCTTCTGGGCGAAAACGGACACGTCACTTGGAAACGTGTCTCATGCACGTGAACACACCGCACGAGTGTCATTAAACTCTTGCACAATGCGACGTCAGACACGGCAAAAGCTGCCATTCGCCAGATTCCATGCCTGGACACTCACAGATTTGGCCAGGAAGCGAGGACTCAGCGTCTCCGGGAATTACACTGCACAATATGGTAACCCGTTTCTGAGCACGATGGCAACAACCGCCCAATCAGGAATCGTCGTCGCGCTTCGGATCTCAAGAGGACAATTCCCTGGCAACGTCAGCAGACAATCACCAGAGCAATTCTTGTGGGAAAATAAATATTTTACTCATTTCTCTCCCAAATTCATCAATGAGTGGTGAGAAGAAACATAAAGCTGCTTTGCAGAAAATTATAGGCATTGTTTATTGAAAATTCTGGCTTCTTCTCATGAGAAATTCAGTGGAATTGTTGGAAATGTCCCACGAAGTTCCGTACATTTTCTTCAGACATTTGAAACAGTGCAGTTTTGCTTTTGAGGTTACTTCATGTGTTCTTGTTTACCTCGAGAAATTGTGAAAATCCTCGGAAAATATGGAACTATTCGACGTAAAAAGGTGAGAAAGTGAAAGCAGTGATGAAGGATGATCAATTGACACTGGAATTTATATTTTAAGATATGCTCCTGGCCAGAAACAAGCGGATCCGGGGAGGGAAAACAGGCTTCTTGAGAAACTCCAAGGAATCATTGCAGAGAAGAAGAAAATCCTCGAGGAGAAGCAAGAGAAGCACAAGGAACCAAGTGTGGAGAAGGATCAGCCGGCTGAGCATGAAATTGAAGAGTCCGAAGAGGAGGAAACTGTTATTCAAACTCCCGGCGAAACCTTCAAAATCCTCGGCGATGAGCAATTTGCGGAGAAAGAGAAGGTCAAGCGGACTCTGCCTTCCTGGCTCTCTCATCCTGTCGTGATCTCCAATGATCTGACTCAGAAGACAGAGAGAATCGATGACATGCCATTCTTGAGCCCTGAAATGAGGGAGAATCTGAAGAAAATGGGAATTGAGACACTCTTTCCGGTGCAGAAGCAAGTAATTCCCTGGATTCTCGATGCTCACGCCAATCCTCCACCCTTCAGGCCACGAGACATCTGTGTTTCCGCCCCGACGGGCAGTGGAAAGACAATCGCCTTCGCCTTGCCCATCATTCAGCTCCTGATGCAGCGGACAACCCAGAAAATCAGGGCTCTGGTGGTGCTTCCTGTGCGTGAATTGGCCGCCCAGGTGTTCACGGTGTTCAAGAACCTCTCGAAGGGTACAAATCTCAATTGTCTGCTCTTCTCGCCGAACAGATCCTTTGCCGAGGAGCAAAAGTACCTCGTGAAGGAAGTGAACGGGAAGATGCACTCCAGAGTGGACATCATTGTCACCACGGCTGGTCGCTTGGTGGAACATCTCTGTGGCACTCCGGGATTCTGCCTGAAGGACCTCAAGTTCCTGGTGATCGACGAAGCGGACAGAATTATGGAGCAAATCCAGAATGATTGGCTTTATCATCTCGAGAATCACCTTCAGAAGGATGTTCAGCACTTTCCGGGCAGAAACATTCCAGTCTCTCTCATGACACTCAAGGGGGAATTGGCCAAGCAGCCTCACAAGCTTCTCTTCTCCGCCACTCTGTCTTCGGATCCCGAGAAGTTGGAGAATATGAAGCTCTTCCTGCCCAAACTATTCACATCCGTGGCCACGGAGTTCAAATACACGGAAGGGAATCAGGAAGCCAGCAAAGAGCTCGTTGGGAAGTTCACCACACCAGCAGAATTGACGGAGAAGATCTGCGAGACGGAAATGGAGAAGAAACCATTGACACTCTTCAAGCTAATCACAGAGAATTCGTGGCGAAGATTTCTCTGCTTCACCAACAACAACATCGCAGCCAATCGCTTGACTTTTGTCCTGCAGAAGATGCTCGGAGATGGTCTGGTGGTTAAGGATTTGTCGGCTAATCTGAAAAAGAACGCTCGAATGGCGATTTTGAGCAAGTTTGCTGCCGGGAAAGTGCACGGATTGGTGAGTTCTGATGCTCTGGCGAGAGGAATTGATTTGCCAAATGTTGACGTCGTGGTGTCTTACGACTGCCCGCGTCACATCAGAACCTACATTCATCGCATTGGCCGAACAGCACGCGCAGGACGTCCAGGAACTGCTGTGACTCTAATCAGTCAAGAGGATCGAGAGATGTTCAAGAAAATTCTCACCACAGCAGGGAAGTCTCCTCTGCAGGACATCAAAGTGTCTTCAGAGAGTCACGAAGAGAAGTTCTCTTCAGTCCTCGTGGAGCTGAACAAGTATCTGAAGGATGAGAAGAAGAGAATGTCCGTGAGAACTCAGAAGGATGAAAACACAATGAAAAAACCAGCTTTGAAGAGGAAAAAAGTCGATCCTGAACCCGGAAAGCTGAAGAGGAAGAAGAAGAGACTGCCTGGCAAGGAGATCAGAGCAAAGAAAGCTAAAATAAATTAATTATTTGCATAAAAAAGCGTAATTATTCTTGAAGTCTCCAAAAAGTCGATGAATTTTCAAATGTTGCGCTCAGTTAACGGCTCAGAAATTTGATTGGATAAAATTTTGAAAAATTGCGCTCTTCTAACGATTTCCGCTGGTTTTCTCTGGAGCAAAGAAAACCTTATTAAATGTCGTCATTGCTGGTTTTCGCCGTATTTTATGTACACTTATCGTGCGAATGTCATGGCAAAACACTATGTTGTCTCGTAATTGATTTGTTTGAGCCGGCGTGCGGACAGAAAACCACAAGAATTATATATTTGTCGCCCTGACTAATTCTGATCATGCTGGAAAAACAGTCCTAAACAGATTCATTAAATTTCGTGGCGGATAAGCGAAATGTGTAATGCGTGAAAATACGTCTGGAGTGCGAAGAGAGCCAGGAAATTCCCCATTCATCTTCTTGCTGGTGTGACTCAAAATTCGGTTATTAACATATCGGTTAATGTGGCTTATTTGGGGTTTCTCCCCGCGCCGTTGAGGGTTCGAGAAGGGAAAGTTTGTGAGAAGAACAGGTAAATGTTGACTTGGGGAGAGTCCTTTCGGTGGGCAAATTGTGATTTCAAGGAAGTTTACTTGCGATCTCACGCTTCATTTGGAGTCTGTCTCTTCCCCACTCCGTGGAGTCTCTCCGCAAAGTGGCTGGTTTTTTAGAAGGCTCTCAAAGCGACTGAGTGTTTGGCTTCTCCAGTCTCTCGGCTGCCCTCAACGGTGGAGCGTATAAAAGAGACTAGCAGTGCCGGCCAAAGAGTTAGTCTGGGTGTAATTGCTGTGCAGTGAAGTGAGAGTGTGAATCTGCCATTTGTGCTGTGAAAAATGCATCGAAGAATGAAATTGTCTCAGCCAGTATTAATTGGAATCCTACTAATATTGGAATGTGCAGTTCTTTCGTAAGTCATCAAGTTTTTTTTCACCTTGTGGCGCAAATGAGCCTAACAAAAAACGCTTAAATCACGTGCCATTCAGTCTTTCTGTGCCATTGAATGATTTTTGCCTCCCATCGCTGGTGTTTCGACAAACTCTCAGGCATTAATTCACGACGATGGAGCTTCGGAGAGAAACTTCGGTTGGCATTCACCTAGAAAATACAATTCAAGTTGTCAGCGCAGAGCTTTAGCTGATAACATTTACACTATTTGATCAAATTGTGTGACCTCTTAATCACTTTTATTGTCCGATAACGAGCGTCTTTAGTCTGAAATTTATATACCTGGTATTTGTTTATCTCACTTGCTTGAACATCTGCAGCGCAGCTCTGCAAAGCCCTCAATCCACGGGGAATTCAGCATTGAACTGAAAAAATTTGAAATGAATTGCGAATGAGCAATTGAATTGGCTGAAGCTCAATTTCATTACTGCTGCCCAGCAATTAACAATGATTTTGTATGCGGCGAAACGGGTTTATCTGGAAGCCTTTTCTCTTATCTCTGTGGGAAAATCCTCAACCACTTGACTCCGTATGCAAATACTGGACAAGTAAAGATTGTCTGCATTTGTCACTCTAGCTGATTATACAATTTTATGAAAGGGGGGAAAAACAATAAATATTGTAGCTTTTGAAAACTCGTGCAAAATGTTAGCAATAAAGACGTCAAGGCGGAATTTTTCGTATAGTTTCACGTTCTGTCAATTATATCAAGCATTATGTGTTATAGATGATTTATGGCGTTGAATAATTGGCTGTCCGGTGAGCCATTGAGGGAAAGGAAGAGAGCATCAGCAGTGAATCCGCATTCTCAGATTCTTTGTTGCATTCTTGCCATTGTAGATCACACGCTGAAAATGCACACAGGCGATTCCCGCCGGACTTTGTCTGGGGCGTGGGCAGCTCATCTTATCAGATCGAGGGTGGCTGGAATGAGGATGGCAAGGGTGAATCCATCTGGGATCACTTGACGCACAATCACCCGGAGAAGATCGTGGACAAGAGCAACGGCGACGTCACGTCGGACAGCTATCATCAGGTATATTTATTAGAAAATTGTGTACTCCTTGAACCACTTTTTATCATTGCCCAGTAAGAAATCTCGAGAATCCGCTATGAAGATCACTTTCTTTACCTTCCAAACTGATCACTGAAAATTCCACCAAATTGAGGGTTTCAGCCACTAACAATAGATGATTGCCAGTTAATAAAAATTCCAAAGTTCATATAAACACGATTCGATAATTAAAAGCGCAAAAGTGAATAAAGATCGTGAGCTTGATCGCGAAGATGAAAAAAAAGTCTCTGGGTGAGTTTTGTCTCTCACAGGCGATAACAGATTTATCACCGACTCTTCAAGTGCTAATTAAGATTACACCAACAACAAGAAATATCTCAATCGAGAAGGATGATAATGTGATTACTTTCGCTTAAATTGATGGTTTTATCCAAAACACACAACACGCCAAAATTGATTGTCTTTTTTCCGCTTTTTATCAATTCGGCACAAGTTTGGAATGCATAATCAATTGGTTTTCCCATTGTTCTTGCGGAAAAATGCCTGTATGAGAATCGGCTGTGAAATCTGCCAGAATATAATTAAGAATAAACACTCAATTCTTCACTCACAGTGGCAAAGAGATGTGCAGATGGTGAGGGAATTGGGCGCCCACGTGTACAGATTCTCCCTCTCCTGGTCGCGGATTCTTCCCACGGGCATCGTCAACATCGTCAATAAGGCCGGCATTCGCTACTACAGCAATCTCATCGACGAGCTGCAGCGCTTCAACATCACGCCCATGGTCACGATCTACCACTGGGACCTGCCGCAGAGGCTGCAGGAGATGGGCGGCTGGACGAATCCCGAGATGATCAACTACTTCCTCGACTACGCCAGGGTTGTGTTCGAGCAGCTGGGCGATCGCGTGAAAGTGAGTAAAACCTCGACCTTTCTTCACATTCCATCCTTCAATCACCAGATTTCCCCGTTGTTCTTTCTTCTGTAAATTGAATTTTTACGCCCTCAAACGAAATCATGACTAGGATAATCCTTGCGAAACTCAGTCTAAAACCGCCAAGGGGGAGATATTATGATGGGAAGTAGTGTACAACTTCACGGAAGTGTTAAGAACTGAAAGTGATAAAATATTTCTGTTGCAAAAGCTTCTGTTTCAACAAATTGAGGCATTTACTAAATTATTTGGCTTAGAAAAATCAATTTTATTGCTTTTTCTAGGTTATGTGATTGATTTAAAACAGTTTCTGGTGTTCAAATAACCATGAAAATCATCAAAATTGTGTTTAAACTGGGAATGTTTCTCTTTTTAGCATTGTTGAGCATTTTTTTTCCAAATACTTCAAATTAGTTAAATTTCGGAAGTAAAAAACAGCTTTAAAGTCAAATATAACCTCAAAAAAAGCATTTTAGCTGTTGCTTGTACTTTGTTATTTAGTAAAAACATTGTGATATTCCCTCAATTTACTCTTTTCCGGGTTTGAAAGGATTAAAATGAGTCCAAGATGGTTTTAAAGCTGATTTTCATAACCTCACAATTTGATCAGAATTTTTCTAGGCATTTTCCGAGAACAAAACTAGGAAATCAAGACAGAAATCGTTCATGAACAAATTGTTAGAAATTTTAGATTAGTTCTAACAATTTGAAGTCTAAACATTTGAAGAACCTGAACCTCTTGAGACTGAATAATCTGGATTAAATTGTGATAAGTGCGAAATTAGTGTACAAATTTAAGGCATATTATCTTCCCCTTGAAAATCGCTTGATCGTCTCTTCTTGAGTCAGAAAGACAGAATCTGGCCTGAGATTCCTCTCAACTCTGAAGAAATTTTAATGTTTTTCAATGCCTGCAATCTTGCTTTCGCCTGAGGCGAAAAATGATCTTCTGACCTCAGACATTTAAAATCCCACCTCAGATTTTTGGGTCTTTAAATTTCACTCTCGTTTTCTTGTGCAGATCTGGACGACGTTCAATGAACCGTGGCATGTTTGCGAGCAGGCTTATGGCCAGGACTACATGGCGCCGTCGTATGACTTCCCGGGGATTCCCAACTATCTCTGTGGCCACAATTTGCTGAAGGCACACGCGGAAGCTGTGCATCTGTACCGGAATCGCTTCCAGCCGACTCAGAACGGAAAGATCGGCATGACTGTGGACACGTCGTGGCAGGAGCCGAAGACGGACAGCGATGAGGACAAGGAGGCCTCTGAGATGGCGATGCAGTTCTACATCGGCTGGTTCTGCCATCCCGTCTTCTCCACTGCCGGAAACTATCCGCAAGTGATGATTGACAGAATTGAGGCGCTGAGCAAGCAACAAGGCTTCCCGCGCTCTAGGCTGCCCAAGTTCACGCCCGAGGAGGTGGAGAGGATCAAGGGCACGTCGGACTTCTTCGGCATCAACACGTACACGACGATGCTGGTGACGAGGAACGACAGGAACAACAGCGTGGGTCATCGCGTGCCGTCCTTCCAGCACGACATGAACACGGTGGAGACCAGCGATCCCGTGTGGCCCAGAGGCGCCTCCGTCTGGCTCCACGTGAGTATTCTCACAGCTTCTTAATTGGTGCGGTGTGCGCGAGAGTTAATTCAGTGTCAAGCGGCACACCGGATGTATTTATTGGTGAAACATCATCTTATGCAAACATTCCCACTGATCGCTGAAGGTGTTGCACAAAATGAATTAAAGATCAGCAAACAGATCAAGCGAGAAGACTTTGAGGAAAAATGTCTCAATCCCGACGCACTCTAGACAACCACATTTCCCATTGACCCTCAATTTAAGCCGCCAGTCTTGCGTAATAAATAATATTCTCTTACGCCATAAAATATCCATTATAATTAGATGCAAATAATAGTTTCGACAGTGTTTTTTCCCTCGTGCGAAAAATATATGATCAATTAGTTGAAAGTTAATCACAGATAATTGATAAAGTGGATCAGCTTGTCCGCACGAGAAGTTTATGGGGAATGCTTTACAAGATCACAAACTAAAAGCGAGTTGCTAAGCGCAAATCAGTTGAGGAAGTGAGAAATGAGATCTTGTCAAGAAGTACTTCTTCCTCTTCCACGGGAATGACAAATAAATGTAATGTGTAATTTGGCGCATAAACTTGACTCGTGAGGTGCTAAAAATCCTCCAGAGAGTGTTGAAGGCAGACACCAAAACCTGTTCGCGATGTCCAATCGCGTGTGAATCACTTATTGCGGTGCAGAAGTAATTTAAAAGTGATGGAGCGACATATATTTTTTTTTAATCTTATTTGAAAGCAAACTTACTCAGAGATTTTTCCCGATTTGCAAGAAAGAAGATCACCTTATTGTTCCTGATGATTGTTGTTCTGAATGCAAAATGCGCATTTAGAGTATTTTCTCTCTTTTTTATTATTATTCGAATTGTAATGCGTTCACTTTGCAATTGACTCACATTCACTGGATTTCCTCGTTGCTCTTGAAAGTGATTGAAACTCGAGATTTAGGGAGAAATGTAAATTAAATCTAACCTGAATTTCTAATTAGAATCCTTCTAGCTCAAAATTTGAGGTTATGTTTGCTTTGAACCTTCATTAGCTTTCAGAATCACGATTTTTATTGAGTATAAATACACATTTTACACACAAAATCTATTTTAAACACTTTTATCGTCCTTAACAATTGACATAACCTAGAAAATAGCTGACAAAATCATGAACTGGATAAGAATTTATTCACAAATTGTTTGAAAACGTTTAGCTTCCAATATTAAACGAATTTTGTTGAAATATTTTCAATTTAGACGCAAAAATTTCTACATAACCTAGAAAAACATGTAAAAATAATGACTTAGAATTTAAATCAATTTTTGAATATAAAATAATCAACAGAAATTCAAAGCTTTGAACCAAATATAGCATAAATTGCAACACTTTAACTTCCTTAAACTTCTTCTGATCTGTACACCACTTCTGACCACATTATCTCCCCCTTGCTTTAAAGCTCTCAGAAAGTTTAATTGAGACAATTTTGAATCTGACTGTATATTGAAGTCAATTCATTGAATTTAAATTTCTATCAGTGTTTGTGCGCAGCGGAAATTAATAGACTTTCGCCATATAATGAATTTATAAGCTAGTTTAGTTAAATCCACAGGCAAAAACTCCGTGAGAATAGCATGTTTGTCCACAATTGACCTGATAGTGCGGCAAACTTGGCGCCAAATGACTTTATTGAGCCACTAAACTGTCCTCTTCTGCAGGTCGTGCCCTTTGGGATGTACAAATTGCTGAACTGGATCCGGAAGGAGTACGACAATCCGCCGGTTTACGTGACTGAGAATGGCTACTCGGATTACGGCGGAACCAGCGATATTGGCCGCGTGAATTACTACAATTCCTACCTGGAGTCCGTGCTGGACGCCATCGAGGACGGCTGCAACGTGAAGGGCTACATTGCGTGGAGTCTCATGGACAGCTACGAGTGGAAGGCTGGCTTCACGTGAGTTCATCTCCAGTTAAATCACATTATGGATGTAATTTGGCTGTTTTTGGTGTGTTTCAGGGAGAAATTCGGCCTCTTCCACGTCGACTTCAAGCATCCCAACAGGACGAGAGTGGCGAAGATGTCAGCCAAAGTGTATTCTAAGATAATCCGCACCAACAAAGTTGATTGGGATTATCATCCAGAGCCAGAAGTATTCATCCCATCGAGTGCCAGGAAGTGTTGCCAAGTGTTTTCCGCCCTCATCACCGCCGCTATTGCCCTCATTTGGCGAATGTAACAAATCGGTATTGCACTTTTTGTGATAGTTTGACAATATAATAAAATTTGTGAATTAATTTTTTAATCAACAGCAGTTATGCTTTGAATTGCCGCCCCTATTCGCCCGAGTGTATGCAATGTGCAGTGCATGCCTATTGGCGCAGCCATATTGCTCTCTTTCGCGCGCACTGCTGGGCCGGCGTCTCTTTCCACTGCCCAGTGCGGCCCTGGCGAGGGCTATCCGTGACGTTTTTGGCTTCAGTTGTTGTTCGAAAGCTGGAGTGGTTGCATCGTTTTGTCGGATGCTGTGAGGCAGAAGTCTTGTTTTTGCCGTGAAAAGGGACAAAAGGTCCCTGCAAGGATACTTTTGAGTGGATTATTCCATGCTGTGTCGATTTGGTGTGTGTGTGTGAATTCCCTTTTCTCAGAGGATTTATTGTGTGTTTAGCAGAAGAAGCGCGCATTTGCCTGAGCAACTAAGGTTTGTACCGCTCTTTTTTCTCACCATCAAACCCAAAGCGCGCTTCTGCAGGACGGCTTCAGTGGCCAAAGAAGTCCGCACAGAACCTGCGAGAAGGGTGAAAGTCGCACGGAGAAAAGATCGGTGGGAAAAAATTGTGCGCCATTCCCTTTGCCGCCTTTCCGCCCCGATCCGGGCGGCTCTGCGCCCCCCAAAATCGCCAACTGTGACCATGAGACACCGCGTAACATGAGCTGTGCGTGTAAAATTACACGTTTAGGGCGGAAAATGGCTTGAAAAGAGGGATGAAAGGTGGAGAGGTGAAAAAACGCCGCAAAAATCGATAATCGGGGTGTAATTGCTACACTGGCGATCCTGGCGGCACGCCGGGGAAGTGCGCGCGGGTTTTCCGCCTCCTAAAAATCCCCCCTGAATTTTTCCGACCGAGAGAGTGACGCCATCACAGGCACCCTTGCGGTGAGTAGCCGGAGCTGCGGAACAACCCCTACGAGCACAGGGTGGTTCACCGCGCGCCCGTGTGTGCCGTGTGGGGTGGGGATTTGCCGCCAAAAACGACAAGGGCGATGACTGTGTAATCCAGAGTCAAATGTGAAAAATCGCTGAGATGAATTTATTAGCTATATTCCGGGACATGGTTAAAAATTGTCGACACACGTTTTCCTCCCTTCCACCCCAAGTTTGTTACCCTCGCGCGGGCTGTTTTGCCATCCCTTTCGCTCTGCTCTGGGGTGCACGAAGGTCAGGGAGGAACAGTACTTGTCCTGCTTCTCTCTTTAAATACGAGCAATTGTGTGTTTGTGTGTGTTTTTTTCCCGTCCTTTGTCCTGACACAACTCTCGCTAACACACTGCCTGAGTGAAGATTAGAGGCAATAAACCTCTTCCCTTGCGCGCTCGAACATGGACAGAGAGAGAGAGAGAAAGGAAGAGGGCGACAAAGGCCACAACAAAAGGCATTTTATTTATTATCACTCTGATTTCCCTCATCGGAGCCCGTCTCCATCGTCAGCCGTCGCCGAGGGAATAAAATAGGGGTTCCCAATTGATATTTCGTCATTATCGCGGTGCAGAGTGTTTTATTTTTGAATTTTATCCTCATTCTCGGGATTCCTGTTTCTCAGGAAATTCCACGTCAGTGGAAAAGACTACGAGGAATGTTGAAATTCCTGCTAAAGACACCTTCACTCTTCACCTTTCGCCCTCGTGCCGTGGAGATATTGTGGTGTGTATTCTTGGGAGAGATGAAGGCAAGTGCTTCTCAAACTATATATTGACTTTCTAATGTCAGGAGTCGGAGTGAAATATTGTATCGTGTTTCTGAGATGTGGGAATAATTTCATTGTGATTTTAACACTAAATCTTGCATTTTTCACGTTAATTCTGCAATGTGTCACTTTCAAAGGGGCGGAGCTCACGAGTGGGCGTGGCTTCAAGGTGTACTAAATCATATTTTTTTGACAAACTCCATTTATTACTGCTGAAACAGCACAAGACTTCTCAAATACACGCTTTCTTATCCCATAATCATTCTCCAGAGTCTCCACTGCACTCAGGATGCACAATTTTCCCCTTGAATTATTAGACATTGACTGCGATATTTCAACATTTTATGCCCCACAATCGTTTGAGGGCCTTTATGGGCAGTTAAATAAATTCACTCTCGTATCTCTTGAATCGGGACGTTACTATTCATAAATATCTCTCACTCTTTTTCGAGAGTTCTGCATGACTGTTGAGGGTGCTTTCTCAGCTCTTTTGTGCTTCTCGCTCTCCAGCAAATCACATTTGGAGAACAGCTCAACGCTGACCGACAATGCGGAATTCGTGATGGACCCAGATATGAGGCACCATCAGCTTGGATGTATCGATTTCCCGAGTGCAGAGTGGATTTCTCTGTGAGTCACGAGGTGAAATGAGGACTTCCCTCTATGCCTTTGCGCTCTGGCGCACAGAAAATTTGAAAATAATCACCCAAAATGTACTGGTGAACACCACAAGAGTTGAGAGTCGCCTTCTTGTGGCCGTTGGAGGAGCAAAAAATCGTAAAATGAGACACAAACAAGGCATTGAGGTTTCAATTTTCACCGAATATTCTTGGAGAAACAATAAAAATTTGAAGAAGATGTGCTAGTTTTCACTCACTCTCTTTGTTGAGACAGTTCTTCATGGGTTTAGAATGGAAAATTGACTCTCTGTACAAGCATTTCATGAAACAATGTTCAACAGTGTGGCGAAGAGATGGTATTTTAGTCTAAAAACTCAACATTGGAACACTACAAGTGGATAAGAAATTGTTGAGAATATCTCAATGCTGTGTGTGAAGTGGTGGAAATCTAATAGCAAGAATGCACTTCGAAAGGCACAATGGATCAACAATTTCATCTCTCTCTCTTTCTGGCCATTGTGATGGAACATGATTGAGGAATTTCTTTCCCACCGATCGTTCTTGCTGAGTAACAAATGATCTTGACAAATTTGTAATTAAGATCTTCCACCCTTTCGGATTCTCCACGCCACAAGGGCGCCTCATCTTCGCAAATAGTGCTCGCGATCGTGGTAGACAAAAGCTAAAAGTCTAGGGATGAACGGACTGTGGCGAGAAGATTGATCGATCGCTGCTTGGGTCTTTATTGATGGCTTGAGAATGGCACGGGCGCGAGCGAGAGGGAAGAAGAGACGTGGAGCAAAAACATAAATTAAATTCTCGTTCGTGGAAAAGGGTCAAGAAACTGGACAACACATACAATTTCCTCTTTCTTGGTACTTTGATTCCCTGAAATACACACCTTACAAGATCATCTGTGGCGCAATCGCCATCAATTGAGAGCATCCAAGAGTGGTGAATATGGTTGGAAAAAATAGTGAAGAATCTGGACACGAAGGTCTTTCTTAATCATGATCATTCACATCTTTTTTCCTTCCCCTCCTCCCCATTCGATTGCCTGGAGTCCCCATCATCGCCAATCCACCTTGATTGCCGTCGTTTCATCCGCGCGCACAAGAGCACAACAAAAGAGTGGAGAAGAAGTGGAGAGATTATTGTGTGGTGGGTCTCTTCCAATTTGATTGATGTAAGATTATAGCGCTGTGTGACGGCAGTATTAATTTTGCACCTGGAGTGAAGTGAAATTAAAAGCCCTTTTTCCTCATTATAACACTAAATTAACATGTCACACGAATCATCCCAAAAGATGCTCTTCTAAACAGTTCACAACTGAATCAACACATTTCTCCGCCTCATCATCTCACGATGCTTTACGCGCATTTTTCCCGCGGAAAGTCCCCAATTCCGAGGGAGAAAATCTTTAGAACAACACACAAATAGATCATCCAGTAAATCATGCTGGAAAACCCACACGGAATTGTTTCTCAGTGAGAGAAGGAAAGCCACAGATTGCAAGAGGCCCAGATGAATGTGGCACACATATTGATTACACTGATCTATATCAGTAAGGCATTCATGTAAAAGCTAAACAAAGCTATGATAAATGTTTTGATAAAATAACTGCCATGTATTTGGTATTAATTAGCCATATAACGAGTCGTTGCAGCTTTACAGATTGCGTATTTCAATTCGTAAAAGCTACGAATTTTGACAGTAACCTTACGCTTTTCACAGCTTATTATGGCGGCCGCCCGGCGGCGCTAGTATAAAGTATGAGTAAAATACAAACGAGAAAGCGTTGCAAGATTCAGTGGAGAGTTTATTTAATATGAATTTCAGCTGTCAAACGCTTAGAATCACTTCAACAGGATTAAATAGTAAATCCCAGTAATATCTCTGACATTGGGGCTGTTTAAGACGCGACATGTGGCCAATTTTGTCCGGTAAAATGTCTTCGCTGGGACATAAATCCAATAAATTTGTACCAAATAATCTGAAAACGTCATTATTGTCAATTTTCTTGATTTTCATGTGTATTTTTCAGCTTTGTAAATGTAATGAATTTGCAATGCATTTTTACGATTTCATACTTTTGACATCTTATATAAAATGTAATGAATGTAAAGTTGCAACGACCTCTTATTTACATTAATCAAGAATTTATGGCTCAATTCTGATCTTTCAGTTCGATATCCAGTGTTTAGGCATTTGGAGAAAGCCAAGAAACAGATCTTCTTCCCCCTTATGAAAGCGAATTGACTCTAAAATAGATAAAGAATCCTGAGAATGTTCCATCTGGAGACGAGGAGGAAAGTTCAGTGTGAAGATCACGAAAGATCAGACCGCAAAGGCGAGAAAATTAACACGCAGTGCAACGCCTATTTATAGATCTTAAATTACCTGATAACTAATCATGCATTCACCCAAAGTCAGATGACAAATGTCAGAGATGATAGAGACCGTCGTGATCTCTGGAGGAGAAGAGAATTTCCCGCAGTAGTGGCCCAAACAAAAAGATTACACACTTGATGATGCCCGCATTTTCACTTTCACAATGTCTCCAGCATTTCTTCTTCTCTCTCTCTCTCTGGCCCTTTTGTGCTCAGCGCACAACTGTGATTTCTTCGGCAATTTATCACAATTAATGCAATTAGAGATGAGCCTCCCCCTCCGAACTCTGGCGAACCCCAAGAATGGTTCATACAAATCACAGACGACCGGAGAAATGACTCAGATAACACCCAGAGAATCCCATTGAGTCGATGTTTATTTAATTGCTGTGTGGATGCGCGAGTGGGAAAGAAAGGGCATCAGGAGCAATGTGGCATATGAATTCAAGTGATCGCGCGCATTCCATTTGCCACACTTGAAAATGATGATCTCGCACCATTCCTTCGGCCGAGATTTTGTCGGATTTGCCTCACCAAGATCAGCATTGTGGTGGCGCGAGAGAGATCATGATCAATAATTGAGTTTATTTACTCTATTGCGCTCTGGTGCACTCAATTTATGCTACTTATGAGAGATATTGCTGTGGGAGATCTTGTTGCTCTTGGATGGGGCCAAAGATCATCCAGAATCCTTCTCCAGCATCTCTTCACTGTCATTGCCAATTAATAAGTGCTAATTTTAGAGGGCGATTGTGGGAACATTCTTTCACAATTCATGCTTCCTCGCAAGAGACAATGACGAATGTCTCACAAGGGAAAAATGATTGGCTCGTGACAATAACTAAATAAAATGCCCTTTTTTCTCACCTGTTCAAACAAAATAGGGAAAAAATGCCCGAATTCCTCAACATTTCATGCAATCTGAAAGCATTTGCATTTAATCAAAACCCCCCTGAGGCGATCTAGTTTCTAATTAAGAATATAATCCACGTGAAGGAAGGCTTATAAAATTTTATGACTCTCCAATGTTCTCGTAAATTAAAAACACACACACTTTCTTTGGACACTCTCTTGTGTGTGGCTTTGATCTTGTTTTTACTTCTTAAACGATCTTTTCCCTCTCTTTCCCGTTCACCTTTATTATATGATGGTTCATTCACAATGATGATGAGAGAGGGAAGAAAAAAAAAGGCGTCCAATGTAAATTATATTAAAGTCGAAGACTTTAATTTCTACTTCATTCTCGTGAAACGGACCATATAAGTGGAAATATAAGGCGAGATGCTGTGGAAAGGCGAGAAAGAAGTGCCAAAGGGAAGAGAATTCAACACTGATCATTGAATAAAACTCCAATATCAAAGAATATCTACAATGGCACTCTTATTCACAGTTTCCTCACCAACACACAAATGCGAAAAGCGAAGCATTTCTGCGCCCCAAGAAAACATGAGTGAGAGAAGCGCACTTCTCCTTCTTCCCAGTCAAACACTGCACAAAGGCACAATTTTTTTTTATGTTTGAAAGAGAATTGCAAAGCGACGAAGAGGCAGAAAAAGAGGAGGAAAATTGTAAAATAGCGGCTGCTCGAGAGCCAACTCGTCTTATTTCTTTCACATTATCCCGTATACTACAAGAAAAATACAGCTGGATTCCCTCCTTCGCATGCTCTCAATTTTCTGCACAAATATTCTCTGGCTCTCTTTCGCCACTCGTGATCTCCGCGAAATCATGCCCCAACTGCCGCGGATACCCTCAAGCGCACGCCGCACAGTTTAGAGAATCTCTCTCCTTCTTCCAACAAATCTTTCACTCCCGCCTTGATGAGAATTTCTTTCCACTGCATGCTCGTTAAATATAGCCGATAAAAAAGTCACCACGATCAACGGTGGATGTATTTATCTATCGCCGACGCCTGGTTTTGAAATTTTGTCGCCTTTTCCGTGAGGGTCGCGTTGGAAATTTATGGCACTCACCGATCTCATGATGCTACCAATTCCCATTTCTCATTGCCAGCCAGGCAATGAGACAAGTTCCTCAAAACTGTTCCCTGATCGTGCGAGAAGTGATCTTAATCATTCCAGAATTCTCATTTTGTCGCGGCGAAGGTTAAAAAGACTCCCATTAAAGCGCCCAATAGTAACACAGTGACTGACAGAGGAATGGTATCAAGTTGTGTTCACACCAAGGGGGAGAAGATAATATGTCTTGAATCTGTACAACACTTCCTGACACTTCACACACTTCTGAACGCCCATAAAGATGCATTTTCCATCGTTTTTTAGACTCCTTCAACTGATTTCTGATTTATCACAAAGCTAATCTAAGCTAAGCTTCAAATGCTTAGTTTTCAGACTGTAAAAAATGATTTTAATGTCCTAGAATTTGTTCATGAACAATTTCTATCTTGATTTTCTAGTTTAGTCTTCAGAAAATGCTTTAAAAAAAATTCAGAATAAATTGTAAGGTTATGAATTTTTTCTTAAAAAATACTTCAAGTCTGGAAATGAGTCATTATGGCGAATATTACAATGTTTCCACTAAAAATGAGACTAAATTTGTCATTTTAAAGCACAAAATTGCAAAAATAACTAAACAAAGAGAATTCTCTTTGACATTTTTGAGGTTATGATTGACTTTTAAGCTGTTTTCTAACTAATCTGGAGTTTTTGCGAACGCAAATGCTCAATTCTACTAAAAAAGACAAAAATTCTCAGCTGAAACACAAATTAGATGATTTTGAGGGTTATTTTATTATCTGAATCTGGTTTAAATCAATAACATAACCTAAAAAAGCGATTTATTTGATTTTTCTAAGCAAAATAATGAAGAAAATGCCTCAATTTGTTGAAAATGAAGCTTTTGCAATGCATATATTCTAAATATTTTATCATTTTCAGTTCATAACACTTCCTTTCAAGCTGTACACCACTTCTGACCATAATATCTACCCTTTGGTTCACACACGAAGTAAATCTCTTCGATTAAACTTCACAAGCAATTCCTGGAAAAAATTTCAGTGGCTTTTCAGTGCGGAAAATATTCTCACGAGCCTGTGAAATCATTCAGATTGGATTTGAAAATGCTGTTGACACAAATTCTATGCGAATTACATAACTTACATTCAATTCTCAGGCACACAATGGGCAATTGTAGGAAGTTCAAGTGATTTGCTGTAACATTATGTTGTCGACTGGTTTTTGTGGAAATGATTGGGATATTGAGTTTTGAGGCATCAGAATCTTGGCAAAAGTCAACTTTTCTCAGTTCACTTGTGCGTGTTGTTCTTCGGGGAGGTAGAATTGAAGAAAATTCTGACTGATTGCCTTCTTTTTTCTGCCCTCTCGCAATCATGAATGTGTGTATTTGTGCGCGCCATAGTCGAAATAATTGCGTGTTACGCCTTCTGAACACGTGAAGAGAGAGAGAGAGCGAGATCCCTTTAGTTGATATTCCTCTCTTGGTCACATAATTTCCATATTAAAGTGTTCTCTCCACGGTAGTCCGATGGAGGCGCAAAAAAAGCGAGCTGTTACTGTAAAACGAGAACGATATTGGTTGGGTTTTTTCTCTCTCTGTATTTGATGGGTGGTGAAAAAAAAAGAGCTGACGGGGTTTTGCTGGATGAGGAGGCGAGAAGGCACGATTGAGAGGCAACAATGGGCTTCCAGAGGGAGATTAAAAGTTATTCAGGAAATGCCGTGTGTTTATTGTATATCGAGCGTTTCTTTATCTGCTGAAATGGCAACTGATTTAGAGGCAAAATTGGACGTTTAACCCAGCGAGAGAGAAGAGTTGTTGGCGTGATTGATCTCTAAAGTGTGCCTCAATTTATCATCTTTCAGGTGCCATCGCTGGTGTCAGGTGATTAATTTGCGTGCACGTGATTGCGTCTGAGGACAGAGCGGTCATGGGTGAGACGGAGGAGAAGGAGAATGGGCCGAATGAGGCGCAGGAGGGTGAGGAGCCCAAGGAGACTGACAAGATGCTCAACAAGGATGATGCTGGCGCCAAGAAGAGTGACGATGCGCCCACTGAGACGGCCACGGAGTCCGCGGAGACGGCGGTGAATTCGCCGGAGAATGGCGAGGAGATTGTGAAGGTGGCGGAGGAGCCAAAGACAGAGCCGGCGAAGGAGGAGACGCCCGTGACGGCGGAGGGGCGAGAGGTGAAGCCGAAGAAGATCCCAATTGGGGGCATCAAGATGCCGGGCTTCTTCATGCGCGCCAAGACGGCGGCCGGCAAGGAGGGCGATGGGGCGGATGGTGAGCTGCTGGAGACGAAGGAGAAGGACAAACCCACCGAGGACAACATAAACAATGAGAACAGGGCGAGAGGAGTGAATTTCTTCAACAATTTTCGCCTGCGGAATCCATTCAAGCGGCAAGCGGATCAGCAGAAACTGGCAACGGAGAACGGAAGTGCCGATCAGAAGGCAGAAGGTGAGTTGACAGCGGGAAGAGCTGAGACAGTCGGTGTCTAATGACTCGTGTGTTGTGTGTGTTTGCAGAGGAGAAGGTGACTGTGGAGGCGGAGGGCGCGAAGGAGGGCGCGGAGGAACCTGCCGAACAGTCTCAGAAGAGGCGACTACTGAATGCCATTAGATTGCCACAGATTAGCAACATTCTGCCGAAAAGGCTGCGATCGGGTGGAGCCAATGACGATGTGGAATTGGGCAATGGGCCACACAATAAGGCCGGCCTGGCGTCCATGGAGACCCTCGATGACTCGACAAAAGAGCCAGAGTCCAAAGACACCACAGATCGTGCCGCCGCCGTGAAGCCAGCAGAGGACGATCTCGAGACTGTTAAGTTAGATAGCAAAGATGTGAGTAATGATCTATTCACGCCTACCGTTGGAATTCCTCTGAAACCAAGTTTTCTTTTTTCTCGTCTTAGGAGAAAGCACAGGACAAGGCCGAGGAAGCCGGCGCCGCGGACAAACCCAAGCCATGGCTCGAGAGAATACGATCATATCAATGTTCACTTGGTGAGTTGTGCTTGGCATAAAATATATCTCAACTCTCTTATCACAAAAGCAAATTGAATGCAATTAAATATGAAAAGAAGACATCTCTTATTCAATTAATTCACACAATATAAAAAATTTTTTTGCCACAATCACACGCATCGCTTCGGATGATGAACACTATAAAGTTGCTAAAGGTTTGCCTTTATTGCTTCTTTTTTCTCTTTCCTCGTCTTGTATTGTGTGCTGTGTTCCCCCTTTTGTGTCACATCACTTTTCCTTTATTTCCCATTCAGAGGCAGAAGAGAGACACTGTGTCTCTCTGTTCACCACCTCTTCCTCCTTCCGATTGTCTGTGTGTTGCATGAGATTTTTGCTCAAAAAAAAAACAGGAGAGGAGACAATTTGTCTCCTTTTCGCCACATTAATTCTCAGTGATTCTCAAACACGAGCTTCAAAAGAGCGCTTTGTGCAGTGTTTGTATATTATAAATTGCTATTGTAATTGAATCAAGCGGTTATCCTTTGCCTCCACTGGTGGCGCGATATCGCATATTGCAAGCATTGGATCACAACAAAGGGGAGATATTAGGGTGAGAAGTGGTGTACAGCTCAGTGGAAGTATGTGGAAGTGGAAATGCTTGAGTATTTTCAATATAGTCCATTCAAAAGTCACTTTCAAGAGGAATTAACACAATAAATTGAGGTTATGTTATGAATTTAAGACAAACTTTGCCACTAAATAACCTTCAATGTCTTTAAATTATTCATTTTTGCGCCTAAGTTGGTTTAATTTCCATTTAATAGCAAAATAATAATGAAATCTTATGAAGATTTTATTATTAAGATTCATCATAACCTCTAAAATATTGTTTCTGGGATTTTAGGATACAAATTCGTCTATTTCAGAAGTTGTTTGACTGATTTTCTATTGTGAGATAACGAAATTCAGCTTATTTTCGATTATTTTTGGATTTAAAAGACTCAGAAAAAGCTTCTTTTAAGGATTCTGAATATATTTTTTTGATTATGTTCCAAAAAACACCCAAAAGAGTGATTGAATATTGAAATATTTCTTAAATACTGTTTCTCCGTAAGTTTTCAGAGTCACACAAGTAAAATGGCGTCTTTATAGATCAAAGATTCTTAAATTTGAGGTTATGATTCTTTAAGCAGTTGAAAAGGTTGGAAAAGTCTATACAGTTCCGAAAAGGGAGCAAAAAATAAGGAAAACGCATGTTTTAAGCACTGCTGAAGTTCTGGAAATGTCTGAGATTCTTAGGAAGTATGATGTATGTACACTATTTAGCCGAATTATCTTCCCCTTGGATCATAAATATCTCGCACTGGAGCTTCTTCTGCACACCCAGGAATGCTTAATTTATGGTGCTGTTATGATTAATCTAGATGCATTTAATCAGCAGTGAAAGTGTGAAAAGCTTTTCACAAATCTATAATAATGATGATGATGATGAATGTGTGTTTAGTGTTGCACAAAACACTTCACGGAAAGCATAAATGCTTCAGTCTTCAGAATCACTGATCCGTCGCAATGAGTAAAATTGACTTCTTCTCCACTTGCAGACGACTTTGCAATAGTTGCTGGAATTCTCGTGTTCCTCCTGCTCGTGGGCATCATCTGTGCATTCACGTTCTCCGGCAAGACGGAGCTGACTTCGGCTCCCATCAAGGACGGCCGATATGTGGAGGCGGTGACATCGTGCGGACCCGTTGAGGGTCTCTACGACGACGGTGCTTTCGTCTTCAGGGGCATTCCGTACGCTCAGCCGCCGGTGGAGGAGAATCGCTGGCTCCCGTCGAAGCCCATTGACAACATTGACAACTGCTGGAATGGCACTTTCCTGGCGCACAACAGCACGCCCGTGTGCCTGCAGCTGATGGCCAATGGCACAGTGGAGGGTGTGGAGGATTGCCTCACACTCGACGTGGTCACTCCTCACGTGCGCTATGACAATCCACTGCCCGTGGTCGTGCTGATCGGCGCTGAATCCCTCTCAGGTGAGAAATCTCATCTTTCTGTTCCGCGCTGGCGAGCAACGCGCGAAAGTTTTGTGGGCAGGAAAACACTTTCTTCCGACAATGATGAAGATGCCTCAATTAGAGCACTTTTCTTTCCTCGCGCCAATTTATTTATTTCTTCTTTTTTTTGAGATTTCACTGCGCAGCGAGGAAAAACAATTTGCTGGCCACTTGTTCACAAACTGACTAATCTTCTTTAATAGTGCGAATCATGCGAATTAATTGTTTGAAATTGCTTCAAATTTATCTTGGGAAAAGGCATTGGAATTAATCTTTCTGTCCAAATGCCGAAAGTGCTGAAAGATGCGGAGAATTGACGGTTTTTTCTCTGTGTTTTCAGGCGACTCTCCTGGCAAGATGCGACCATCCAAGCGCTATGCTCGCGCTCGGGATGTGATCTTTGTGCGACCCAATTTCCGCGTGGGAATCTTCGGTTTCCTCACCCTGGACGCCCTCTCGCGCTCCGCTCATCCGCCGAGGTCAGGAAACTACGGCTTGTCTGACATAATTGCCGCCCTGAAGTGGATTCAGATCAATATTGTGCACTTTGGCGGCGATCCCAAGTCCGTCACGCTGTTTGGCCATCGCGCCGGAGCCACGTTGGTGTCCGCCGTGGTGGCTTCGCCGCAGGCCAAGGATCTCTTCCATCGCTCCTGGATCACCTCGGGATCGGCCATCTTCCCCGGGAAGTCGCTGCAGGAGTACGAGAGGGAGAATCAAGTGCTCGTGGAGGCGGTGAAGAAGTGCACTGACGCCGCGTGCTTGCGCGGATTGTCCGGCACGAGTCTCCTGGACGCCGTTCCGGACACTTGGCGTCGTGTGTCGCCGGATCTGCCGTCGCGCACGGAGAACGCATCCACGCGCCATGAGTATGTGTCTCTGGATGGGGACATTCTGCAGGAGCACGCGATTGATGTGTGGAAGAGGGACTTGACGCCGCTGAAGATGGTCATCGGCACCACGGCGCACGAGAGCCACTCGGAGAAGCTGTGGCTGAAGCACAAGGAGTGGACGCCGGAGCTGGTGAGGCGACATGTGGAGGAGAGCGCCATTGGGCAGCGCGGATTGACGGATGAGGCGCTCAAGAGATACGGCGAGACGTATCAGGGACTCGTGGCCATGATCTCAGACATCCGGACAGTCTGTCCGCTCCTCACCGTTGCCAGATCCCTCACTTCCGTGCCCTTCTACGTGGTCACCCAAGTGGCGGAGCCCATCAATGTGGCCGACGCCGATGCCGACGTGCAAGCGATCTTTGGCCGCTACGAGCCGCACACGCCCGAGCAGCGGCGCTACGTGTCGGCCATCCAGCAGCTCTTCTACCACTACGTCTCCCACGGCGAGATGAAGCAGTACGAATCCCGGAGGCCCGTGTTCCTCATCGGCCAGGACGCCCTCTCCGCCGAGGACTATCCCAATTGTGATTTCTGGATCGAGAAGGACGTGGTGCCGCGCTACGGCAGAGTGGACTAAGGAAGAGGAGTCACAGAGAGAGAGGCTTGGCGATGTTTGAGAAGAACAGAGTTCAATTTTTTGTGTCTGGACGGAAGAAGGGCATTTTCCAACCAATTCCCCAATTTTTTACATGACGAAAAAAGAGAGAAGTGAACAATTCTTTTGATATAAATATTTAAGTATATAATTGAGATTTGTGTAATTTTTTATATATACAGAAAGATATAAAAAACACTTTTTTATTTGGAAGAAAATGAAGAGAAAAATTCCAAATTAGCGCAACAAATGATTCGTAAAGAGGAGAATTTTTTTACACAACCAAAATATTCCGCAGTTTTAATCTGTAAAACTCAATGAATCTTCCTTCAAGACATCACAATATATATATATATATATATATACGTATATTTGTCATTATAAAAGAATTTTTCTATAAGTGTTTATAGAGGATTTATTGTGTAGACAAGAAGAAGAAGAAAAGTGACGAAAATATACGAACAATATTCAACTAACTAAAAAAAACTGCCCATAAAAGTGTTTCACGGCGACTTTAAAGACTTTTTACATGATTAAAAGAAATGAAAAAAAACATATTTAACTCAATAGAATATTCAACAAAATGAAAAGAAATTATTAATATGCAGTTAAACAGGTTTAATCTCCACAAGTAAAAGAAGATGAAAAGTGTTGAGGGAAACTTTTTCTAAATTATTCCTCCTTAGAATAAAAAGAAGCGTATTAAGAATAAATTGTCTAAACAGCAGAGCAAAGATGTTAATTTAATTTATTGTCCTCCAGAAATTAAATGTTTTCTTGTCTTTGTAATTTATATATTTTTTTTGCTATAAATGGCTGTATTTTTAAACCTTTTTTTCTTAGTTCTCTCGCGAAATATACAATTTTTCCGTAAAATAGCTTTCTTAAGTGACAAATTCACCAACCCACAGAGCTCTTATATATAGTGTATTTGTATAATTTAAAAGAAAAAACAAGAAGAGAATGATGATATGAAGTGGATTATTGTAGTTAAGATAAGATGAAAGTGAGACAAAAGAAAAACATAAAGAAATGTAACTTGCAATTAGATAAAATTCACATACTCCAACATACACACACACACATAAATTGTTGTTTTTTGAATGGAGACATTGCGAGTATTTTCCAAGATGATATTAAATGAAAAAGAAAATGAATAGTAATTCAGAATTTTACCAGATAATGGAAAGTAAATAAAGAATACTCTGTATTGCGGTTTTAGAAATTACAATAATAATAAATTAAAATCAGTCCAAAACTCTGCCTTTGTATTTGCTGACAGGAATTTGTGCGCAGGATTGCAGACTTTCTCTCTAAAGTCTTTCGAAAGCTGCTTCTTAAACGTCTTAAATCGTCTATTCGTGGCTGCGAAATCATCCCAGATCATCAGTTTGGATTTAGACTTGGATTTAGAGAGAAAATCATGCCACAGTGGAACAGATGGAATGAATTTCTGCACGGACGCCTTCTTAGACAAGTTCCAAGACTTCAGCCAGGCCTTCGATAAAGTGTGGCATTGAGGATCTGCGCAGGAAACTGAGGGTCAAATCCTCAGAGTCTTTCCTTGAGTTGAGGACGTGTATTTGCTATAAATAGCTAGAAACTGCCTAACGTTTCTACTGTGATAATCGATTTTGAATGTTCGAAAATCGTTTATTCATTTCAGCGCCCCTAGCGGTAGTTTAATCAAGCTCTGATGTTTAAGTGAGAGATTGCATTTTCCGAGACCTTCCCAATGAACTCAAAATTAATCAAATCGTATAATTAGAAGCGAAGTTATGGCCATTTAAGGTTTCGAAATTTGGGTCTTAAAATCATAGGCTTGGATGGGCCTAGATCCTTAAGTGATGGTTCGTTGGAAAGGTCTTGAGGCCAGCTATAACATACTAGAATTTGGGCTCAATCTATGTCAAAGGGGCTGAATAAATGAGTAAAATGTGTCTAGAGGATATTCAAAATGGCGGACAGAGGTTAAAGAGTTGAATTTAACATCACTAAGATCTCGCGGTAGTAAGTTTTTTGATATTTAGTGAAAATTGTATGTTGATATCTCTTACCGTTTACACGCTAAAAGTCTATATCCGAGGAATTAAAAAAAGTGACCCCCCTTCTCGTCAGATTTTGTCATATGAATAGTGAAGATGTAAGAAAAAGTATTGGCAGACGAGATCTTATGGTAATCAAGATAATTAAGTTTATTGAATGCAAAAGTCTTTAACAACAGAATCTCGTCTTCAGCGTGGCCAGCGTGGCGATGTCTCTTAGCGCAACACACGGGAATGGTCACTCGACCTTGTAGAAGCGGCATTTGGTGTCTGTGAGTGCGCCGAGGTAGATTTGCGAGTCGTGGAGAAAGGGACAGAGGTCCATGATGGGCTCCGCCGCCGAGATGGTCTGCAGGCGGCAGTTGTCGCGCGTGGAGAACGTGGTGAGGGCTTTCCGGCTGTGCACGTACGCCGCCACCAGCGTGTCCTGCTCCAGGCCCAGCAGCGCCGAGCGGAACATCACTGGCATGGTGTTGGAGCCGGCGAAGGTGTGGCTGACGATGAAGGCCACCGACTCGTTGATTCTGTCGAAGCGCCCCACGATGTACTGCGACGTGGGCCGATTGGTGGCCTGGCTGGGCCGCACGGTGACCAGCACGCGCCTGGTGGCGTCGTCGTACACCATGGCGGTGAAGGGGCCCTCGAGGGGCAGCGCCGTGATGTCACTGGGCATTCCGTCGGCGCCCAACTCGTACAGCCAGAGATTCTGCAGCGTGCACACGAGCACAGCGCCGCAAGGCATCGTGTTGTCCGGCACAATGGACACGATATTGATCACGGGGCTCAAGTCCACGGGCTGCGCGCGAAAGTCCTGCGGCGTCGTCGGATTGCGCATGTCGAATCTGCTCACGCGTCCATTCTGGCAGCCCACGATCACGGACTGCTCGCGCGTGCGATCGAAGCAGCACGACCAGATCACCTTGGACACCGACGAGTCCTCCTCCGGACACTTGAGCGTCACTGCGCACTGCCTCGACGTCACATCGTACACTTTCACCCCCTGATCCACCGACGCGGCCACCAGCAGAACGCCCTCGCAGTCGAAGGCCACGTCGCGGATCGATCGGGCTGTCATGTGCATGAACGTCGTGGGCTTGAGTGTGCTCAGGTCCATGAAGCGCACGCCGTAGCCCGGAAACAGGCCCTGATTAGACTTCTGCGACACCACCAGCGATCTGCCCTTCCTGGCGAACTGGATCACACGACACCCGGCCTCTCGGCTCAGCTCCACGTTCTTCTCCAGGAAGATTCTGTACTGCTTCCGCGGCGCCTCCGCCGAGGCATCGCTGATGGCAGGAACATTCCCGGATGCTCGCAATTCACACAGTTCTCGCGAGAGGCGGGCATTTTCGCTGATTTGCTGCTCATAGCGATGGCGCAACATGGACAATTCCGTCTGTGCACGAGACTTGTCCACCAAGGCCTCTTCCAGGAGCGTCTGAATCCTCTCCTTCTCGCTGTTGTCCACCATCCGAAGGCGCTTGGCGTACAGGAATCTCATGTCGCGCAGAGTGGCTTTGCTCTTGCACGAGGGACACACCCTGGCGCCCGGGGGACTTTCCGACAGCCACCTGAAAGGGCGAGAGACAAGCAGTAGAGATGAGAAATCCCATCGCAGATGTCTGAAGAACTCACCGCTTGATGCAAGAGTGACCAAACAGATGTCCGCACTTGAGTGATGTGAGTCTGTGGATGCCTGACATGTCCCACTCCTCGTAGCAAATGGGACACAGGATCCCGTCATCGTCGTCCTCGTCGTTGGGCTTCTGCACTTCGCTCTTCTGTGTCTGCGTTGGCGATTGCAGCTTTGTGGACGATCGCTTTTTCCTCTTCTTCAGATTCTCCACCGCAACATCGTCCTCCGACAGCGGGGACACCGTCCTAGGGGGTGAGAGACGTCTGCGACTGCCCCGCGGACTGCCACGCACTTCGGGCTCCTCGGCTGATTGTGCCTCCTGAACTTGCTGCTCAGGAGCATTCGACGATTGCTGGACAATGTCGAAGAGCAGAACACGAGGACTCAAGGCATACGTTCGCGGTGCACCCTCGCCATCCATTTCCACCGGAGAGAAGCAATCAATTGCCTCAGGGGTCTCAGGATGTCAGGAAAAGCTCCCGAAAACTTTTCCACTTTGACATAACCTGTGGGAGAAGAAATGACGCAATATAATTCATCACTGAAGCGTTGAGGAGTCAAATTGGCAATTGATGAGAGAACTAGGACAACTCTGCTACCTCTTGCAATCTGTTTACACTCTCATTTATGCTGGTGAGCGGGTGAAAATGGGAAAATACACTTTTTGTTTACTCGTACACTGCGCGGATTCACAGAAAGACCTGTCTAAACTGGTCGAAAGTGGGCGCAATTGGGCGATTTCTGGTGTCAATCACTTTCCGCCAGTTGGCGCTGTGCGACTTGCTGTCAAAACAGAGCGAGAAAAAGGTGAAAAACAAAGAGACGTGTTGGATTTTCCTCTGCATTTCGCGTGTAATTGGGACGCAGCGTGTGCTGATAATACAGTTGGAGGAGTGCCGGTGCTGACGGAAAGGAGAATGTCGTGCCAAGATACGGGGAAGTCCCCCTCGAGGGGCCCCACAAATCCCACCCTGCAACTGCCCGACGGTGGCTTCCGGACCAAGCGAACCAGAACCGCATCGACGTGAGTATTGCGCGCTATTCCGGCCGAACAATGCCCTCTAAATATCCTTCCCGAAACACCCACTCTGCAGCTCCGCCCGCGCCCTGGAGAATCCCGTTGAGAGGGGCGCCATCAAGTCCTTCTGTCGCGGCAAAGGTCACGGCTTCATCGCGCCCCAGGCCGGCGGCGAGGACATCTTCGTCCACATCTCCGAGTGAGTCAGCCAAGTTTTTGAATAATTAAAACGGAAGTTCACAATTCCCAACACGAAATTCACCCATTGAGATTCCCAGACGATAATTCCACCCTTGAAAACACTTTCTCTCCCCCCGCAAAGCTTGAGAATATCGATCCGGAAGGAGAGAATCCACCTTCTGGGCTTTCGTGTCTCCGGTCAGGAAACTCTTTCTCAATGCTTAATTTATTTATACACACTGAAACATGTGATGAGCAGGGCAAATTGGGAAAAGTCTTTCCCACGCTTTTCACCACACACACACACAATTTCCGGAGGGATGGGGAAGTCTTCTGGGTCATCCACCTCATCGGCCCATCATTGGGGACATCTTCAATTAATTTTTCATGACAATGGGGAATTTTTCCAACCAAAAGCATCCCGAGAATGGCAATAGAAATAGGAATTGATTTAGAGATGGGAAGAAAAGCACGAGAGCTGAACAGTGCATGAGAAAGGAATGCGAACGCTTGCAAAAAGGGTGAGAATTTAAGGAAATCAAGGCGTCGTTGTAACTTTAATTTCATAGAATTTTAAATAAGCTGTCAAAAGTGTGAATTCGTAAAAAGGTGTTGCAAGATTACGATTCATATTATTTACAAATTATGGGAAATTTTGTCTTGTTGGAAACGTTGCCGCCTGACGTCAATTCATATTTTTCGTACTGTGAAAAAGCGAAGAGCCGGGAAATTCACGTGAAAACCAAGGAAATAGACAATAATGATGTTTATATGTTAAATAATCACCATTTTTGCTCATTTCACTGCACCAGATTGAGGTTATGTGTTTCCGGATGTCCTTCAATCCTTTCCACAGAAACTAATTGCGTTTAGAATGCATTAAGAAGTTCTTTTGATTTCTGTTTCTTCTTTGCGAGTACAAAAAACGTGATTTTGCCTAAATTTCACAATAAAGACATCTTCCCGGACATTCTGTCTAGCAGAATCCTTCAAGAATCCCATTGGAAACACGCTCAATGACACGCGGATTCACTATTTTGCCCTTCTGAATTCATTATTCGCGGTAAAAACAGCCCTCGCTAATCGCTGAAAACTCCTGGAAGTTTCTTGAGATTAGTTTCGGAGGAACATGGAAAAATTCCGCTTCACTTTCACTGAAAATCATTTGCTAATTTCCTCGGATGTTGAAATAATCTGCCTTAAAAACACTCTCAAAGAGCAAAGAGGAATGAAATGAGTTTATTTATTATTTATTTGACTTTATTGGGACGTCATCCATATGGATGGTTTCCACAGGCATGAAGTTTACAATAAATGTTGAATTTTTGAATCTTTGAAAAATTTTAACAGTTTCCTTATTTCACTATCATCGTTTCCTAATGCTATTATTGGGTCTTGATTAATTCTATTTCTTATTCTATCTTCTTCATATTTCTTACATTTAAAAATTATGTGATCAATAGTAATTACTTCATTGCAAATATTACATAATGGAGGATTTTTTTCTTGTCCACTTTCCATCAAATATCCATGTGTCAATCTTGAATGGCCAATTCTTATTCTTGTAAGTATTGTTTCTTCTCTTCTACTTTCTCTAATGGATGTGGCCCATGGAGATACATCCTTTTTAATCTTCTGAAATCTCTTCACAGATTCTGAGCGCGGATCATTTACAATGTTATTCCATTCTTGATTCCATTTTTCTTTTATTTTGTTCTTGGCTAAAGCTTTTAAGTCGTCTGCTGGAATCAAGAATTTTTCATTTATTTCATGGTCAACTGCTTCTTTAGCGGCTTTATCAGCTTCTTCATTGCCGTCAATTCCTGAGTGTCCAGGAATCCAGATTATTGATATTTGTGCGTTTATGTTTCTAGCTAAGTATTTTATGTTATCAATAATTGGAGATTTGTCAGCCTTTCCCGATTGGATAGATTGAACCACGCTAAGAGAATCTGTGAATATTACAATATTTTCTGCATTTTGAGTGTCTTCTGCCAATTTAATTTCATGTAAAACTGTTTCAACTGCATATGCTTCTGCAGAGAATATTGAGCACTCTTTTGGAATTCTATGTGTCTGTGAAATTTCATCATTATAATAAATCCCAAATCCTGTATATTCATTGGCCTTAGACCCATCTGTAAAAATTATATTACTATTTCTATGTATAGTGAAAATTTCCTCCAGTTCTTTTTTATATTTTACAATGTTTTTTTGATAATTATTTACTAATTTCATTTCTGTATGGATTGGATTTGGCCACTGTGGATTCCAACTTATTCTATTGATTTTAAGTATCTTTTCTATTGGGATTTTAAGTTCATTGCATAATGTCTTAAATTTATAAATAACTCCTCTTTGTGCTAGTAATTTATCAGAGTTTATAAAAAGTGTGTAATTTGCATGATCCTGGAGACTCATTATTTTGATACCATATTGTAAAGTTAATAAATTTCTTCGGTATTGGAGTGAATATACTCCCGATTCACAAAGTATACAATAAATGGGGCTTGTCTTAAATGCTCCGATTGAGAGTCTAAGTCCTGAATTATGAACTGGATCCAACTTTTGTAGAATGCTTTTAGAGCCGGAGTCTATTACTATTGATCCATAATCTAATTGAGATAAAACTAGAGATTTGTACAAAGTTAATAAAGTTTTTCTGTTTCCTCCCCATCGATAATTAGAGACACATTTGATGATATTAAGATTTCTGCTACATTTTGTTTTGATATATGTAATATGGGATTTCCAGTTCAATTTACTATCAAAATATACTCCTAGAAACTTATGAGATTCTTTATATTCAATTACATTATTATATATAGTTATTTGAGGATTTTGTATAAGTTTCCCTCTTCTTTGGAAATGAATCGCTTCTGTTTTGCTTGGTGAAAACACTGCTCCTGTATTATTGGACCATTCCTCAAGCTGATTTAGCCCTACTTGGAGACTGTTCTGTATATCTTCTAAATTTTTTCCATTTGCATACATGGTTATGTCATCGGCAAAAATAACAGCTTTAGTATTATTATTATTTGGTAAATAATTAATGATTGAATTTATGAAGATTAGAAAAAGATTAACTGAAATTACAGCTCCTTGAGGAACTCCATTCTCTAAAACAAAAGTATCTGATAGTTCATTTCCCACTGCTACTTTAAAGTATCTAGTCATCAAAAAGTTTTTAATATATAAGGCTAAGTGACCTTTAATTCCTATTTCTTTGATTTGTTTAAGAATCTCATATTTCCAGGCCATATCATATGCCTTTTGTAAATCCATAAATACTGCTATTACATGTTCTTTTTTGGCAAAAGCTTCATGGATGTCATTTGATAATCTTACAATGTGATCGATTGTTGACATTTTCTTTCTAAATCCGGCTTGATACGGATATATAATATTGTTTTCTTCTAAGTAAAAACTAAGTCTTCTATTGATCATTTTCTCCATAATTTTACCAACACAAGAAGTCAATGATATTGGTCGATAACTAAGTGGATCACTTGCTTTCTTCCCTGGCTTTAATATAGGAATGATTATTGCCATTCTCCATTCATCCGGAAATGTGTCACTAATGTATATTTCATTTATAATATCTAATAGTTTAAATTGATCAGATAAACTTAGATTTTTCAACATATCATAACTAATTTCATCCTCTCCTGGGGAAGTATTTCCACCTTGTTTAATAGCAAATTCTAGTTCAAAATATTCAAATCTTTGATTATATATATCAGTATTGTCATTTATGAATTCAATTTCTTGCTTTTCATATTCTAATTTGCGCTCAATAAAAGTCTTAGAAAAATTTTTATCTGAAGAGTTTGTATAAAATTGTTTAGCAATAGTTTGCGCAATTTCCTTAGTATTATCAATAATATCTTCATCCACAATCAGGTACTTAATGGTATTTGGTTTATGTCTATTCATTATTCTACCTATTTTGTTCCATACTTCAGTCGGGCTTGTAAATATATTAATTTCTGATACAAATTTCTGAAAGCTTTCATATGGAGCCTTTCTTAATTTAGATTGTGTTAAAGATTTTACTGTTTTGTATTGTTCTATAATTTCATCACAGACTATTCCTTTTCTCTTATTTTTTTGCACTTTATTACTAAGCTTATTACGTTTTTTGACTAGCTCCTTTAGTTCTTTATTAAACCATGGTAAAGATGGTTTATTAATTAAATTACTATTTCGTGGAATTGCATCATTCGCACTATTTATAATGGCATCTTGAAATTCAATTATTCTCTTTGTTGGTAAGATTTCTTTCATATTTACTTCTGACATATTTCTTTTGAACTTATCCCAATCAGCTTTCTTTAAATTAAATTTACTTCTCTTATATATATTCATATTAGTACCTAATAGTTTTATACATATTACAAAGTGATCCGATCCATTTTCACCTAAACATGAGAATTCAACTTTTCCTCCAAGTTGTGGAGAAGCTATTGTGAGATCAATTGAGCTAAAACAGTTATAAGCTAAAGAGTAATGAGTATCACAGCCATCATTTAGGCATATTAAATCATAACTATCTATTAAATTTTCAATCATTTCTCCTCTTTTATCTATTTTGTCTCCTCCCCAAATGGGATTTTTCGCATTAAAATCTCCCATTAATATAAATGGACTAGAAATTTGATTAATTAAATGCACCATTTTATCTTTAAGTCTTTTGGTTTCATTACTAGTCATTGCATTTGGTGGTAAATATATTGAGACAATATTAACTTTATATGGATATTCAATTTCTATTCCAATAGCTTGTAATTCAGTATTAAAATTATGTAACTTGTAAGAAAAACCTTCCTTTATCATTATCAAAACTCCTCCACTTGCTATTTGATTATCAGTATAATTTTGAAATTCAATATTATATCCATTAAATTTAGGTGATTTTTTATCGTTTAAAAGTGTTTCTTGTATACAAACAATTACTGGTTCAATTCTATTTACTATAATTTTTAGATTACTGAAATGGCTATAAAAGCCATTCATATTCCATTGTATAATTGAAAAATCTTGAAATTGTTGATTTGAACTTACATTAGTTGTATTGAAAGATTCCTCCTGCCTGTGTCAACCTGGTCCCCCATTGGAGGCACCATTTTGGGATCCCGAAGGATGTTGGGGGTGAGTGCATCCACTCACATTTTGGAGATTCGCCGAGAAAAATTGCTCCTGCTCTTGTTGACTAGAGATGATCGCAGCGTTTTGTTGATTGATGTTCTGCACTTCTCTCAAGCGGTTTCGAGCATCATCAAGTTGGCGGAGGAGATCACTCTGATCCCGTGGCGTAGCATTCTGGGAAATGTTATCGTGTTCTTCGACTCCTTCCATATCGTCCTGGTCTTGTTCTTGAGCTCTTGCCCTCTTCGATGATTTCTTAGTCACTTTCTTTGATTCACGTGGGCTGTTCTTCCTCTTCACTGGTTGGTTCGGCTGGGTATCAGATGTAGTTTGATAACTCACTCTGGGTGGTGGCAAAGACGGGAAATTGTCTTCCTCCGTCGCCAAGGCAGCATAAGGGTTGTCATTAAGTACACTGATGTACGTGTTGTTGTCAAATCGGCGGGTTGAGAATTTCCTGTTCGCTTCATCCCAAGATAGCATTTCTTGCGCCATTGCTAGGTTGATGTTGCGTTGTCTTATCTTTCCTGAGCAGTTGGGTGAGGATGTCGGATGATTACCACCGCATCCAGCACACTTCGAGGTCTCACAGTAATCCTCATGCTCTGGTCGTCCACATCCTTTGCATATCTTCTCTCGTACACATCTGCTCGCCGTATGGTTGAATTTGTAGCAATTTCCACACTGGATGTATCGCTTCACGAACAAGTCGGACTGGCAGCTGATACAGTCGAAGTAGACTCTTTGTGGGGCTCCATAGCCTTCCACAAAGATCTTCACTCTCCTTGCCGGAATCCATTCCGGAGCACCTGAATCTGAAATGATTCTTCGCTTCAGGCGAAAAACTTTCAGGACTTTACGTCCTCCTGGCACTTCAATGTTGTTTAGTAGCCATTCTTCTGAGATATTCGTGTCCACATTCCAAACTACCGCTGCTGTTGCCACAAAGTATAACGGTATGTACGCATTGAAACCTGCCTCTCGCACGTGGTCATTTGAGGTTAGGGCGTTGGCGATCTTCGCATTGCTGCAATATGCAATAACCCTCTTTCCAAATTGCTCCATTATGACCTCACTTCGGGTAAATTGTCCTTTCATTGCATTATTTACTTCAAATGCACTAGCACTGCCATTTGGCTTCGCAATGATCACTTTGCACGATAGATATTTTAGTCCTTCGTTGTATTGAAAGACCTCCGGTGCCACCGGAGGCCTATCAGGAGGATCTTCCCCTCCTCCTCCTTCCGCCATCCTTGTCTACTCCTCTCAAGCTTTCTCCTGACTATAAGTCTTCACCAAACCAAGAAAAACCAAAAGACTTGAAAACTGTAATTTATAGAAAATTCTCGAGTGCGGGCTTTTGCGTCCTCTCGGCAGCGCCACCAAACTCGTATCGAAACTCGAAATGAGTTTCTAAACAGCTGAAATTCGTATTAAATAAACCCCAAACTTTGCCTTGCAACGCCTTCTAGTTCGATTTCATTCGTACTTTACACTAGCGCCGCCAAGCGGCCATCAATATAAACTATGAAAATCCGCAAAGTTGCAACGACTCATTAATCATATTTGATTGTTTTTCCTTCTCTTTTATTATAAATGATAAAATCACACAATTGAATTTACAATATTTTTACAAGATTCCCAATTAAATAAATACTAAGTAAAAGTGCCATTAATTGTCCCGCCACCACTGCGCTTGTGATCATCTGTTTTTCCGTGTTGCTTGATAAAATTTTGGTGCGGCGATAAGACGTTTGTGTTTGTTCCTCTCTTCCAGCATCGAGGGTGAATATGTTCCACTGCCGGGCGACGAAGTCAGCTATCGGCTGTGCTTCATTCCGCCAAAATACGAGAAGACACAAGCCATTCACGTGAACATCACGAACCTCACGCCCGCGGTGCACACCAAGTGGGAGGAGCCGCCCTTCCATTGAGCAGCAGCAGCGCGTCAACCTCCAAAAAAAAAACATCGCGCACACCGAACAATTCCAATTGAACTTTTCCCGTCTCTTAGATCGAAAGAAAGAAAGAAAAATAGCCTTGCAGCAGAGCGAGTCACTCTCTTATGAGCCAATCCAACACATTCACGTGCACGCCAGCGAAATGTACTTATGAATCTTTGCTTGCCTGGACATTTGTGGGTGATAAAAAAGCGGAGGCACAATATTTAGAGCTGTGTAGTGTGATTCGATTCTAAACCAATAACGTTGAATTTATATAGAATAATCGCGCGCGCGTTCAAACATTACAATCCAGGAAGAAATATTCAAGAGATCAGATTGTCAAGCATGTCAGTATTTTGGAGAATTCATAAGGATGTTGTGTATAATTTTTTTTTGTAGTGAAGAAGAAGATGAAAGAGTAAAGTTGAGGAATGTAAGCAAAACTTGCTGTGTTTGACCTTCTTAAACCACCACATAAACAGGCACAGAAATCACTTGTTGACTTGTTTTGATGCGAATCACGAAGAATTTCTTCGTCATTGGTGTGAGTTTGAATCTAACGTGAATTGAGTCCGTTTCACGTGCCATCAATTCACCCGAATTGGGCAGAAATTCCACAACTTCCGGCTGATCACACTCCATTTCGAACAACATCGTTTCATCAGTCAAAGATGTGAGTGTGATTCTCTTTGAGTACTTCTCAATTGCCTCCAGGAAGATCTTCTGTGGCTGAACAGTCAACACTTCCACCTCATCACGCATCGGCACTTCGCCCGATGTGATGGTGGTGAAGAGAATCGTCTCCTCAAAGTCCGCATCCCATCCAGAGGCATTCATCAGTGTGTCATCAGCGCCATTATTCATTGTCAGTGCAATTTCCACCGTGCGAAAACCGTGCGTGAGATCAACGAGTGCATTTGCGTGCTCACGCAACTCACTCAGCTGCTCATCTCTCTCCTCACGGGGGAAAACACCCCATAAATCCGACAATCCCGCCGAACTGTTGAGCGCATGATTGGGCGTCTCTCTGATCAACTTTCTCACTCTGTGTCGCGTCGGTTCGTCACCCATGAAGACAATCAGATTGGCAATTAGCAGCACATCTGACGTCTTGTGCATCTTCATCAGCTTCTTCAGTTCATCACGCTGTGGCCGGAATTGCACACGAAACTTGGCATTGCTGGACGGCGGCAAGACGAGGCGATTGGGAGTGACTGACACAGATGTGGCGAAGCATCGCTGATCTGGTCTATTATTCTCCACGCTGACACTCACGAAGGCATTCAACGGACCCTTGTTGTACGCCGTGAATGTCTGCTCGAAGCACCGCGTGAGATTCTTCATGTCGCCCATGGGCAGGAATTTGGAGCCCACCAAACCCTGCTGCAATCCCTCCAAACTCACCGACGCATGCCCTCCGTAGCCGTACAGCGGAATCTTGCAGTTCACGCGCGTGTCATCAACCGTGGGAGGCTTGAAGATCAAATTTCCCGCCGCCGGACCTTTTACAGTCGGACAGAAAACAATCCACATGGCACGACACTCCTGCTTCTGCAGCGTGATGGTCATTTGGGGCGCATCGGCGCTGCCAAACTGAAAGCCAGGACCATCAATCACAGCCCTGAAGGTTAACCTGGTCAGGAAGAGAGACAAATGAACCAGAATTGACACAAATAATGACACAAAATTCACTCACTTCTTCGACGAAGTGTTCTTGATCTGAATGGATTTCGTGGCGGAAGTTCTCAATCTCACGCTGCCCCAGCACAGTTCTCCCTGCGTCGCCTTGAGCGGCAAATATCCCTCCCGATGGTTGAATTCACTGGCTGTGCTCAGCTGCGATGTGGTTCTCGTCAATCCTGCGCTTGCCGGAGACTTGGAAGCGCCTTTAACAAGCCCATAATTCGGCAGAGAGAGCTTCCCCACGTCCATGGGCGACTGGAAGAGCAGCATCCTGTCTGACTGAGCAGTAGTCTCCATCGTGGGTGAAGCTGTGGTGTCCAAGACTCGCATTTCTCCTCTGTTGGACGGCGACTTGGCACGGCGACACTCCACAACAGCCGGACCTTCATCCACCTTCCTGGATCCATTCGAACGAGATCTCTTCCGCGCTCCGACACTCTCAACTCGCGTGCTGAAGCGCCGATCGTCGTCCACGCGCAGAGAATCCGCAGAAATGGTCAGCGTTGTGTGAGAACCAGCTCGTCGAGGACTCTTGCTGGGTCGGAAGCGACAAAACTCCTGATATTCCTTCTCCTCCTTGCGATTCTCCTTCCCACTGCGATTGACATCGTCAGCTCGTCTCTCTGGCGTCTTCAGATTCTGCTCCTTCGTCGTGATATCGTCCAGAGGCTCATTCTGGCCACTCTTCTTTGCCACCCTTGCAAAATGCTCAGCCAGGATTTTACTTGTCGATTCCGACAGCTTGAGATTCTCAATCAGAGCTCGTATGTCATCTGGTTCCTCAGATTCTTTCGTGTACGTCCTGCCGACCGCTGAAGACGCCGCAGAAGCTGCTGAAGCCATTGAACTGACTGTGGTGTTGAGAACTCCTCTCGCTATCTGTCCAGTTGGACTCTCAGCCCTGATTATATTCCCAATGGATTCGCATTGCTTGTTGCAGAAGGCATTCAGGGAAAAGTGATCAGAAACAGACCTGAAAAGAGACAGAAAAACTCCTTAAAACACCTCATTTTACCAAGAAATCTCTTGAGGAAACTCACGAATTATTGTGAGACATCATGAATCCCGAGAGTCCATCGAAATCCACAGGAATCTCCGGTTGCGCCTGTGCACGCTTCATTCCGGGAACAGTATAGAACTCCTTTTCCCACTCTCGCTCATCCTCAGACAGTAAATTCCTCTTCGCATTGTCTGAGCAGACAAACTCGTCGGATTGGAAGGAATCCATGAGTTCTTGCTGGGAAATTCTCTTCGTCGGATACTTCTGCTTCGCTGGATCACCGGCTAAGCTCTCCCTGTAACTCTTGCTCATCTCACGGACATTCTGACACCGACTCGTGGTCAGGATGTCTTCGAAGCTGTCTTCAAGGAGTTCCTGCGCCGTCTTGGGGACTTCCTTTCGCTTCTCCCTCGTGAACATCGTCGATCTGGCTGTGATTTCCTTCGGGTCAAAGGTCAGCTTCCCCAGAGTGTCCTGCAAATCCACCGTTTTGTCTGTGGCGAGGTCACTGAGATTCACAGAAAAACGGTACTCCCTGGAATTCCCTCCTGACGCCAATTCGTCAGTTCTGAAGGGTCGAAAGAGGTGCGAAACACGCTCATTTCTTCCATCCTTTGGCGATTGTGACTTCTCCAACAATTCCAGAGCTTTCCTCTTTTCATACAGCAATTTATCAGAGATTTTCCCCGCCGGTGAATTGGCGTCTTCCATTTTCAACCCTTCAACTGAGGAGATAATTCCGCTATTCTCACTCAATTCACAGACAATATAACACATTTACACAATCACTTACCTCACTTGATGTTTCCGGAATAAAATAACACGGAGAAAGACGTGAAAATGTATGAACAAGTTGAATAAAATTACAAATTTTCCAGCAAACAAAAACGGCTGCAAAAGCGAACTTGATTTGACATTTGGCTGTGTTGCCATGCGAGTAAGCTGCCAACGCCACGTCGCGGAATTATCCTGAAGCAACTTGCTGTTGTCAACCTCAAAACACTGCAACTTTCGTGGCGACACATTTCGGCGTTAAAATTGGCGAAATTGTGCTTTTTACGTAGTTTTAGGATAAACAGGTAGTGAAAAATGGTGAAGGCTCGACGTGGAAAGAAGGAGGTGGCCAAGGATGAGGAGGTGTAAGTGAAACATGGCATTTTCCTCTGACATCGTCGCATGCTCGAAACACTTTCACTCAATTTTTTCCATGCTTTTCCGCATTAATGCCGCAGGGAGAGTGATGTGGAGGTGCAGCAGGAGTCTGCGGTCGCGGTGTCTGATTCTGAGGATGCTGCGGGAACGCGAGGGAGAAAGGCGAAGAAGGAGAAGAAAAATGTGGCGGTGAAGAAGGAGAGTGATTCCGAGGAGGAAATCAGGAGTAATTCGAAGAAATCCGGGAAGGACAGTCGTCGGGGTGGCCAGGGAGAGTCGGAGGAGGACGAGGAGGAGGCTGTCATTGTGCCGGCGAAGGCGAAAAAGGGGAAGAAAGGTGGCTTTGCCCTGCTCAATGTGGAGTCAGATAATGACGTGGACACTGAGGAGAGAATAGAGGATCTGAGCGATGAGGAGGACAGTGGACGGAGAGGAAAGGCGCAGAAGAAGACCAAGAAGCAGGACAGTGTTGAGGAGGAGGCGCCTAAGGAGCAACAAGGTGGGAAGAAGAGTAAAAAGTCAAAGAAGAAACGCAATGAAGATGACGAGGAGGACATTGAGAAACTCCTGGCTGAGCTGCAGATTGAATATGCTGGCGGAAAGCCAGCTGGATCATCTGAGGCGAATGCTGACGTGGTAAGGTTGACAGTGTGATGTGAGGGAAATGTTTTACTCTGTGACATTTTGATTTCAGGGCGAGTCTCAGGCGGAGAGGAAGAAGAAAGTCGCAGGCAAAGCTCGTGAGCACAAGCAGAGCTTCTCGAAGCAAGTTGATGAGTTGCTCGATGATGATGTGAATGCTGATCAGGATGTGGAGGAGGAGCTGAACACTGTGAAGACGGCTGCCCAGAAGAAGAAGGAGAAGAAGGAGCGACAGAAGCGCGAAGCGGCGCTGGCGAAGCAGAATCAGAAACCGGCGAGTGAGAAGCCGGAGAGTGAGAAAGCGCCAGAGCCAGAGAGTGTGACTCCGCCGGAGCCCGAGGAGGCGCCAGCGGAGAATGAGGAGGAGAAGACGGCCAAGGAGGACAGGAAGAAGAAGAAGAAGGACAAGAAGGAGAAGGTCGAGAAGGTGGAGAAGCCAGAAGCGGTTGAGAAGGGAAAGAAGGGTCCTGGGAAGCATCTGGTGGCGGCAATGCAGGAGCGGCTGAAGAAGCTGAAGGAGGAAGAGGAGCGTCAGAAGCGGGAAGAGGAGGAGAGGATTAGATTGGTGGAGGAGGCTGAGCAGCAGCGACTGGAGATGATTAAGCAGGAGGCGGAGCGCAAGGAGAAGAAGAAGCAGAAGGAGAAGGAGCGCAAGGAGCGACTGAAGGCGGAGGGAAAGTTCCTCACCACGAAGCAGAAGCAAGAAAAGGCTCGTGCGCAGGCCATGCTGGAGGCGCTCAAGGCTCAGGGTGTGGATGTGCCGGAGACGGGAAAGAGGGCGCCGCGTCCGGGAACGCGCGTGAGAACGAAGAAGAAGGATCAGTCGGTGGATGAGGAGGAGAAGAAGGAAGCGTCGCCGGTGGAGGAGAAGCAAGAGCCCGAAAAGGCGCCGGCGAAGGAGGAGAAGAATGCTGAGGATGATGTGAAGGATGCCTGGGACGCCACGTCGTCGGAAGATGAGTCGGAAGACGTGAAGGCGGAGGAGAAGCCTGAAGCGGAGGCTTCTGAGGAGTCCGGAAGTGAGGAGGAGTCTGAGGAGGAGGAGAGTGAGAGTGAATCTGAATCGGATGCGGATGATCACAGGACAGATGCGGAGAAGAGGCGTGAGAAGGCGAAGGCGAGAATTGAGAAGCGTCGTCACGATGCCGAGAAGAAGAGGACGACAGATCAGCTGAGAGCGGCTGTTGTGTGTGTGTTGGGGCACGTGGACACGGGCAAGACGAAGATCCTGGACAAGCTGAGGCGGACGAATGTGCAGGACAGCGAAGCGGGTGGAATCACACAGCAAATCGGTGCCACGAATGTTCCCATGGACGCCATAAAGGAGCAGACGAAGTATGTGAAGGGAGCGTCTGAGATGGACTACAAACTGCCCGGGCTGCTCATCATCGATACACCCGGCCACGAGTCCTTCAGCAATCTGCGGAGCCGTGGCTCGTCGCTCTGTGATATTGCCATTCTGGTTGTGGACATAATGCACGGCCTGGAGCCGCAGACCATTGAATCCCTGAATTTGCTCAAGGCCCGCAAGACGCCCTTCATTGTGGCGCTGAACAAGATCGATCGGCTCTACGATTGGGGCACAATGGGGCGCAAGGATGTGCGGGATGTGATCAAGGGACAGGCGGAGAATACGCAGATTGAGTTCAACACGCGTGCAAAGGATGTCATCACGCAATTTGCCGAGCAGGGCATGAATGCGGCGCTCTTCTATGACAATCCCGATGTGAAGAGTTACGTGTCGTTGGTGCCCACGAGTGCCATCACGGGCGAAGGCATGGGCAATCTCCTGTACATGATTGTGGAATCGTGCCAGAATCTCCTCTCGCGTCGCCTGATGTACAGCGAGGATCTCCAGGCGACTGTGCTAGAGGTGAAGGCCATTCCGGGTCTGGGAACCACCATTGATGCCATTCTCATCAATGGGAAGCTGCGCGAGGGCGAGACGATGATCCTGGCGGGCACGGAGGGTCCCATTGTCACGCAGATTCGCTCCCTGCTCATGCCGCAGCCGCTGAAGGAGTTGCGCGTGAAGAATGCCTACATTGAGTACAAGGAAGTGTTGGCTGCCCAGGGTGTGAAGATTGCCGCCAAGGAGCTGGAGAAAGCCATCGCTGGACTCAATCTGCAAGTCGCCCAGAAGCCAGACGAGGTGGAGATCCTCAAGTGAGTCCAATTGTCTCTGAATGTTGATGAGAAATTGATGATTTTAATGGTGTTTTTGTCGTGATTCCAGAGAGGAAGTGGCCAAGGAGCTGAAATCCGCCCTCAGCAGTATTAAATTGAGCGAGCGCGGAGTTTACGTGCAGGCTTCCACGTTGGGATCTCTTGAGGCACTCCTGGAGTTCCTGAAACAATCCAAAATACCGGTGAGTAAGAATCTCTCTTCCTCTCCTTTTTCTTCCACTCTTCATTTGCCCACGAAACTGTGTAAATCCGGTGAAACGTGCCGACAAGGCAGAAATTGTATGGCAGAAAAAAGGTCCTTGTTTGTATAGAGAGAAGTTCTCAGGAGGTCAATTGTTGAGAGTCTCCTTGAGAATTTGTACACTTAAAACTTCCTGTTTACGGAGAAAAACGTAAGGATTTCTCCTTCTTTCGTTTGACTTGTGAATTATGCCTCATTTTGCTAAGGTTTTTTGGGGGAAGAAATCCTCTTAAGGGATTTACAATGCAATTTCTTATTAATACTCAGGCAAAAAGTGTTGCACTGCTGAGAGAGTTGTTTAAACAATTATTGGGGCTTTAAAGGTAAAGAAAACTTCAGCTCGCAATCATTTTATTTGAATTGATAACTATAAAAAGTCGATTTTCTCATAGTTTACGTCTTGTGTATTTTTTTTAGTAAGTATTTTATCTGTGAGAAATTCTTTTTATCCAAATAACTCGAATGGAAGGAATTTTCATGTTTTGGGACTTTAAACTATGAAAAGTTGAGGAAAAACGTCTCAAATTGCAGTCAAACGCATAAAATGCGAATTTTTATTAATATTTGTCATATTTTTGAATTATTTTACTCGAAAATATTGAAGAAAAGTTCATTTAAAATATGAAAAGTTGATTTTTAGAACTTTCTTGACTGAAAAGTACTCGAAAACTATTAAAAATTAACTTTGAAAAATAATATTTTCAGTTTTTCAAATTATTTTGCTGTATTTTAGTCTAAAATTTCAATAAATACCTACAAAATTAACTGAAACATTCACAAAATAATTATTTTCAGCAATATTTAGATATGAAATTTTGAATTTTCTCGTCTGAAAAAGGAAGATTTTGACTTTTCATAGTTTTCAATTCACCCGTCGATTTTTTGCTAATACTTTTAATAGTTTTTTTTTGCTGAGATGAAATGTGTTTCTTGAGGTTTATTGAACTCGTGTTGGTTTTCGTGAAAACATTCACCATCTGAGTAAAAATCTTACTCAACAATTCCATTCGAATGCGCGAAATGTGAATAGAAATTTCTTTGGTATTTCCACACAATCTCCTCTCGGCTGAAAGTTTTATAATTTTATTACTCGGCGCGCTGTCTTGGTTTGTGTATTGGAAGTGAAATTGTTGAACTGTGTGTTGTTGCATTTTGGAATGCACTTTGGGAGGCAAAGTGAGAGTCTCTCTAAACTAAAATCTCTGGTGGTGATTTTCTCTTGGAGATTTTCTATTGCTTCGTTCACACAAAACACCAACACAGAGACACACGATGGGCGAAATATTGATTTTCCTTCATTCACCGAACGTCCAACCGTTTTCAATTCACACAAAACACACTCTCGGCTCTTCATTCATTCATGAGGACGCCGATATACTCAATGGCTTTCCTACGTGTCGACTCTTGGCGACTTCAATGTGGCTCTGACGAGTACAACAACACTCACTCGCTTCTATGAATGTTGAGCAATTTTTTCAGTCCAAGGACTCTCTCGGCCATAAATTTGTAATATTATCGCCTGTAGCTTCTATTGGCCAGGTGTTGACTTGAGCTGCATATGGGCAGCAAAAGTGTCTCTTGGCGTGTTTGCAAGAGATTGCAGAAAAAAAGGTGTTCTTGTCTCCCTCTCGCTCTGCTTGAGCACACTTATTGTCTTTTAGCAAGCTCCATGTGCCAAATGTTCTAATTAATTGGTGTTAACTGCTTTGGCGCCTGTGGCGTTCTTTTTCCGGATATTTTTAAGAGAGCAAAAAAAACAATTTCGCGATGAAATTACTGCGCGAGAGAGAGAATGCTTTTGTGAGATCAAAGTGAAAGTAGGATAAGAAAAAGATCTATGCTGTGGGAGTTCATGAATATATTGACGCTTGTGTCTCACAATTTCCACGACGTTTCAATTATTACATTCTCAGCGAGCCAAAAGAGCTTAAAAAAGGAGATATTTTAGCTGAAAAGTGCTAAGCTAACGTTAAAAAACACAGCAATTTCAAGCAAAATATTAAGCTAATTCCCTTGCTGTCTTTCGCTATATATTTTACTGAATTTATTGCTTCTTTCTGATCAAAACTTAGCAATGAAACAAAAAGTCCAATTTCCATGAACTTCCCTTGATATTATTTATTATTACAAGGGAACGAGAAGGCCATATGTATGGTTTCTAGGGGACAGCGACTATAGAAGTCTATTGTACCCAAACCTGAGTGAGGAATGAGGACACTCGTGAGTGTCTAAGAACTTTAACCTTTGCTGTATGAGAGATCCGGGCAGAGAGACGATGTCACTCCCATTGACAAGTTGTTTTTACGATGGCAGATTGTCATTTTGCCGACCAACCATAAGTGGTTCTAACGTTTACCTTTATATATAGGGACAGAGTTCAAAGACAATTCCAGTGAAGCGTATATTTCAGTTGGAACATTCAACTGCAACCGATTTTGGGCTGCTCGTATTCGGAACATTTTCTGCAATCGATGGGATTGGAACACACGACTGTAGCATTGAGAATCAAACACATTGTCCACTGAGTCATCTATCAATTTTGAGGTTATTTGTATGACGCTATTTATACAATACACTTGAGTGTTGTTATCTCGAAGTATATTATTGAAATGGCATGATTTTACATGATGCGACATCTATGCATTTAAGCGCGCATTTAAGTTCTTAGCGAAAGAAATCGAAAAATTTAGCTTTTCAAATATCTACGTTGAGATCTCAGCATTTTGTGCTCGCTGCGATTTGTCAGGGTGCCTTTGGTTTTTGTTTGGCTTGTGGGAGAGAATAAAGATATTAGCCAAGTTATAGATTTATTGGACTTTTGGCACGTGCTTAATTTTCCTCCCTCGCGCAGTTCTGGGGTGGCCCCAAAATGTGGATGTTGAAGAGAGGTGGAGGAGGGTTTTTTGTGTGTAAATTAGCATTCGGGCCATCTGTCCTGTGTCGGTTGATACAATGTTGAGAGAAGAAAAAAAAATGGTGAAGTGTGTGGTTGTGAAAATGTGCAGGCCTTTTTCTCAATGAAGCCCAGAAATGAATGAAAGTGGGAGAGAATCTGTTTACTAGTCAAGTGCTTGTCTGTTGGACAATGTTATCGCCATGCGTGTGTGTTTGCATGATTGTATTCGGGGACGATAGAGCAAAATTAGCACTTCTGTGATTTACTATCAGTTTATTGATCTCACTGACTTGTGGATTTATTTGCAATTTCCGTCGTGATCGTGAGTTGCCACTCTTCCACCCTTTCTTCTCACTCTCTCTCTCGCTCTCCCTCTCTTGAAATCGTCAAAGTATTTATTGAACATGCCAATGAACGAGAGTCTGTCGCCTTGGTGGGTCTCACAATGCGTCCACCCCCACATTGACGCCCCCGCAGGTCATTTTATTGGCATGAAAGTGTGGCGCTCACCTCTTCACCGTGTGGCTCCGCTTGAGATTACAATCTAGAGTAATTTGTTAATTTGACGACTGGATTAAGAGCAAGGGAGAGAGAGAGAGAGATTGATTGAATTATTGCAGGTGAATTGACCTGCCTTCACTATCTCCCATTGGGATCAGACAGAAAGTCTCAATGAGCGTCCCGTTAAACGCCTCCATTTCCTCTCGATGGACTCTTGACGTGGTTAATAATTCAGGAAATATTACACATTTGACTTTCGAGATGAAATCTTGGGTGTCACGAGCCAAGAGCTTGTTTTGCCACTCCAAATTCGGAGGCCCTTTCACTGCTAAACAACATCATAACTTTATCATAACATACAGTTGATTATTAGAGTAATCAAGATCACATTCTAGAGAGAAATTAAGGGGTCGTTGCAACATTACTTTCATAGCATTTTAAATAAGATGTCAAAGTTATGAATTCATAAAACTGCATTGAGAGACAAGAAATGTTTCAAACGTTGGCGTCTGACGTCAATTCGTATATTTCGTCGCGTGAAGACAAGAAAAACCGGAAAATTCACATTCAGTCCGAAGAAATAGGCAATAATGATGTTTTAAGATTGATTATCTTGATTATTATTGATTATTTGATTGGATTTATCTGGCCATTTGTTCGCAGTTCAATGCTCCAAATTGAGGTGATGTGTTTCCGGACATCTTTTAACTCTTTCCAAGGAAACTGATTGGTTATTCGCTTACACTGAAGAACGTTTCCTTTTTCCCACTTGGAATAAAATGACAGAAATGCGCTCAAAAGTTAGAAAATTGGGTTTTGACAGCTTAAATTTGTATTAAATAAACTCTCAACTTTACTTTTTAACGCCTTCTCGTTTGTATGTAATTTATACTTTACACTAGCGCCGCCGGGTGGTCGCCAATGTAAGCTATGAAGAGCGTAAAGTTGTAATCCAGATTCATAGCTTTTATGAATTGAAATACGAAATCTGTAAAGTTGCAACGACTCCTAAAGCTACATTGATTTGAAAGTCTGAATTCTCGCTTTAATTAAGGTCAGATGTAATTAATAGAAGTGCTCAAATCTGGATAGTTTATCATTGAGACGATAAAACGCTTGACACCAGAACATTTTTCTCTGGGTGTCATTGATTTGTGCGACCCACAAAGTGCTGCTGAGTGTCTCTCCCACAATTTTCTCAGTCTCTCTTCCCATTCTCAACTTTATCCATTCACGTATTTCCTCGGCGTCCAACTTGTCCGGCCGTCCTTTGGCGATGGAGTGGAGATGCTAATTGCGTAGGTGGTATCATTTCCGGTGTATCAACAACACCGAGGTCGCATTAGCTATCTTACGTGGTTTTGGGCCCACAAATAACTCGGCGCGGCGGCTCTTTTTCTCCACCAACCATACCAAATTACTTTATCTCCATCCGGAGGCTTAAGCCCATGAATTTCTCTTTCATGCCTTCTCTCTCTCTCTCTCTCACTCTGCCGCGTCTCTCCCACACACACTGAACCCCAGTGCACTTGACCCCAGCGCCG